GACCATTATGGTCATTTAAAGTGTAAAAGGGAGCAGCTCACATAACAACTAGACATAGTTTTCCTGCCTGTTTTTTGTTCTTGTTTTTGTTTGTGTCTGGGATGTGCTTTAATTTCTTATTTATATATTTATTTTTTGGGAGTTTATCTTTGCCAGAAATAAACTGGACCGAAACTCCTTGTGAATTTCTTTGCGAAGGCCTTGTGCTTGTCTGTAATATGCATGTCATGATCATAATTGGAAAGATGTCAAAAGTTGTATTGCAAAGAGTTTCCTATTAGAGTTTTAAATTCAAACGTCTTATGCGTGTATAGAAAAAAAGTTCCAGATAATGCTAATCCTCTCTTGACCCAGTCTTTCTACTCCAGTGACTTTAAGGTATCCAGGGCAGTAAGGGCGTTGAAGAGGACAGAGGGGTTTGAAGAGGGGACACAGGGGAGGTCTCTCAGCTCCGCTTCCCTTATTTAGTTTGGAACACGTCTCCAAGGCTCCAGCTGCTCCTCTTAAGAATATCTAAGAATAGAGTGAGGAAAGAAGGTGGAGTATGAGAGAGACAGGGTGAGAGTGAGAGTGAGTAAGAGAGCGAGTGTCTGTCCTCCAGTTGTTGCTGTCAGTCACCCGAGCTGAAGCCTCTCGAAGTGTCTGTGGTCACTCCAGCTCCTCAAGGAGAGGAGAAGCTAGTTGACTGAGCCATCAGGTCATTTTAACTGCTGTGTGTGTGTGTGTGTGTGTGTGTGTATTACAGGCTCACTGGCACATACACAGTTCCAAACAACACTGCTGCACTAAGGCATGAGGATAAGAAGCAGTGTTGACAGGGTATTAAATATCAACCTCAACAAGCTTTACTTTTCCCTAAGACCAACTCTGCCGATGATCATATATTACTAGTATTCATTTAACCGTCACTTTTACTTTACCTGAGATTTGAAATATATTTTCACAAATGTGGACAAATTAGTGTCCTCACACTGAACTTCAAGCAAAAAAAAAGAACACTGGCATACATTAATCTTCCTGAAAAAGCTCAGAAAAGCCTTTCTGAAAAGGTCAGTTTTGTCTCACAGATAGCGCTTATTGACAGTTTTGTAGATGTTAAAAATAATAGAACAGAATATCTTCCAGTTGATGTATCACTTGTTTTTTCTCAAGCGCTCCAAACTAGCGATGTCCAATCAACAAGAACTTTTTCATTCAGAATATAGTCATATAGTCATAAATAGTCATATGCAAAAGTTTGGGCTCCTCTGGTCAAATTACATGTTTTGTTGGTTTTCTAAGTGAAAGTAGGTCAACACATCCTCTACAGAGAACACACTTCTTCACATTTTAGTGCACAATAAGTCTTTATTTGCTGAATTTTACCAGGGGTGGGATGTAATCTAATACAAATACTAGGAATATGTATTCAGAATACAGAAATTAAGTATCTTTATTCAGTCCAAGTTACATTTTGTAAAGGCTATGTACAAAATACAGTTACTTTTTACATCAGGAGAATACTCACCCACTAAACAAATATACACCATCAATGCTTGTTTATTAACTATTTTGAAGTCAGCAGACGGCGTGTATCAAACATTGTTAGATGACTCTAAAGAAGACCTCAGTTAAGGCTTCTTTACAAACATTGATGTTCCTGCTAAAGTCTGAGTAGACTGATAAATCAATGTAATTAGCCAGTTTTTAATATCAGTGTTACTGAGGTCTTTTACAGGATGATCAATCTCCTCATGTATTGGAGCAACAGTAAGAGAGACAAAAAATGTTGAAAATTTCAAAACTTCAGGATTTGCAGGAAGAAAACTGCAAACCAGAAACAGCAAGGAACTACAAAGAAAGAAACGTTTTTACCATCTGCCTTATCAAGATATGTTCTAAATGTATTCCTAATATATCCTGAATATGTTACATTTGTATGTATTGTAATGGAATACATTACTGAATACCTTTAGGACAATGTATTCAGTATTCAGCCATCACTACATTTTCAAAGTACTCTGCCAAAACATCAGTTTAACATATCAGGAAAAAACAAAGCATAAAATGTGGCCTGTGCAAAGGTTAAGACACATTTTACATTCTTTGCAAATACATAGAAATTATACACTAAAATGTGCAGAAAAATGCCTCAGTTAAGTGTGTTCTCTGTAGAGGATGTGAGAACTTAATTCTACTTAGTAAATAAACAAAACGTCATTTGACTGGGGTGTTAAAACATTGGTACACAACTTTAAATGCAGCATGATTAACAAAATGTAGACATTTTAGAGCAATAGCGCCAGCGTCATCTAAACATTCTGCTATTCTGCAGTACAATAAATATAACAACAAATATTGGTTTCAAAGATCAATCAAATCTGAATATCTGTCCAGTTCCAATCTTTTTTTCTAATATTGTCCTGCATCCTTAAAATAGACTTTAGTTGGACCACGCCAATTGGACAATAAGACGTACTTAGACTAGCAGTTTTAGTTAGACTCACATCGAATCTTTGAATGTAAATGTAGTAATAAAACCACTTGAAAACTGGACAGAGTGCACAGATCACTGCAGTGAACCTTAGAGAAAAGTTTAGCTGACACTGGCGTAGATATTCAGAGATCCATGGTGTTGCTCACCCAAATACAATCTGCATAAAAGTGTTTTCAACTGCAGAGGCAGAAAAGGCTAAAGCATACAGTAGACCTTCATTGGTCAGGGGCGTTTTGGAAGAAAGTCCTGGGATAAATGAGACTTTTCATCACAGTGACAGGTGAGAGGTTTGAAAAGAGACCATTTGCTAGCTATTAAGCATGTGAGTGGATTATGCGTTTGAGGTTATGTGGCTGATGGTGGCATTGTAGGAAATACTGAGCCAAAATACTTGTGTAAAAGAATTCTGCTCAATTTGATCAAATCCTTGAACAAAGTATCTCTGAATCTGTGAAAAAAGTCAGGCTGGAACCTTAAAGAGATGAAATATTTTAGCAAGACAGCAATATGAAACATAATAAATTATATGAAGACAACAAATGAAAAGGCTTTTGAAATGGTCCACAGTTTCTCTTTGCCTGAATGTAAATATGACTGTAAATCTGTGGAGAAAATCCAAAACATACAGATATCGGCTATCGAAGGAAAAAAGAATGGACTGATCGAAACCTGTAACAAATATACTAGTGAGTAGAGTCTACTTTTGGATGCTCTTCTTAAGTGAAGAGATTCAGTTAAACATAACTGTTTTTAAAACTTAGTAGTTTTTAAAGAAAACATGTCAGGTTGGTGTGTGAGTTGGTGTCTCTACAGCCTTTCCACTATCATGTTAATTATCTCTATAACTGTATGTAAACACCAATGCTCCATTTGCAAAATGATACCATGTTTACATTTGTTGCTTTAACCTCATTTTACCTTTAGCGAAAAGAGAAGATGTGCCAAAAAGAAGATAATGTTCCATTGGTTAGTCATGCCAACCAAGGTTGGGACGAGGACTCTGGCTAGAAAACAAACATAAGGCAAAGTGCCTAAAAAAAAGAAACATTGGAATAAGAGCACAGGCTGATCATAATGAAGATGCGGATGAAGGGCTGGTTATTTGATCCGTCTTCATTCATCACATTCTAAACCCATTACTGTGGGTATGCTGGCTAAATTTGTAGGAGCACATCCATTTAGTCTATTACCTGAGCATAATGATAAAACATCATCATTGTGCTCAGGTTTACCAAGTTTAGAGATCCGTCTTATGAATGGAGCTAAAGAACAGCCACTACAGCAGAACTAGTCCTATCCTTTCATAGCTAGAGATCTAACAAAGATATAAAGGGATAGCATGTTGTCATTTTGTCACAGTGGAATGTTTTGTATCAATATTTTTAGCTCAGATCACGTCATGCATGCCAATTAGACCATCTGTGAACAGAATTAGGCCTTAATGAAATGTGGATTGCAGTAGGCAATTTTTAAATCTAAAAGTGACAATCATACTGTGCTCTGTTTGTGTGTTTTTTGCCATGACAGACATGCTAATTAGAGCGTGTGGGGCCTTTCCTGTCATGTCATTTCACCGTGTGTTTGAAACGGAAGAAGATATCTTAGTTAGTGGCTGATTAGCTTATAGGCACCATCAGTCTCAAGCTCCCAACCCACCTCCGGCCCACGTTCCCACCTAGCGTTAATGAGCTCATTATTAAAGTGGTCTTTTTCATCACACATTCTAGAGTAAACACAGTCTGAACACATCTATTCATAGTTAAGGTTCCTGTAACTCCTGCTCATGGTAACTTCTTGAATGCGCCGTTGTGAAGTTGCTTGTAGAAGGATGGATGTTTTATTTCGGTGCCAACACTAAGACTGGGTTCTGTTTGCACAGCCAATGAAACCCTATCTAAGGATTGCTACAAGACACCAGATACAGCATTGACAGGGAATGATGTAGAGATTAATGACTGACGAGTACCTTCTTTGCTATGGCAGTGAAACATCATGGAAAGGCAGGTAAGCTTGGAGTGGATTTATCTTTTGAATCAATTCAGGGAGAGTACTTTGAGAAATATGATAAGTATTTATGATGACGTACCTTGTAAATATCACTGCTGTGTAGTACATATATCTATTTTCCATAGTCGTCCACTTTAACTTGAGTTCCTCAAATTCTGTGTTCTTTATCAAGCATTCCCCACTGCGGTCTAATTCCTGAATGCATTCTTTTGCCTTACTTCAAGGCTTTATTCAACAGCTGTGGAAGTCGAGCAGAAGTAGCCAGTGAGAGCAGACAGATGGAGTGATTGGCAGAAGAAACACAAGCATGTGTGTAATGCTACAAATCTTACCCTTCTCCCATTGCATTGCGTACATATGTGTGTGTGATGGCTAGTGTCCATCAGCTACTGGAATCCCTGTTTATCCTCTGCTAAAATAACCCCTTCGTGCCCCCCCTCCCCTCAATTTTTCTTGATAAATGGCATTGGGGGTGCTAGTCTTGTCCTTTATCTAAATATGGGGCAATGGAAGGTTCTCAAGGGAGGTAATGTATTAAAATGGGATGCTAGCGAGGGGTGGTATCTTTGATGCAACTAGTGCTGGCATTGGTCAGTACATCCCCAGACTAGAAGTTCTAACCCAATCCTGAACTTTTTCAGAAAAAGATAGACTTAACGAGGGGATACTTATTGGAGGAGCGTGCAGCCCCTCTCTTATCCGGACACTTGTGGGACACAAAGATCCTGATCTTTTGTCTTGTTCCTTTCAAGCACACTGTGATCACTCTGACCGGCCTTCAATATGGTAAGAGCGCTTGTCTGCAGTTCATTGATGGGGAGTTCATATAAATGGAAGAGGAGCTTTTTGTGCTGTTACCAGGAGGATTTTTCTGTTCAGACCACTCTGAAGATGCTGAATTTGAATATAGAACAGATGAATCATACTAAAGTCTGTTGCATAAGATGTGAATTGTTAAGATTGTGGAACGCAAAAGATTTTACAGTTGTTTGTCAAGTTGGTTTTTGAGCAAACAATGGCTGATTGGTGTAGTGATGGAGGTTTCTTCTCCTTCTTGTGCTATTATTAATTAGGCTGTTAGTGTAAGAGTGTTCAAATCAGTGTTAAGTGAATGAGGCTGGCCATGGAAGGTGTAATTACACCTTGTAATTATAAAATAGCTGTTTTCTGAGGGTTATTCTAATATTTCAGTGATGTTTCTTGTGATGCTAATGTTTGTCTGTGTACAGCAGTTGGGTGAAATTTACTAGAGCTGGTGTATGAGGGAGGTCAGGAGGCGGCGCGGTGACATTGGATACTGTGAACATTCGCATCAGGTTTTCTGAGTGATGTACAACAGTGTTTGTTTGCTTTATAACCCCTTTCTCAGTCTAGGGTGGGGAACTGTTAAAAACATATTCAGTTTTATCCAGTAACACTAAAGCTTTAACAGAGTAGTAAATCACATTGGATAAGTTTTGAAACATATTCTATAGATTGCTGCATCAGTGGCCTTGACGATTCAATCGACTGAAAACATCAACGAACTAGATGTTTGTCATTGGCAGCCTTTTAGAAAGGGATTGTCAATGCCGGCTCTTCGTTGATAAGAGCAAAGTTTTTTTATTTAATAGTGACGTTTACGCCGGCCCACACTGAGAAGGAGAGAGAGAAAGCGAGGAGGTGGGAGAAAGAGTATCCTCTGGCATTTGTGCTGTGAATTGCGGAGATGATGGACAAGAGGACATATGAGAGGAAGGAGCATTATCTTAATTCCAGCCTCCTTCTGTGACACTCTGGGGCTCCTGGAGGTATTAATTAGAGCTATATTAGTGCCCTGAATACACAGCTGGAGCATGTGCTCAAGTGTTAGGATCTCCGGCTTTTTTCATCCCGGGTCTGTTTACGGTTTCTCAGTCTTGTTGCACATGGGACCCTCAGAGGGTTTAAATAAGAAACTGGCGGGGGGAGCGCAAAGTTAGCATCAACATTTAGAAAGAAGGGTGAAACTGCACACACTGTTCCAACTTTAAACTGTCGTAACAAAACCCTGTATCTCGGAAAGGTTAACTTTATAGAGGAAGGAAAAATCTTTTTTAATGTAACAAGATTTTATTATTATTGTGGATCATTTACTACACTATGTTCACACAACATAATGTTTTGTTGTTATAGCAACGTACAGTTTGGTGAAAAAGGCTTAGGCAACTAAGCACACTGTTTCAAACCATTTTTTTTTGTACAAGTGTATATACTGTATAACAACTGAATAAATGCAAATATTAATGTAGTAAAAAAGTAACAGAAATTCTCCACGAGGCCTTCAACTGACGCATAGATTTGTTAAATTTCTTCACCAGCACACTTGATTTAATACAGTGAAGGACTGATTTAACCAAACTAGGTGTTGAATGATAACTACAAATAATACTGAGCTGCTCTGAGGAGACAGAAATGGTCAAATGAACACATTAACACAAAATCACTACTTATTGTATTAATGTTATTTGTAATTATTCTAACATTAGTGATTTACTGACCCAATAAACACTTACTGGCCAGATAAACAGATTTTTATATACAATATTCTTAGGTACCTTAAACTTTTGTTTAGCACTATATATAATAGTCTTTCTACAAATAGTAGATAATCCACCTTGGCCCATGTCTTTAGTTATTGGATTCACTTATTTATGAAACATGCTTTCTTCCTTGTTGTTCTGTGGTGCAGATATATTAATTAAATATTATTTTTATTTTATTTTATTCCACTTCTATATTCCTGACTGTTTCTAACCTCAGAACACATCCAGTGATGAAAATCAACCTTGATCATTTGCATTGGTTTAGATTCAGGTTTAAATTTACGTTTACAGCTTGTTAAGGTAGTAGATTGTAATGTTGGCTGTGTGCGTGTTTATTAGGAAGGGAAGATAATATCACATATAAGGCTAAAACGTTAACAAGTTCTTTACTTTAGAATAACCTACTCTAAATTGGAAATCTTTTAGCTTAGAATAAGCGACTCTTTACTTTTACTTATTTAGATAGTTTAGTTCAGTACATACAGGGGGTCCGGGACTTCCTAATTAACCTCTTGGACCCCCTGAATGTCTCAAAATCAAAATTCTGTGGGGGTCCCTGAAAATAAACTGGTTATGAAGTTATGCTGTTCATTAGGGAAAAACATGCGCTAATATACAAATACAGGGAAAGGTCGCTTTTATAGCTGCTTCACCTACAATCAGCGAGCTTCTGTCTTTGATATTCTAAACTAAATAGAGCTGCAGGACTGCTCTGCCTCAGGGTGGCGCTGTAGCAAATTGGTTCACCCAGTTGGTCCTTCATTCCCTAGCAACTGTAACTATGCCCAGGATACCACTTTACAATATGCTCTATTATGTTTGTAAATCTGAAAACTTGCCCAGTTTCATAAGAGACTGGTGGAAAGTGTGAATTTTCTCAAACCGAAGACAAAAGAGAAGTTGTGTAAGATCTCAATTTGTGTGGGGAAGAGTGCATTGCTAAACTAGAAAAGAGCATTTCCAAAAGAAGAGTTGCCAATGTTGCAGTAGCCAGCCAACGGGACCCCCAAATAATTTTGCACACTGGTTCATAGTTTTACTTATGCTCCTGTAGATTCTTTCTGTAGTAAAGCACTGACCAAGGTGTAACAGCTAAAGGTAATGAGCTCCAGTTAGGAGATGCCCTTAGAGTCTGATTAACAATGAGAAATTTTGAACATCCTGTCCATGTTGCTCACCCACAGTACATCACATTAATATTCTAATGAGACTTGGTTCCACTGTGCAGCTTGACTGCAAGTTAACCTTCACCTGAGGTCATTGTACCTTTTTCAGTTATTTTCATTCTGTTGCTACCTCCTCAGCCTACCGATGCCCAGATTGATGCCCGCTCCTTCCTGAGTGAGGAGATGATTGCTGGTGAGTGTATTAGCATGGCAATGGACAGTGATTGTCCATTATGCTCAATTTATTAGCTCAAAGTCCAACTGCATGATTGATTAAGAGCATAACTGGAGCGGAAAAAGATGGAGGATTCACATTGTTAATATGGGCTTTGACAAGATTAGCCTAAACGGCACATTCCATGCATATAAACTCGGCAAACTGTGTGAATAACATGCGCAAGTGAATAAACATGGCTCAGAATAGGATTAGAGTCTTTCTCACTGTCAGGGAACTTTGCTCACAAAAACTAAAAGGATTAAAAATAACTATAAGTAGGATTATCTTGTAAAAACAAGCATGTAATGCACAAGACTTGTAGAGCGCACCAAATGTACTCATTTTCTAATGCTTTACTGTTCATTTCTTACTGTAGAGTTCAAGGCCGCCTTCGACATGTTCGACACTGATGGTGGTGGTGACATCAGCACCAAGGAGTTGGGCACTGTGATGAGGATGCTGGGCCAGAATCCAAGCAGAGAGGAGCTGGACGCCATCATTGAAGAGGTTGATGAAGATGGTATGATTTGCAGTGAAAGCTATACAAAACTATGTCCCTGAAACTCCTTTGTTGTCTGTCGGACATGATTATCTTCTGGTCTTGTGCAGCGCAGATGCCAGCTGTGTGTCCTTATATCCTACATGGATACATACATTTGATAATTACTCCCATTCAGTTTCATCTGATATCAGCATGATGTGAAGATGTGATGTGTTTGACTCAGGCAGCGGCACCATTGACTTTGAGGAGTTCTTGGTCATGATGGTGCAGCAGCTAAAGGAGGATCAGGCTGGCAAGAGTGAGGATGAGCTGTCTGAATGCTTCCGCATCTTTGACAAGTATGTAACCGGCTCATGGTTGGGGAGGGTCACTTTAAAAATGTATTCTGGTACAGATTACTGATTACCTGTTAAAAAAACATCATACAAAATATAAATATCTAACCTAATCCATAGGATTAGTTCAGTTAGTAATGTATTCTGATTACTTTCCATTAGTTTTGGATTGCTGGTGCTTTAAGGTTATATAATTTATTCAAGTAGGGTGACCGTGCGTCCCCTTTTACCAGGAAATGTCCTATTTTTTAAAGACCGACAAAGTAGAACTGGCTGGAATATCTAAATTGCTTAACATGGCTGGGATTTGGCTTTGATTTTGGTGGGCTTTGATTTCAAGCTGACATTTCGTCCCCTTAGGTTCTATCTGGCAAAACATGAAAAGAACATGAATTTTCATGGAATTTTTTCATAATTCATTTTAAACCATACAGTTAGTGTACATTAGTGTATAACAGAGTGTCAACATGTATCAGAAAGTAAAATTCTTTCTATGACATTATTATGACATGAATGTTTATTATTTATTTATTGTTTAGGCCTTTTATTTCTTGTTTTAAGATAAACCATCTTTTTCTTCAAAGAAGCATCGATAGATAGATGATAGATGAAGTATAAGTGCTAAATATTTTGTCCAGTGTAGAGGTCAGTTTTAGGTAGGAACCATTGATCAGTATATAGACAGTGTGAGGTTTTTTTTATATCAGAAATGTTGATTCTAATGCACTGAAATGTCTTATTTTGGAAAAAAGAAGAACAAGTAAAGATGGATGAATGAATGAAATTAATGTTTATATTGTGATTAAGACCCCATCAAGTCCAATGTTCACTATTTAATTAACTTTGAGACTTTGAGACTTAAAACTTAGAACATGTTTCATAAAGTTTTAAAAACTTTGAAATGTCAGACAGAGCCTTATAATTCCAAGAGGATAATTTGCTTTTTACAGTCCTTCCACCGACACCCCCACTCCCACCGCCTGCAGTGTCCTCTTTTTCAAAAAAAAAAAAAACAAAAACTAAATATTGTCTTTCAAGGTAAAGACAACGGTGAATCATTTCAGCAGGATAAATTTATAATATTGTTAGTCATGTGGAACTGTCTGTGCTCTGGGTGCTAACGTGCATTTTGAAAAACGCCTGAGCATTTTTGTCATTTCAGGTATTCTAGTAAGGCATGCATATTCTGGAATAAAAAATATTGTGCTCTTTCAGCTTTACATTCCTGTTTTGTCCTGCAGAGTAACCTACCCTTCATGCTGCACTCCCAGGAATTACGTGGTATTACTGTGACACGCTAAAACATTTCACCCCAACTCTATTTTTAATGTCTAACTTACAACATTCCAATGAAAATCCAGACCTCTCTCCTAACAATAGCAACAGCAACATGAAACAGAGGGAAATGTTGCTTAACTTGGATACTTCACTTATAAGTTCGTATCACTGTCACGGTAAATACTTTGTTGTCAGTTGTTTTTCTTTCATGAGAGTTCACACTCACCACTGCATGCTGGCCCCCAAAGGGAGATGTTAACTTAAAACTGGATCCAAGTTGAGCTGAATTTCTCTTTTCCCATGTACAATACACTATGGGGAGTGATAAACTCTCACGAAATCCCATTACATGTATTCTTTTATTATCTAACTCTAACACAGCTATAACACTGAATCATTATATGCTTAGCAAGTGGGCAAATTTACATGCATATGGTTTCTGTCTCTGAGCTCCTCTTATCAGGTTTGGCTTCCAGACTGGATTCAGCCATACTGAAGAAGTAATTCACAAAGTCATTCAGGGTGGTTTGACATGAAATTCTCTGCTCAAAGGAAACTTACCAAGTCAGAGTTGTTCACAGCGGTGGTGATAGGAACCAGGTGTCTGAAAAGTTTAATGCCTCTAAAAGCTCCCTTGCTGAAAGTCACTACGTTAAATGGTCATGAATATGCTGCCTGATGACGAGAAAGAGAAGTATTATATTTTTTTTAAATGTGTTCATGGTGGAGAGGTACATGCAGGATGTTCTAAGACAAAATAGTACCCAAAGAAAGATTCAGATTTACCTCTATTTCTCCATTATGAACAATATATATAGAAACTCAGAGGACAGGTGTAGCTTCACTTGTCATTTTAGACATTAAATAAAAGTTATATTTGCACTGTAGACATCTGACCCCTGGTTACTATCACCACCACTGTAAAGACATCATGTAAGAAGTCAGCAAATTTCTCAACAATGAATCAATCTACTCAACCTAATCCAATCTAATCAAAATCATCTGATTGACTTTGTTTACTCTCATCTCAATGACTGAAATATCTAGTAATTTAGAAAAATCTCCTTTAAGATATAATCCAAACCAGAGGCAAACATCTAGTTGAACTATATGGTCCCATTAAGGCGTGTGGCTTTGTACTAGCACTTCATATACTTCACTGTGTTGATAATTTCATTTTGGTAATGGACACTTCTTCAGAAAACAATTTAGAGATTAGTATAAAATGACACCACCCCCTCAACATCCACTGGAGAGTGAGTTCTGAAAAACACTATACATAGTGAACATACAGAGCACCTATCACATGACAAACCTTCCACAGTGATATCATCTCCACATCACTAGCTTAATATAATTAGATGAGAAAGTCAGAGCAAGAGAGGGCACTTTAATATGAATACATGCTTTGTACTGCTCTGACCTACGCTGAGTAAACAATATATTTCATTTTTGTGAATTATTAATGCTTTACATATATTTCTATATTATTGTATGTAGATTTTTTTATTACTGTTTAATAAGCTTTATCATTTGTCAAGCACTTTGAGCTGCCATAAGTGATATATAAATTAAGATTATTATTATATTATTATATCGCAAACAAACACAGAGATAAACATCAAGGAGGTCTAATATAGTGCTATCAGAGCCTGACATGTTTGTAAGGAAATCAACAATGTGCAGAAACATGTTTATCCAACATGCAGTTCATTAAGACCAATTATCTGTAGGTTCTTAGCCATGGTTACCCAGAATTCAATTATAGGAAATAGCACTTGATTAAAGACTCACAAGAGGCCCCTTTTAATCCCTGCTTGTTCATTTGCTGCCTATTCATTAAACTTGGCCTTCAGCAATGATCAAATTTGCCAAATGCTTCACACAGTACTGACAACTAGAGTCTCATGTGTCCCCTCTGCGTTTACTACTGAAAAGAAATTTATTAAAAAGTTTTGTGTGTCTGAAAAGTTAGATTCTGTAGTTCTATATGGCACAAAGTTCTTCCCATAGGTCTTTCTGTATAATGTTCAAAATCCAGTTTCAGGTTCAAAATGATTTTGTACAATTGCAAGCATAATAAAACAGTTCAACAATGTACTCTGGTTATTATGTGAATTATAAATAGGGGTTTTCAAGCATTCACCAAAAATCTGTAACTTAAAAATGTTCTCTGTTATGTTGATTATCAGTATTCTGGCTTCAGTTATACGGTCCCAAGAATGTGGGAAGTGGGAGGGCTGAGGGCAGACAGTGTGTAGTGAGGAGAACTGCCGCTAGTAATGTCTTATGGGTTGGTTAAATGCTAGAGTGCCGCCCTCAAGCAAATACAAAATGAAATGGAGATTTTGGGGAAAATCATACATTGTAAATGCTTAATAATTTTTATAGAAGAAAAAAAAAATTTCTGATCACAGAACAGCATAAAACCTTTCAACACTGCAGTCATATTTCTGAGCGCTTTTGAACTCCAGTTATAGGACTTTCTAACAGTGCCAGATGTACGTATATGACGTCAGTGAGAGTGAATCCACCGATTTAAGGGGAACCTGACCACTTCTTATTTCTCACATTATATCAAAAACATGACTGCAAAACACCAGGTGGCGCCTGCTAGCCAGTCTTACATGAAAGGGGGTGAACGGAACTAAACGGCTAAAATATTTAAATAGTGTCTAACCACTTATCCATGACATTCCTTTAATGTTAGAAAGTAGAAGGATGTGTTTCATTAAAAAAGCAAAGAAAACTTATCTGTATTTTTTCTACAGCAAAACAGGCTTTGGACGGGTTAGTGAGCTGATCAGCTCATTGGCTGGGTGAAGCTCACTTTCATGCTCACTGGTGTCATAACTGGAGTTCAAAAGAGCTAAAAAATTATAACAGCGGTGTTAAAATGTTTTGTGTTGTTCTGTGTTCAGGAAAAAATGCATTCTTCTGTATAAAAATGATTAAGCTTTTCTAAACTATGATTTTGTTCAAGTGCTCCATACTAATTCATTCATTTTGGACTCGCATGGGAGCGCCCTCTAGTGTTTGACAAATCTGGAAGATGTTACTGAGTGGCTCTCTACACATTCTCTGAGTAAATCGCTTCATGAGCTGATCAGCTCACCAGCCAATTAGCACTTACAGCAGTAATGTTAGTCTTACTGCCCAAAACCTGTTTGCTGTAGAAAATCAGAAAGATAATGCAAAGTTTTCTCTTTTTAAATGGAATGCATCTTCCTACTTGGTCAAAAACACATACAGTTTTTTGTTTTTAGCCAATTAGCTATGCATATGTGTATATGCATATGTGTGTGTGCCAAGTTATATGATTATACATTCTGTTCTTATCTCTTAGAAGAAACAGTATGGAGAACACAAATGGAGAAGCAGTGCTGCATGAATACATTAGAGTTTCTACGACATTGTTGTTTCATTCTGTTGGAATACTTCACTTGCATGTATTCTTACCAGCGAAGACAAGAACAAAGAGAGAGTTTTTGACTGCTGTCCATTTGTGGTCCAAATATACAGGAATGGAGATGGCTTCATTGACCGAGAGGAGTTTGGTGACATCTTGCGCTCCACTGGCGAGCCAATAACGGAGGAGGAGATAGACGAGCTCATGATAGACGGAGACACCAACAAAGACGGCAAAATCGACTTTGACGGTAAACTTATCAACAGACACAATTATAAATAAACTGACTAACAGATTCCTCAGTTTGTTTGTTTTTTATTTATTTTTATTTATTCATTTTTTGCTATAGCTTTCAATTATCAACATGTTTCCATTCTTGAATACAGATAGCTTTTTATTCTATTTCTTTCTCTTTAGATACAAACATACAGACACTTTAATCTAGAGATTAAATTAATCTAGAGAATCTTGGAACTGTAAAACATGATTAACAATAACATGTCTACAAATATATAGCAAAACAGAGATTATGAGTCTAAGTTGTGTTTTGAAATAAATGCTTTATTCTTGCTTTTCCAGAGTTTCTGAAAATGATGGAGAACGTACAGTAAAGATGCTACATTCCACCCTTTCATCACCCAAATAAAGATCTAACAAACATTTTGAGACAACATGGAAGAAGGTTGACCTCCTGGAAAAGTCATAAAGTCATTGAAAAAGTTGTCTCTCATAGACAATAAGGAATGGATTGAAGGGCCCAGAGGTGATATCCTTCTGGAACTGTTGCAGTTGGACTAGAGAAACATCTATAAATAACCATCCAAGTCTTTTAAGAGAGAGCCACCCTACCCCTGCCCTCCCCAAACCACCTCCCATTTGCCCCAGCTGTCACCCTGTGCCCCAGCTCCTTCTTAAGAAATGATCTACCACCCCTTCAGACCTGCTTTTGCCCTATGTGCCCCACCCTGTAGTGTTCTAAAATAAACTAGCCTCAATATACTTTTATGCCTTATTGTCATGGTAAATAAGAAATCCTTCAATCCATTGATTACATGCTTGAAATTTATTTTTATGCTCTGTTTGTTTTGTGTTCTCTCAGTGACGTAGTATTTGCACGATGAATTGCTGTTTCTAAATGACACTGTTTCATTATGTCACAACTTTTTTATGCATCTAAACCAAAGTCCATCTTAGCGTTTAGCTTACATGTATAAGTTTGGATTCTCAGCAGGAGCTTGGGGAACATCTTATTTCTAATAACCATCCCAGAGAGACACGTGATAAAGCACCTCCCACCTCATTCACTCCACCTTCAGTTCATGACACCAAAGTTTACTCCATCATGCTATCCAGAGCAGCTCCATGCGTTGTCCAGTTTCAATGCTTCTTTGGTTCTTTCACCTTTTACTATCATGGTCTTGATCCTGTGCGGAGTCTCTGTTTTCCTCCCTGTTATTCTAAGCATAATACTGCAGTCTTCCTTCATACTTACCTGAAGTAAAGGGGCTTTCAGGCATCTTCATAAAGCCTTGCGTGTTATCATGTGAAGACATAACAGTTGAAAGCTGTCCAAAATGGAAAAGGGGTGGGAAAAAAAACCTTGGATTTGCTTTACACAGGCTTTTTCTTCATGTTGACTTAGCCATACAATCCTTTCACCCCTGCATGTCTTCGGCAGATGATGTGGGCGGTGATTGGAGCACCATGCCAGTGCAGTAAACGTAATCTCCAGAAGGGCTGTGCCATAGTGAGGTGTCACAAGCCAAATGCTAGGTTGAGGAACGTTCTTGATGAAGGTACAAGTGTTCGGTTTTACAGCACAGTGCCATTGGTCTTGTGGTGCTTGTGCTTCTGCTGCTGGGTATATAGTGCTTTACCTCCTCCCCTTCCCCACCCTATTAGCTTTTCGGCTGCAACTGTCAAATCCCCAGCTCATCATCCCTCCTTCCATTTCTCCAATCCACTTGCTTATGATCCCCCTCTCAGGAAACGCATGCCATAGAAGGAGTGCCAGGTTGAGGCTCATCAGGCCCAAAGCTACCTGCACTGCGGTTTGTTTTTTTGCAAAGGGTGGGGTGAAGCTTGAGACCCTCACATGTAGCTGGGAATCATTTGCTATTCAGAGCACACTGAAGTTCTGCACGACAGCACTTTTCCTCTGGGGGTTACTGTTTCACTCTGCTTATGACATGGATCTGAGCACCTCCCCTGAGTTTATCTTCACCCACAGAATATTCTACTCCGGCCATTATTCACATGACTTCTAACCTATATCCATGGGAATAAGTAATATAAGCCTTAAGAATATTTGAGTGTCTGCTGGAGCACTTTCAGTAGGTCAAAGCAGGGCTAGTGAACCTGAATTGAAAACACTTGCAGAGTTAAACTATTTTCCCTTTCACTTTCATGGATTTATCTCAGATGAAAATGTTCTCAGTTTGTATATCGCTGCTGTCGGAACAAAACCTCTACCGCCAGAAAGGTAACTTTACAGGACAAGGAAAAATGTTCTTAACTTTTAATGGAAGTGAATGCAGAAATATTTTTTCCAAGCAATTTTGGACCATTTCTGTTGGTCTATTTCTGCATTTCTGATACAACATAAAGGGCAACTGCCTTTTTCAAATAATGTCAACAAATGAAAAAGCACAAAAACTGAGACGTGAGGTTTTATCCCAACAGCATGATATGTTGGTACTGTTGCACAGCGCTTTACACCAGTGGTTATCATTTTCCTATTAGGCACGAGCAACAGCAACATGTCTTGGATTTTTTTCAGGTTTGAATGTTATCAAAGGTTTTTATGTCAGATGAAGGGAGAACTGCAGTAAACATGCTTTGTTTTGGGGCTCATGCTTCTCCACACTGTTCCCACTGCTTATGACGGGCAGCCTACAACTACCCTCCAGCACTTATCTAAGTGGTTAAAAGAGTTTAGGGCCTTGAATATTTTCCCCTTTCAAACCCAGATCTTCTGTCTTACGGATGCCTCCGTTGTACACACTGCGGATTTGGATTGGCTAGCAGCTTCTCAGAGCCCTAAAAGTGCAGCATTCTAATTCTGGAGGGGGCGTGTCCTCGCCAACCCGTTTAAAGTGTGTCTGAACTCTCACTTGACGTCTAGTCTGGCTGTTGAGGTGCGCGCGGATTGACCACTCCTTTGGCCTTGATTGGTGGATAATAGTGGGGAAAGCTAAACCACAACCATGGTAAGAAATTAGGAAAAAAACATGCATTCGGGTGTTTTGGGCCATCTGAAAATTTGGGAATTTAAAAAAAAAATCTTATTTATTCCATTTTTTAATTGCTATTATTTTCTCTCTAAATGAGAAAAACACAGAACTGTTACCAGACTTGTTAAATTAGAACTTACACATTGAATAAAAGCCATCCATGTCCTAAATTAACTGATGTCCCATAATACTTGAATCCTGTGCAAGTTATAGATAAGTAGGGCGTTAAATAAGGCATGCAGACATTTAGTAGACTGGACTGTTTTTTTCTTTAATTGGAAACTGAGCATGGGCCTATGTCTGTAGGATATCAGTGCAATTTAAATGATTTCACTATTTATGCAAGCTGTTAGCACACATGCTAGCTAATTTTAGGCCTAAATAATTGAATAGCTTTTGTTTGTGCATTGGATCAATCATACTTAATACGTATGCTGTTGTGCTTGTAATGTAGTGGTGTGTAAAGCCAAACTGGCAACAACTCAGTGAGGTGAGAGCAGGGTGGTGACCTGCCACTTGATACAGAGCTGGTCAGAGCGTGTGTGACCAAATTACTTGCTTAGGCGACACATTCCGGGAGTTAGATTTCGGAATTGCCATGTAGAGTCAGTGACTGAAGAGATAACCTGTTGATCCTTAAAATAGCAATAATGCACCAACTGCAGTGTGCGTGGCTAGGAAAAGGCCTAAAGGGAGCTATTCTCCTTGGCTTATAATTTAGTTACTAATCTTAAAGCTTGTTAATTAGTATCTACTATTCGTTATCCTATGACTATAATGAGACTATTAGGTAAATGACATAGTTATGAGAGGAATTAAAGTGTGGGCCCAGAAGTTTAAAGGGTTAAACCTTGAAAAGAAACAGAGTTTCCTTAATGAATAGAAGGAAAAGCTATTATTCTTGCCAGCATTTCACATCATCTGAATTTTGGCAAGGCTATATGTATTATGGTATATTTCAATAAATGCTATTGTGTGGGTTTGTAGACTGACGCACAGCAGGAGGCCCGCTCCTATCTGAGCGAGGAGATGCTTGCCGGTGAGTAGCCACATTTGTATTTGTCCGTTCTAAATGATTATTGAAGGGTTTGATTGTTATATAATAAGTGTTTGTCCCATCTTATGACAGAGTTCAAGGCTGCCTTTGACATGTTCGACACTGACGGTGGCGGTGACATCAGCACCAAGGAGTTGGGTACTGTCATGAGGATGTTGGGTCAGAATCCAACCAGAGAGGAGTTGGCTGAAATCATTGAGGAGGTGGATGAGGATGGTAAGGATATAACTGTGTACATAAGTAGGCCCAATGGGTACAATATTTAAGATGTTAGCAAGTCATGGAAGCTGATGGGACCATAACTCTGAGGAGAAATTTACTTCATTTTGTAAAATCCCAGGCAGCGGTACCATCGACTTTGAAGAGTTCTTGGTCATGATGGTGAGGCTCCTAAAGGAGGACCAGGCTGGCAAGAGCGAGGAAGAGTTGGCAGAGTGCTTCCGTGTCTTCGACAAGTACGTCAGCATACTAGATGCTTCCAGGCTGGAAAGATCTTTGAATGTTATCAAGTATCCAACTGATGTCACCCTTCCTTTTGTTTTGCAGGAATGCTGATGGCTACATCGACAGAGATGAGTTCGCTGAGATCATCCGCAGCACCGGTGAGGCCATCACAGAGGAGGAGATTGATGAGCTGCTGAAAGACGGAGACAAGAACGCAGATGGCATGCTTGACTTTGATGGTAAGACGGCCTTTCTGCTGATGATATTTCACTGAAACGTTAGGAGTCTACAGTACGCTCTGGTGAGAGCTCAGTCATAGTCTGTTCTACATTCGTTTACTGATACTGGAATGGAGGTACAGTTCATCACATAATGATAGTGGTAGCACCATTTTAATAGAGGACTATGATGCTCTTATTTTTCAGAATTCCTCAAGATGATGGAGAATGTGCAGTAAAACAGAGACTCATGGACATTCCTCTCCCCTTTGACCCCCTGTTGACTCAAGCCCATCCTCTCAAACCCACTTATGCCTCTCCTTTCCGTTTTGTCCACCATCTGGTCCGTTGCCTCTCCCCCTCCATCTTGACAAAGCTATGCCGCTTCAGCAGACACAACAGACAGACACCCGGGTGGGGTCTACCAAGGATCAGCACGCAAACGATCCTGATCCTGGGCTACGTTTGACCCGCATGTTCCTGCAAGAGCCATGCTGTGGTGTGTGTGGTTCCCAGCACCAACACACAATGGTGCCCACTACATCAAATACACATACCATGGTAGACCCCCCACGTTGCTGGGCGTTTTAGTCTAGATTTAGACTAGATCAGCAGCTTGTTATCGCTGCTTAGACCAATGCGAAAACCACTCTTACTTCACTGTATTTAAGAACAAATGCTTGAAAGTACAGAATAAAAAATAAAATACATGCTCGTGTTTAGTTGGTCTGTTTAGTCGAATCTGTAAGGTTTTGTTCTGAGGAATTTATCAATAAAGCCATTTTTTTCTTTTTTCTTCCCCAAGTCTTATTGACCCAAGTAAGTTTTAAGATGACTGGTTATTTACATTATTGGTTATCCTCATTTTTTATATTATTCATTATATACATTAGACCTTGGCCTATATGCCAAGTGTCTCTGCAGTAAGGGACAGAAAATGGGCATCATTTAGATTTTTGAGAATACCTTTTTTCTCCTAAGGAAGGTCAATTTTTACTCTTCCTCGTGTACATACCTGCTGCATTGACGTTTTAATCACCCCTCATCACTCTATCTGTAACAATTTTAGGCATTCTACACTCAACAGGATACCTTCAGCTTCAGTGGTGACGGGTATACTGGGCACTTTGGGCAAATCTAGTGACGAGTGAAAAATTATTCAAATGCGCACATGAAGACAACAGAATAAGTGCCTAGATGTGGTTTGAGACGTGACCTCCTTACTTTGATATTTATAACTTCACCCAAAGTTCTGATGTGAAATAAACCCTGTAAGAAACTGGTGCATAGTCAGTCTCAAGCTAAGGGTCTGTGATATTTTTCTCTCATTATTCTCTATATTGACATCATTTTGGTATTCCTTTATTGAAATATTAAGCATTTTGTTTGCTGAACCACACTTCAGTTGTATGATTTCAGTGCTGAGAACTGCATAAATATACATAATTACTAAAATGTGTGTCCTATATACATATATATATATATATATATATATATATATATATATATATATATATATATATATATATATATATATATATATATATATAAAAATATCAGACACACATTTTAGTAATTATGTATCAAAAGTGTTAACCATACACTCAGTCCACAACTGGGATTTCCCACAATATTTTCAACAAAACTGAAGAGAAGAAAAACAATGACTATGACTACATATGTTGTTGCACTACTTTCTAATGACATGAGAGCTGGAAGTCTGGTGAAGTGCCAGAGTGAGTTGTTGACAGGGGCTGATACTTTACCAACTTTGGTGTTCAAACAATGCAATTGCATTAGGCAGCATAATTAACAGATGTACACGGTCACAGTTTTGTATTGCAGTCCTGCAATGTCCCACCCCTATTATGCATATTACTTATCAAATAGAAACACAGCGGTAACAGCAATTACAAATACGTCTTTTGGCATTTTACAGCAGTATTTTTATTTAGTTACTTTTAAAAAGAGATTGACACATGCACTGTTCAAGTAATATGACAGATGTTACAGTCTGCTAAACATTTCAGCCTAGAAAAGTAAAAAACACATCTGCAATGTGCTGACCAATATACAGATATTAAAGGGGAACTCGATTTTTCAAAATTTCTGCATACTTTAATGGTCAAGATGCAAACGGTCATTCAGAGTGGTTTGGAGTAAAATGCTTAATTGTAGAGAAACTTACCGAGTCAGAACTGTTTACAGTGGTGGTGATAGGAACCATACGTCTGCAGTGTTTAATGCCTCTAAAAGCTCCCTCACAGAAAGTTATTACATGAAATGTTTATGAATATGCTGCCTGATGTCTGAGACAGTTTTACAGTAGTTTTGTGATAAAATTTTGGCTCAAAACATGTTACGGTCAATTTATTTAATCTATTCATGGTGGAGGGATACAAAAGCAGTGTTCTAAGGCAAATTAGTCCCCAAAGAAAACTTATTTTTCAGATATATGCCTATTGAACCATTGTCAACATTACATATAAAATGTCATAAAAGACGTGTAGGTTTACTGGTGGTTTTGGACAGTAAATAAAATCTTTGTATTGTAGACACCGGGACCCCTGGTTCCTATCAGCACCACTGAAATTTGAGTCAGCAACTTTCTCTAAAAATGAATCCCCCGATATTGACTGTTTACATCTCAACCACTGAATTATGCAGACATTTTGAAAAATCGGTGGAATTCCCTTTTAAAAGTCATTCTGGTCCCTGCTATGGTTTAAGCGACCATTACACCGTATTTGAGAGTTCAGGATCCATAGTTCGCCTCATCAAAAGCCTTGCGAGCTCTCTTCAGCTCTTCGTTCATGGTCAGCAGGTCTTTCACTCTCGCGAACTTTCTGGGGTCTTTGCGAATGAGAAACACGATGTCCTCGACCTGAACGCGGCCCTGGCGGCCGATGGACATCGCTTTGTGGGTCATCTCCGTGATGAACTCTATCACCAGGTCCTCCAGGATGTCCACTGACTCCGTGTACGGGTTCTGGTCGTCTCCAAAGCCGTACATCATGCAGCGCAGCTCTTTCGAGAACAGCCTCTTTCTTCTGCCGTGGCCCGACTCCACACCGTTTCCTCCATCGTCCAAATCTTCATCAAAGCCGGGATCATCGTCCTCCTCCGCCATGTTTGTGCCGGAGACGGAGCTACAGCTGAAGTGTTCTTTCAGCAGCTACTGTCAACAAAACACAGCGCTCAGATAAACAGAAACCCATGTGTTCAACTGTTAATACTCTATTCATATTAAAGAAGCCACACAGGGTCTCATAAAATCTGACTTACTGGAAGAAACGTCACCAAAACCTGGAGCCTTTCAGCGGCCACAAACAAACAACCGCTGCCTCCGTTTCTTCTTCTGGGGCTGTAAGACAGACTGGAGCTGTATTGGCGTCCCGCTGCCCCCTACAGGAAGCTGGACGTGTTTTCAATTTATTCACTTTTCTTTTTAAAAACAAACGGCAAATTATATCAATTACTTCATAAAATTGATTTAAGACGTACAAAAACAAACTATATACAATAAAATTAAATAAGTAAATACATAATATGTTATACACGTATAGATGTCAAATCAAGTTGTACACAGAAAACAAGTTAAATCGTTTCCATATGTGTTTACTATCCATATATTTTTAAGAATCATGCTTCACTTTCATCACTTTCTAAAAATAAAACACATTATGGTTTTCAAACAAGCATCACTGCACATGTAGGAGTCTCTCATACTATGGATGTGAAATGCCTTATAGCTTATTGCTTTTATATTAGTAAAGGATAGACATAGTTTTAACTGTCTAGTGCCTAACAATATATGTCAATACAAACCTACAGTGAAATGAAATGATGAGTCTGTCACTCCACCTTTTGTTTTGCGCATATTCTCATGGCTGATTTCCATACATATTAAATGTCTACTGGGACAGCAAAGGAATATCAAGGCATGCATGGAATTATTTGATTTTATGAAAAACACTTTAAACCAGAGGGACTTAGCTCCACACTTGGTAGATGGAGTCCATCATCACAGTTGGGAAGGTACCAAAAAGTTACCAATCAGGGCTGGATTAAAACCCACCAAGATCAGAGCTGAACACCCCTCACAGTGTTCTTCTATTTGATGTCATCTAAAAAATTTAGATTTAGTTTAAATACGAGTTGAAAATGTATAAATGACAGTATTACAGCTAGTGTGAATTTTATCACAAGTGTCCTCATTTTCAGAGACAAATGTGTGGCAACAACCGTGGTCTTTATGTGTGCTTCTTTATAAAGGCAGTGTTGTTCAATGTACCACTGAATCCATTGTGCATGTGTTGTATGAACGTCTCCATCAATATATACTACAGTAAATTCTTAAATCAACACAAAGTCACAAAAACACAGAAAAAAAGACATCTCATTCAGCTTAAAGAAATTTACACGACAGCTTTATTATCTAAAACTTTTTGAATTAATTGTATAGTTGTAGCTAATACTGCCATCTACACATGTTCAACTCGTATTTAAACTAAGTCACTTGCATTTTAAAACATTTTGGATGACATCAAATGGAAGAGTATAGCGTGAGGCGTGTTCAACTTCAATCCTGGAGGGTTTTAGTCCAGCACTGTTTGGTAACAGTAGATTACATTTCCAAACTGTGATGGACTTCACCCACCAAGAGTGGAGCTAAGCCTCTCTGATTTAAAGAGATTTTCATAAAATTAAATAATTCCATGCATGCCTTGATATTCCTTGACTGGCTCAGTAGACATGTATTATGTATGGAAATCAGCCATGAGAATACGTGCAAGACGAAAAGTGGTGTGACAGTCTCCTACATGTGCAGTGACACTTGTTTGGTATAAAACTCCATGTTTTCAGACAGAGGAGGGTCTGCTGATTTCAGTTCACTATGGGTTTATCTGGACACAATGTATTGTTTAGGCACTAGGCAGTTAAAACTGTGCCCATCCTTTATTAATGTCAGCGCAATAGGCTATAAGGCATTTCAGACGCATAGTTTGTGCAGTGACGCTAGAAAACATAAAAAAACTGCATGTTTTCTGACAGAGAAGTGTCTGGTTATTAAATTAAAAAATGAATGATTAGAAATATCTCAAATAAAATAACAAACAAATAATAAACAAAACAAGTAAATAAATACACAACCTAATAATACTAATAATACTAATTTAAAAGGATTACACAGACTAACAATGAACACTACCTCATCAGTGCCACCTACCGGCGGAATATGGTCACTGTATCGACAAGTGGAACACGTGTAAAACTGGAGTTTGCCGACTTCCACACTAACGTTATCGCAGATAATTATGGTAAAAAAAAAAATCATTATAAATTTCTTATGAAACCGAGCCCGAGTACGTGTATTTTTGTGTTATTCATTCCAAATATTTCACCAAAGACATCACTTCAGCACTGCGTTTGCACACCCCCCAAGGGGTTTTAATGCTCTGTTGGTTTATTTTGAAATGGAAACACTGGAGAAATGCAAAAAAGACCTGCTTCTGGTTACAATTGCGCTTATAACGTTAGTTATTAATTGAACGGAGTTCACTACGTAGGGTGTAGGGAGCCATTTGAGAAGCAGCCCACTTTAACAGTTCCCGCCGACTTCTGGGCGAGGCGGGTTGTCGCTTAGAGCGCCACCTAGAGTGTTGGAGGAAGGCAGTGGGACTGAAAGCATGAAGTGTGAGCACTTTAATACATAAAACACGCCTTGAATCACCCAAGACACAAAACAAAACACTAAAAATATTTATCTGCTACTTGTGACTAACAGAGCTTTATTTCTATTAAGAAAATTGTATCCTTGTTAGGTTTAAACACAGAAGATTCATGTAAGGGTATCCACATTTCCCGGGGTGCACCGCATGTACACGTCAGAGGTGCGTGGCTGCTGCTACTGCTGAAAGACCAAAACAGAGCTGTTAGTCTGAGTGATAATGAATCCTGTTGATCCAGGTTTCTTCACATTATACTTTCATTATTGACAGTTCCGGTTCTTCGTGGCGAAAGAATAGTTATGGTAACGTAACCTTGTTCCTGTATCCAGTTTCTCATTGGTCTCACTATCGAGGATGTTAATCAGGTAAGAGAATCAGATCACAGATGTTTAGCTGCTGTTATTAGCTAGAAGGTGGTAGTTAACATGGTGCGGAATTCACTCAGTTAAACGCTTCACGGGCCTGGACAGCACATGGTTAGAGCAGCTGATCCTACTCCGTGTGTCAGGTTAAAGCGAAACCGCCCGAGCCACGTCCTGAGATACTCCTGACACGTTGTTCATTTTGGTCTGTGTTTCCACTCGTATCACTTGTTGAACCGGTCGCCTGTTGAGTGTAACAGCAGTGCAGTCTAACTGCTGTATTATTACTGTGTAGCTTTCTCTCTCAGCATCGATAAAATGTGTTAAATATCTGTTGATCTAAAATCAGTAGCCCACTTTCACAGTTGAAGCTTAATAAGAACTAAAACCCGCTTAACATGCCAGTAATATGGGTTTGGTACACTGTTGTAGTGGAGGTGGACGATATGGCAAAAATACAGTATCGCGATACTTCAAGATGTTTTGACGATGCACGATATGTCACGGTATTTTTTCTGCCTACCGATAAATTGAAACGGACAAAATAAAACCAGTGAAGCCACATTTTATCAATGCTTTTAAAAAGTATGAGCACAATGATTTTTTTTACCATTTTAAACACTGGTCTGCCATAAATCCAATTAAACAGGACTAATTATGTCCTCTTTGTAATGAAGCATGCAGTTGGTCAGTGTTCTTGAAGTACTGACAAGATCACTTACTCAGAAAAACATGTTATGCCATACTATGCCATAATTTATCATGACAACAATAAATATCATTATTTTGTAGTTAAAAACCTGAGCAGCGCTCTTATTTATCCTTCTCTGGAAAAGAGCTAGCATTAGGACTAGGGATGTAACACCAATACACAACTTTTCGATACAACGTTTGATTCTAAGGTCAAGGTTTGCTTTGCTGTCGATATTTAGTTAGAACTGTCTTGATTCTCCTTGGCTCTAATTATATATTGCACAGGCCGGTGTTGCTTAATAAAAGCTCCTTAACAAAGTAAGGCTGAAAAATCACAACACTACAATGTATAACAAACTTTAGATCAACAAAAGATGTCACACTTACTAGGGCTGCTCGATTATGCCAAAAATCAAAATCACAATTATTTAACACGATTGCCTATTGACTTTGGAAACGTGATTTTATTGAACCTGTGCAAAAACTTAACAGATAGAGTTTCAGACGATTAACCCCTTAAATGGCCAGAGCCAAAGTTTTATTACACACTTCTATAACCTAAGAATGGCTCAGCCAGTTTGCATTGAAGTCCCTGTAGTTACTGAGTAATAAGCTATAGTAATCTTGTTTTCATACCCATTGGAAGCCAAAATTGTAATTAATAATACAATCTGATGAATCTGTAGTTGGCTGCAGCACGCCTCCAGCACAAGGAGGATTTGTTCTTGGTTATTGTGACTGACCCTTAAAATTTCATTTTCTAGTAGTTAGTCCTCTCATTCCTGTGTGGAAATCCGAAAAGCCCGCTGTGTGGGGATGGCATGCCCGGTGTCCGTCATCTGTCGGGCAGTCCGCAATGTGGGCTTGGTACTCATCTACTATGTCTTCTCAATTGGAATAACTTTCTACAACAAGTGGCTCATGAAGGTGAGGAAGACCTCGTTTCCTTCTCTCATATTTTAGATGTCCAGACATTCAAAGGGCCTTTATCATAGAGAACTGAATTGTCCCTGCTTTTTTGTAATGAAACAGTTTGATGTATCATGTAAACATTGTTTTAATTTCAGAAAGTACCAATTACTCTGGAGTTTATATTATCTATACAGTCAAATGCAAAAGTTTGGGTGCCCTTAGTTACATGTTTTGTTGATCTTCTACAGAAAACAAATGTCTGTGCATTTTAGTGCACACTTATTGTTTATGTGCTAAATTTAACATATTACAATAAAAATGTGGCCTGTGTAAAAATTATAGCACAATTTATGTAATATTTTTATATTTTTTTCTAAAATGTTAAACTGAGCTAAAAACTATGCATAAAAATTTGCAGAAAAATGTCATATTCAAAGTTCCATTATAGAGGATGTGTTCATTTATTTTCAGTATGAAAGTCAACAAAACATGTAATTTTTCACTGTGGTATTCCGACTTTTGCATACAACTGTGGAAATTGAGCTGCAAAAACAACCTATTTTGAATGAATTATTTTTGTGACATCTCACATACCAAAACATTTGCATACATCCGCCTATTTAGCCTATAACAGTTAAGCCCCGCCCATTCACACTGAAGTTATAAGGATGTTTTAGCCCAGACTGCATTTTGAATGAGGTACAACACAGAGCAGCCCATAAGAACAGAGCTCATTTACATATATCTGTCTTAAATGCACAGTAACAAAAACAGCCTGTTTAATTTAAAGGGATACAGAGAGGTGCACATATATAAAGAGAGGCCGTTCAATCACACAAATAGCCATGCAAAAATGAATTATTGCTGTTTTCGGCACATAAAACCACACAAACTTATAAGTGGACCTTACGACAAATGTAGGATATGGGTCCTTCAGCTCCATAATTCATTACAGTTCTTTCTTCTGTGTGATGTTGCTTTGTCCTTGGCTCTCCAAGTTTTTCCTTACTCTCATATTTTTATGCCTAGGGCTTCCACTTCCCTTTATTTATGACACTGTGGCACCTGACTATAATATTTTGCCTGTCGGCTCTGACACGCTGTGCCATGCAGTGCTGGACACGGAAGCCTCGAGTTACACTTGGTTGGAAAGAGTACCTGTACAAAGTGGCACCAACAGGTAGGACGTGAAGTCTTTTTGGGGAAAGAGACTTGTATGTCTCTCGGTTATAAGATAACGGTAGTCAAGGTGAGTGTGATAAGACAGCCGGGCTTATCACAAAGGTTTAAACAGAACTGAAGTCCATGCTGATTTTGATTGCGTGGCACATTCAAGAGCTGTTAAACATTTTACCTGCATTTGAAAAACTGGAGCATATGATGAAGTTCCATATCAGCTTATCAGTGCCTCCTCTTAATGTGTATTCAGTAAACATTCAGTATACTAACGTCTCTTCATGTAAAACGTATATCACAGTAACCCAGACAAAACATACATTGGTTGAAAATCAGTTCTCTTTCATGTGTACTATCTTTCAGCACTGGCAACCGCACTGGACATTGGACTGTCCAATTGGAGCTTCCTTTTCATTACTATCAGTCTGTGAGTATATGTGTAAAGATATAGCTCTTAACAACCTGTTTTAGTTCTAGTTGATGGCAATTCTTTTATGTTAGTGTGTACTCTCTCTGTAAGAGAATGTATGGATAGACCTGTGTCCAGTAACAACCCCAAGTGATGATAAAAATTAATTTACCGCTGGTTTAAAAAGATTTTTTTGTAATTATTTTAATTTTTTTTTTTAAGCATAACAAGTATTCCCTTAGTTGAACTTTTCAACATGTTGAGTGATTTGACTTCTTACATTAAAGCCACATTTATTGCATCTAGAATAGATAAGATTTTATCTAGAAACGTGGCTGTTGAGCTGCACTGGTTGAATGTGTTTGAGGCAGCGGGGCACTGCATGCTGTTGTGGCAGGTGGGTGTGCACAAATGGCGCCTGTAGTACAGCGTATATTTTAGGACATCCTCTAATCAGAGCAACAGACATCAGACAAAACAGCTTTGGGTCTTGGATGGAAGAACAGGGTCGCCTCTCAGCTCCAACAATTGGATAGCAGGCGAAATGGCCTAAAGTTAATGTGATAGTCACAGTTTGATTCTGTCTTACTAGATGAATTACAGTTTTCTGGTCAAATTAAAGATGACAGTATATTGTTTTACTAAAATGCTATTATGTTTTTTGATCTGACAAAGATTAAGACTCAAATCACGCGCTACAACCTCCTGCCCCAGTTTAACCATTTACGGCAGTTATTTTCCACATGGTTTCGTGAAATAAGACAATTCTGTTATCTGAACAGGCCTAAGTATGAACAAAACTGCTCAGATGTGGTGATTAGACTTTATTGATGTGCTTTTTGCAGGTACACGATGACCAAGTCTTCCGCTGTTCTCTTCATTCTGTTTTTCTCCCTAATCTTCAAACTGGAGGAACCGGTAAGCATTTGATTTGACCCCAACATGCATGTTTTTGACATTGTTGATATTAAAGTTCAGGTTGTTTTTCTTATGTTTTTAATGAGTTTTCATTATTGTTTCTCAATTTGCTGCCAAGTTCATGTTCACATGTTTAAAATAACACGCAGTGTTAAAGATGACACATTTTGTGTTACTTTTAATACAACCAGTTTGTTCAGAAAAATGAAGTCTGTGTCAGAAGTATTCTGATGCAAGGACAGTTGAAATCGTGATGGCACAAAAAGTGTGGTGTTAATTTTTAAATGTGACACTACTGTTGTGCTGGCGCATTTTGTGCTTTTCAGCTTCTTCACAAACCTCAGAAAAATTAAATATGTTACATTAATTATTTTGAAAATAGTTTCAGTATCCTGATTGTTGTGAACAGAGTGATATAATATTAGCAGAAATATGACCTCATGAAGACATTTTCTGTAAAATTGTTGACCTTTTAGCGCTTTTGATAGGAAAGTCGCAAGTGGGGTAGCACAAAATGAAATGTAGTGCTTTTAAGGTTTGTGAACAGATTGAAAGAGCCAAAATGCACCAGCAAAAAAACTTGAAACACATTTAGTAAAAACTTGTTTAAAGGAACACTATGTAAGATTTTTTAATTGAGAGGAGCAACATTACTGAGTCAGATGAAAAAACGCAGGGTAAAATATGGTGTGTGCGCTGCTGTGAGGCACCCTGTAATAATTCACAAGTCCGAGGAATTGGGATGGATTGCGTGGGAGCTTTTCAGACCTTGTCATATGTTTTTACGTATTAACGTCACACTCGATACTTTGCACATTAATGTCAGGCCTAAAAAGAAGGTAATTTAGTTTTCAAATGCAAAATCAAGATTATAGTGATAAAGATATAATGACAATAGTGGATCATTCACTTACATTCTCAGAAGACACATCCTTCACCAAGTTCACCACTGAGTTCTCTGAGAAGGGTTCAAAGCAGAACTGATGTTACAAAATATTCTTCCGCATGTTGCATGCAGTTACACACTTCCACCAAAGAGGTCCACAAATCTGCAAATCTTACATAGTGTAGCTTTTAAAAATGCATAGGAGTAGCATCAAGCAATTGGTGAAATAATGAAACAAGGTATTTAACACAATGGCCTGACATCTAATCAGCTACCTGTTTCTATTCAGTTTATGCACTGACTGTACACTGATTGTTGTTGTTTACAGGCTCTATAAATGATCTGTTTTTGTCGCTTTGTTGATTAGAACAATTAGAATTTAAGTCGCTGTGCTCAAATGGAGCACTTATTCTTATTTTCTTTTCATTGGCCTTAATTTACCAAGAACAGTTGGAGGTCTTTCTCCTATTTAGTGAAAGCTTTTAAGTTAAAAGCTTCTCTGGATCGCATGCTGTATTGCTTTGGATCACACTGTGAAGCAGTCAAGCCCATAATTATGGGCCATTTTTGTCTGAACTGTTAGGTCTAATGGTTCACTGATCACGTAACTGACAAATCAAAGTGTACTTGTTCCTTTTTGGCATGTGGTGCTAATGTAAAGCAATCATTTGGTAAAAGAATTATTGAAGCATTTTTGTGTGACTCATTGTTAACCCGAGGAAGTTAGATCATCATAAAGTTTGTCTTTCTTTTCAGAACCCATTCCTGATCCTGGTGGTGGTGCTTATAGCAAGTGGTCTTTTCATGTTCACACTCAAGTCTACACAGTTTAACTTGGAGGGCTTCATCATGGTCCTGCTGGCCTCCTTCATTGGTGGGATCCGCTGGACCCTCACTCAAGTCCTCATGCAGAAAGCTGAGCTCGGTGAGTCTGCATCAGACTAAAGCCAGGCAGACACTGTGCGATTTTAGAAATCTTAGAAAAGACTCACAGTACAGGTTTGAATCGTGTACAGCCAAAGCCTGTGATTTATATGGTCACACTGTATGAAAGCACTGATATGACACGACGTGGGTGCTCACACTGCACAGGAAACATATCCCTACAAACGGGCCTGTCTGCAGACAATTTCCAAGAAACCTGTCTCATTCAAAACATGTTACACAACCCACAGAGTACCAGGTAAAACTGGCAGAATCTCAAATGACTCTACATAATGCGCTACACAGGAATTAAAATAGTGGCTCCTGCACCCAAGCAGCGCATCATACACCGATCAGGCATAACATTATGACCACCTCCTTGTTTCTACGCTCATTGTCCATTTTATCAGCTCCACTTACTATATAGGTGCACTTTGCAGTGCTACAATTACAGACTGTAGTCCATCTGTTTTTTGGCCCGATCATAAAAATCAGTCTGCTCTGACCAACTCGGGCTTAAAACAGGTTAAAATCACATAATGTATGTCTGGCTTAACAGGGAGGGAGGATAATAGAGCTTTACATGGTTCATATTTAGGAAATTAAAAAATAAACAAAATTCTTCAATGACCTTAAAGGCAGGTTATGGCCCTTTTAATCTAAAGGGGCTGTTTAATGGCCAGCACTTCAATTCCTCACTCTTAAAACTACATAACTTGTATATTAGTGCCTTAGAAGTTACAAATAGTGGTTACTGAGTAACTAGTCCTATAATTTATGTAGATAACATGCCTGAGGTTTGAAGAGTTTCAAAGGTTCAGAGATTTGTAAGATGTGTGTTTGTGTATTGATTTATTTATTTTTTTTATTGTATTTTTCTGGTTCTCCTCTGTGCAGGGCTCCAGAACCCAATTGACACCATGTACCACCTACAGCCACTCATGTTCCTGGGTCTTTTTCCTCTTTTTGTTCTGAATGAGGGTGAGTCAGAGAGCCAGTTTTTGATTTAGAGTTCTTGATAATACCTAGTATAGCCAGGAGATGACACTCTGCTCCCTTTCTTTATTATGCACAAATATTCAGTTCAGATTTGTCTCTTTAGTGCTTTTTGATAGACATTGTCACAAACCAGCTTTACAGGAATCCATGTGTCCAAAACTGCATACTACTGTACATAAGCTACCTGGAAAAAAAAACAATTGCATACATCATTACTTCTCTAATGGGCTACTTGCACAATATAGTGTGGTTTAATGTGTTCAGTAAGCAGTGTGTGGATCACAACATCCACCAGTGTTGCAGCTGATTCTACACAAAGACTTTCTATCTGAGATTTTGTATATGTATATTGCATCATTCATACATCCTCTTCATCAGTGAGTGAACGAGAGTAGGGCTTCAAAATGTACATGGCGATTTGTATAGATAATTACAAAGGAAAGTTCTGTCGATGTCATTAAACTGTTAAATCCCTGTCATTCAGTAATCATTGTCTTTAGCTAGTATTATGGTAGTGATAAATTACTAGCAGACATTTTCAGGCTTTGTGTCATTCAAACCTGCAGCCAAAAAAGCTATCTTACCATGATGCACATGTTCACATCTGCCACAGAAGTCTCAGTAAATAGGCTGTGACATCCTCAGCATGCATGGCTAACAGCTCCTTCACTACTCAGTCATGTACAGATTACACTCCCATGACGGTTTTCCTTCACAAAGACTCAAAACTCGGCTGTAAAAATAAAAACGTCACAAAACAGTTCTGCTTTTTACCAGCAGTATTGCGTCACTTTTGAACAGTCTCATGTAGAAAAACTCATGTTCCTACATATTAGAGAATTATATTAAATATTAGGTCAGTGTACCAACTGAGACATTGGCAGATGTTGTTATGCACACACTGCTTATACCAGAAGTGTGCAGCACCATCTTGTGCAACTATCCAATGCTTAGTCAAGCATCCGATTGCTTTAATAACAGCACCAGTCCTGTCAGGTGATTATTACAACAGTCTCAGTTCCTGTGTATTGTAGCCTACTCTTCCCCACTAGCTTTGTGCTTCATGTCCAAGCAGTACACAACATTGACATTCCCATGTTTCAGGATGACAACTACAGGGTTATGCAACTGGTTCAACAGATATGAAGGAACACTTGGACAGTGGGACTGAGGCACTACACCTCAATCCTAATTCTTAATTTGGAACAGCTGATAGGCTGAAATAGATGCACACAAACTCTGGCAGTTTTGTGGAAGAGTGGGTAAAAGTGGACATGAACTGTCTCTGAAGGTGTAATCTTAAAAGCATTAGTGCTGTGATTAGTGCAAGAGGACACGTAACCAGAAGTTAGAAAATAAGTGATGCATGCGAGTAATTCTTTTGTGTGGTGAGCTTAAGGCACTCCTGAATGCACTGCTGTTGCTTGTGTTCTAGTTTAACATGCTATTTAGTTTAGAAGTAAGCGGTTTTGAATGCAGCCCATATTTTCCTTTTGAACAAGTCGAGGCTGTCTGAGGCAGGTACAGCTCCCTAAGAGCATGAGGCCAAGACCTTATTAGGTCAGTATGGTTTTGTATAGCAGTTTCTCTTCCTCAGTTGCACATGTGTGTAGACATTAGTTCTTTGGACTCTTTCATGAAGGAAGCCTACTCTACTTAGTTTTTAAAACGTTTGGCACTGGGGATGCACAAAGATCAAAATCATATTGGCATCAGCAGATAATTGGGTTAACTAAATTATCGCCATCACATAGATGTTTCAATGTGACAGATATTTGGAACCCTACAGACGTAAATGCCATATCTTTTCTGCAATGCTACTCCAAGTAGATGCAGCCCTGATTTATATATAATTCTTTATAATAACTCTGTTTATGTTTTGGCACTGGCAGATATGTACATGAAAGGTATTGAATATTGACACTGGCCTACAATGTCCATATTGATGCATCCCTTCTAGCCACTTGTACAGTCCATAGTGAGTTGGCTATAAATGTATTCTTGTATTTATATTTAGACGACTAGGTTATATTCATAGACTGGTCACTAGAAGAATCCTTACTTTCTCAAATCACATTTCCATAAAATGTTCTTTACTATTTTGTGTCTATTAATGACATACTTACTTGTTTATGCATGACTGGACAACCAATGCATTTGGCTCTTGTATTATGTATTTACTTTTCGGACTTTGATAAGATCTTAAATATGTGATCAGGGCTGGGTTTGAGCACCACAGAGAAGCTGTTCAGGGTGAGTGAGCTCCAGCCGTTACTCTACTCTCTCCTGACTCTGTCAGTGGGCGGATCGCTGGCCTTCGGACTGGGTTTCTCAGAGTTTCTGCTCGTCTCCCGCACCTCCAGCCTTACGCTCTCCATTGCAGGCATCTTTAAGGTGAACGCACACACCCAACTGAATTAGCATCTACTCATCTTCCTTGCAGTTGTCATGATCTTTATACTCAAGTAATGCTGACCATACACTAGAAGACTTTGAGAAGAATTTGTAAAGACTTTTGAAAGACTAAAATCTGACACCCTCTCACATCTAAAGACAGTGTCACAGTTTTTAGTCACAGACTATGATTTTGCAAAGACTGGGAATCTTGCAGGGTCACTATTTGCAAGACTGCAACTAGGTTTTTGAGTTTATTTCCCATCATGCACCCGGTGGAAATTTACAAACAGATAAACCCTTTCCTGCCACTATACATAATAATTAATGGCATAATTATTGTACTCTAGTAAAGCAGAGCATGTAAATGACACGGGGGTACTGCGCTGAAATATCTGCATTTTATTGCATTTGTAACACATAAATAAATAAATATTATATTTTGCCATAATGCTAATCCAGGTGGCTCTCGTCCCAATTTCTATATTCTATAAATGTGCTTAATAAAAAGCATTAGACATTGGCATCAGCACACCATGTTGGTGTGCCCTACTGTGATTACTCAAAAGAAAAAAACAGACATTAAGAACAGACACAAAACACCAAAAAATTCTAATAAAGGCAAGGAAGAAATACAAAAGAGAGAAAGATATGCTTACTAATTTCACAACCCAGCCACAGTATGTACGTATGTATGTATGTACATATGTATGTATGCCTTGGGTGACCAGTCTCCTCTGCGAAAGGCTGGTTTGACTTCATTCCAAACAAGGTTCCACTTGTTTTAATCAGTTGGTCTTATTCTTCAACAACATCATATGAGCTCCTGCTTTGGAATGAAAACCTGTACTGGCTCTTTCTAAGAACTGATTACTTACTACATACTGTCTGCTGTGAATAAACTCATTTGCTGAATCTTCATGTTTTTTCACGTTAAAAAATGATTGTTATATATTATGTCAATTGGATGGATAGTTGATGTTCTCTCTGTCTGTCTGTCTGTTTATAGGAGGTGTGCACTCTGCTGCTGGCAGTAGGGTTTATGGGTGACAAAATGAGCACGGTGAACTGGCTGGGCTTTGTTGTCTGTCTGTCCGGTATCTCTCTACACGTGGGTCTGAAGACATACTACAGCAAAGGTAGCGTTCCTTCAGTCACTCTTCTCTTCAGCAGCCTCAGTCAGAACCTGCATTATTTTTGAATGTGTTTTGTGTTGTGTTTTTTTGTCCTGGTAGCATACAGTTGAATACCTCCCTGATACTTAGTAAAAGAACTGAAGACATCTAAATGCAAGTCATAATAGAGGCCAATGGGAATGTATAGTAGCATCTGCACAGTGGCTTTTATTATGAGTGTCTTTAGAGGTAGTAGGTGTTCTTTCTTTCCTTAAGGACTGAGAAATGTGTCAGATAATTAGTAAAACACTAGAAAACTGTAAATAAAAAGAAATGTTAGATGTGTCTAGAATGATGAACGGAGCTAAACGAGAAAGCTGGGTAGCAATGAGAATTAAAGCTACCCAGTGTAAAATCTGGGGGGTTGGAGACCTCTCTGGTCGAAATGTGTAATTGCACCCAACCTGTGAAAGAACGTTTTGTAACGTGGGTTGTGGTTCGAACTCCTTTCTTGAGAGGATGAATCTGATGATTTTGAGATCTTAAAATACAAAACTTAGTGAAGGACATGTTTTCAGATAATGTAAGTAAATTATCTATCATTGTCAACATATCCATCAGTATAATGTTGACTTTGCATTTGAGACCTAAACATCGAGCTGGACTTCTTTTGGATCCTGTGCGCATGACGTTAATGTGTAAAGACTTGTGATATAGTCTCCAGGCTCCCGAGTGGCGCAACCGTCTAAGTGCTGGCCCTATCATCAGGAGATCGCGAGTTCGATCCCTGGTGATGCTACAGCCATCCGTAGCCGGGAGTCCAAGAGAGCACAGTTGGCTTCACTCTCTCTGGGTGGGTAGGATGGCCCCGCCTTCTCCCCCCATCACTCAACGCGATGCTAGTCAGCGCAGGCGTCTGTTAGCTGACGTAACAGATCTGGCGGTTAGCGCTTTCCTCCGAGCGCGTTCAGCTGTCCAATGACGTTGCGTCAGTGGCAGTTCGAAAAGATGCGGTGGCGCTTCACAGGTCTCAGAGGAAGCCTGTGTTAGCCTTCACCCTCTTAGCGTTGGTAGTATCGTGTGGTTGGGCGAGTCCTAACTAGCGGGTGGAATTGGAGACGACTAAATTGGGGAGAAAATTGGGTAATGACTCTCCAGAATTCATGATATTTCAAAGAGGAAATCAATTCTTAAGGTGTATATCTCGACAAAAAAGGAAAGTAAATAGATCATACAGTATATTACTTACCATTAAATTGACTTGACTGACATTGACTGATTCCTGAAATACTTAGTGGGGATTTTTTTCTCCTTTTTTATTTCAGAAAGAATAATCATTTGTGGTAACTTACTGTATGCTACAGATAGAGATTCCGTTGTAAAACACTGGAGTATTCCCATAATAATAATCTTCAGGTGCATTCATCACTGAGACTGTTACGCCTGTCAGGAGTTTCTGGTTGTTTATCTTCAGCCTCTTTGCTTTTTCTAGGTAATGGCCCTACATTAAGGCCTCTGCCAGGCAGAGACAACCCAGATATGGAGCTTCCTCTTCTTACATCCAGAGAGGATGCCTGTGAGGTAGAGGACGAAGAAGAAGAGGACTGAACTTCATGGACAATAGGACAAATAGAGGTTTTCAGTCTCCAGAATGAAGAAGGAGTAAATGGACCTTTTGGTATCATCTCCTTCATAATTCTCTGGATGGTCACATTGACCACAGACCCAGGAAAAAGTAGCACAGATGGCACAGTAACGTCATAAGAAGCTATGGTACAGACCTCACGCCGAAAGGCTTGAATTATAGAAAACCTGGGATGTTTCAGGAATAGACACATCCTATTCCTTGCTGGGAGGAGCCAGTTTAAACACTGATTGTGACCAGGTCTAGGGCTGCATGATTAATTTAAACAGTTAAAAGTATTTTCACAAAAGGCTTTTATCGTCAGAGTACCAAAAACTACGGCCCAAAATGCATTTTAATCCGGCAAAACAGAAATCTGGACATTTTAGCCAGACCATGGGCCATTTCAGGTCATATAAGTTGCATTGTAACACAAAATTATTTATCTTTTATTTATTTCTATCATGCAGCCCTGACCAAATTTGCATTCTCAGTCTGGACTCAGGACCAGTTTCTATGGGGCCTTATGTCTTTCTGTTTACATGAGAACTGACTCCTTTTACTAATGAACAGTTTTACTTTGCAAAGATGTAATAATTTTGTTAGTTATGTACTAATGATCTTTATTCATGTAAAATAAACAACTCATGCCAGGAATCCATGAAAACACATTTTTCTAATGTTCTGTTGTGTACTCTTCATGATGTATGGCAAGTTCGCATCATTTCACATCTGACCTGCAGACCAAAGTTGATTAGATTTATTCATTATGATGCCTCTTGGCAGAGAGCAAGTTTGCAAAAGCTTTAGCCTAACTTGGTTTATTTTTGTGTGTTTAGCATATTAACCTGCAATCAGAGAGCCTATTCATAATTCATCAGTCTGCAGGGAAGTGGAACAAGATGATGATTTTGAAATTGAACTGGGTGGTTTACCATGCACGTGTCAAGCTCCAGTAACAATGGGCCAAAACACTGCAGACTTGAGCACCCTGCCTCACTAAACACACCTGATTCAGCTCATCAGCTAATTAGCAAGGTCTTCATGGACTGAATTCAGAGCGTTAGATGAGGGCAAACGCTAATCTCGGCAGCACTCTGGCCTGGAAGGTCCCCGGTTTGACATGCCTGGTTTACCATGTTTGATATGCTAGAGACTGCTTTAAAATGTGTTGTCGACCTAATATTTGGAATTCTATGTAAAAATATTCAAAAGCATATTTGATTAAAATGGCACCACCACTCTGCTGACCATCCCAAAATCTGACATATGATTAGGATCAACATACATCATTTCTTGCTTCTTTTTTTAAGGGTTTGCTTTCTACAGCACCATCTTGTGGGGTTAAATGGAAAGGGCAGAAATAATTAATTGGTAGAAAAAGTTTCATTATGATTCTGATTGTTTTCTTTCTTCTCCATTAATTACATGTTTAATACAAGCAGAAGTTCTAGAAATTCAGTTGAACATGTGAAATTTTATTAGTACTAGAAAACTTAGAAAATATAAAAAGTGTGTAAAATATTAATATTTTAAAAATTAGGAAATACATTTTTACTTTGTAAGATTTTGCTTCTCACTAATAATTGGATCAACTTTTTGTGTTTCATTTTTAATGTGTGTAATTACTACATGTTTAAATAATTTCTAACTACTAAAGACAGTTTTTTTACATGTAACAATTCAGTTTTCATTAGTAAGAAACCTTTTAACAGTTCATAATTAGACACAAATCATAAAAATAACTTTTTAATTCTTAATTGTTCATTTATTACTAGTAATAGCAATAAAGGTAATATTTTACTTGTTTAAAGTAAATTTCAATAATCATTCTTCAAAAAAGATGGTTCTTCAAGGCTTCTTTAGTAAAGAAAATGGTTCTATATAGAACCATGAACACTCAAAGAACCCTTTTCATGATTAAAGGGTTCTTGATGGAGAATGTGCTGTAGATGGCTCTATATAGGACCTTTTTGAGAAAAGGTTTTTCTATTGTTATGCCAAACCTGTAACAATTGAAGAACCCTTTTGGGTGCTACATGGAGCCCATTTCAAAAAGTTTCTATAAAGAACCATGTACAGCACATTCTCCATCAGTCTGAAGAACCCGTTCATGATGCAGAGAACCCTTTAATCATTTTTGAGCATTAATGGTTCTATATAGAACTATTTTCTTTACTAAAGAACCTTTGAAGAACCACATTTTAAGTGTGTAGTACCATAAACACTTAAGGGGTTCTATGTAGTACCAAAGATAGTTCTGTGACTTTTTTTAATTAAAAAAAAACTCTTTAAAGAACCATATACAACAGGTTTCCCATCATAAACAAGAACCATTTATGTGTTCAAGTGGGCCCCTGAATTATCATGGTTCTTTAAAGAACCCTCAAAGAACCACTTACTTAAAGGATGTATCAATCAGGTGCCAGATGACCAAGTATAATTGAGTTATTCTCTCTGTTTGTCAGTGGTACCAGGTGTGTTGTGTCTAAAGCAGTATATACACCGATCAGACATAACACTATGACCACCTCCTTGTTTCTACGCTCATTGTCCATTTTATCAGCTCCACTTACTATATAGGTGCACTTTGTAGTTCTACAGTTACAGACTGTAGTCCATCTGTTTCTCTGCATACTTTGTTAGCCCCCTTTTTTACCCTGTACTTCAGTGGTCAGGACCCCCATGGACCCTCACAGAGCAGGTACTATTTGGGTGGTGGATCATTCTCAGGACTGCAGTAACACTGACGTGGTGGTAGTGTGTTAGTGTGTGTTGCGCTGGTACGAGTGGATCAGACACAGCAGTGCTGCTGGAGTTTTTAAACACCTCAGTGTCACTGCTGGACTGAGAATAGTCCACCAGCCAAAAATATCCAGCCAGCAGCGTCCTGTGGGCAGCATCCTGTGACCACTGATGAAGGACTAGAGGATGATTAGCTCATACTGTACAGCAAGAGATGAGCTATCGTCTCTGGCTTTACATCTAAGGTGGACCAACAACGCAGGTGTGTCTAATACAGTGGGCAGTGAGTGGACACTGTTTAAAAACTCCAGCAGCACTGCTGTGTCTGATCCACTCGTACCAGCCCAGCACACACTAACACACCACGACCACGTCAGCGTTACTGCAGTGCTGAGAATGATCCACCACCCAAATAGTACCTGCTCTGTGAGCGTCCATGGGGGTCCTGACCGCTGAAGAACAGGGTAAAAGGGGACTAACAAAGTATGCAGCGAAACAGATGGACTACAGTCTCTAACTGTAGAACTACAAAGTGCACCTATATAGTAAGTGGAGCTGATAAAATGGTCGGTGTAGATTTTAACAGTGAAAGTGATTCACCTCAGCTCCACTACTGGTTCTGCAGTCAGTCTCTGTGCACTGTCGTAATGTTAGGTAAACATGGTCGACTACAGGCAACTCGCCAGCGTTAAAGTAACATTTGAACACAGCTTTGCAGACCAGAAAAAGTATCACCCCTCTCTAAATTACTCTAAAGTTCGTTTTCCTTAAAATACCTAAAAATAAGAGCGCTGGTTCGACAGTCTTGCACCACCAGACACACAGACAGTGCTAGCAAACTGACGAGCTCCACTCAGAGCTGAGGCATCTCCCCGCCCAGATCTCAGCAGAGGAAGGTAGAGAGAGGGGCGTATCGAGTTCCTCACCTAAACCCCACCAGAGTGAGGACTAGATAAGGAAACAGAAACAGAGTGAACTAGCGGAGTCTCGTGTGTTCACATCCCCACCTGAGGAATGCAAATGACCGCTTAAAGCCTGGACTCTCGGACAAAGCAGCACAGCTTCAGGTAAGCCAGCTTTCTCCTCATCACGCCGCTCACTCTGCTTAGCCGCGGAGGGCGAATTGAACGAGTCTGAAAGAATGGAAACTTCACATTTCACACTGCTTAAATCACCCACCCAGAGGTCAGAGGGTGTGTGGAGTAGCTTAAAACCCACTCTCAGGTCAAAGTGTCTTTTTCTTAAAGAAATATTGACTAACTTAGAGGTTGAAGTAGCTTGTAGAGTTGAGCAGGAGTGAAAGGAGCTGAGGTTTGTTAGGCACTGTTCTTCTCTTTTTGGGAAAAATGAAATGCTAAAGCTCAAAAGTGAGAGCAACAGCAAGGAAAACCATGTGTTCAACAGGACAGAATGAAATTTCAGGCAAAATGAAATGGAGTCAAAAGAAAACTAATTTCAGCTGGGGCCCTCTCCTGTCCATAGAAGACACTTAGAAAAGGGCAAGTCCAGCAAAACTGGACTTTAGTATAACTAAGTAAAATGTAAACATTTACTACCCACCCTTCTCAACAGCTCTGCCTCATTTAGTAGTACATTGTTCTGTAGTTCTGAAGGCAGGTCTTTCTGTTCTGAGTGACCCTGTCAGGGTGGATAAATGTCCTGTCTCATGTTTCAGTGTAAAAGCCTGTGGTAAAATGTCTGAGGCCCTGCCACCTGTTTGACCCACACATGTTATGTATGAGTTTTCACCGATTCTACAAAAAGGCTTGGGCCTGCAGCTGGACTTACTACATGAATTGGTTATATAGCTCTTCAGTAATGTGATGTGGCTTGTTGTACATGTCTGATCCTGATTTATCAATGCTTTGAGATCAGATCTCAGATCTCAACTTTTCCTACATACTTTTTAATAGGGATGGACTGATTTGGGAATTGTGAGGTGATGCCAATATCCAGGATTTTTCATATATGCATTATGTGCATATCTGCAGATGCGGATACATATACATTTATGAAATGTAGAAATTGAGACTAGATCTACCTGGAGTAGCATTACATTGTAATTTTTTTCTGTGGGCTTGCAAATGCCCAGCATCACCAAAATGTTTTGATCTTTCAACATACAATAAATAGGTCATCACAATTCGTTTGAAATATCAAGTCAGACAAATCTAAACACCTGTCTAATGCTGATATTTTTGATATTAAAGTTTTAAAGTTTTTAACAGCAATTATCTGCTGATACCGATGTGATTCAGATATTATTGTGTGTCCGTACTTACAAACCTCAATTCCCTCTATGGTACATAATATCATCAGAAGATTAAGGGAATCCAGATAACTGTATGTGCATAAAGAGCAAGGCTAAAAACTTCAACCAAATACCTGTGAATCCCTCAGACTCTAAAAAATTGGCATGCTTCTGTGATGGATGTCACCATATGGTCTCTGTAGTATTTTGACAAATCGTTGTTAGTAAACACTGTTTGTTCCTGTATCCACAAATGCATGCTAAGACTGTTCTGTGCATAGTGCAGGCCATATTTCAGCGATGTCCAGCCAATTTCTCTGGACTCAAGCTCACCTGAAATGGACTAACTCACGGTGGAAACATGTATCGTAGTGTGATGAGTCAGCCTTCTCGGATTGCTTTTGAAGATAATGCACTTTTTGTTCTCCAGGCCAAAGAAGAAAAGGACCATCCAGATTGTTACCAATGTACAGTTCAAAAGCCAGGGTCTGTCAAGGTGGGGGGATGTATTAGTGCCTATGGCATGAGTAACTTGCACATACGTGAAGGCTCCATTAATGTTGATATATAGATACACATTTTTGAGCAACACATGCTGCTTTGTAGATGATTATCTTTTTTTAGGGACGTCCAGGCTTATTTCAACATTACAACTGCATGGAGAGTGTGGGTACTAGAATGGCCAGCCTGCAGTCCAGACCTGTCTCTAATTGAAAATGGATAGCACAGTAAAAAGTGCAGAATATGGCTACAGATTACTTGCATGATTGCGCAGCTTATATATCAGAAAAATGGCAAAAAAATCTGATTTTAAAACTGAATCAATTGGTCTCTTCAGTCCACAAGTGATACTAAGTGTTGTTTACAGAGTGATGCATGAGTTGTAAACAGGCTCCAGTCACAACTCTTAATACAATTTAATGTAGGCATTATATTGTATTGTTTTCAATTTAATACAGGTCAGTACAACACAATTTAATCACTGCTTTCTGTTTTTATTACTCCTAAATATCACAAACACACACCGTTTTAAAGATATTTTAACAGGTGTTCTCTTTTCCCACCTCTTGTCTTGTAATTAACTTCAGTGACTTAATGAAAGGTGCTGCTGTGGTCTGTCCTGTGGTTTCCTTCATGGTTAGAAATAAAGGTTCTGTGCAGGTACATTTTTCGTTCATCAAGGTACAAACAATGTAAATGTTTTCTCAAACATACAACAGTGGTTTTAAGGTCCAATTGTGAACCTTAAATACGTTTTCCTGGTGAAAAGTATATATTGGTACCTTTTCATGACTTATTTATGATACAATTATGTTCCCCAACTAAAGGTACTGAGATTACTGAGGGTACTGCCCCAGTGACAGTTTCATGCTTTTTTCTGAGAGTGTTCTGTGAGCACTGTGACTGTCCAGTGGCTGATCATTTTTATTACATTTTTATTTCATTTTATTTTATTTTATTTTTTTCCAACCCTTTTCGGTTTTGTTAAGAATGCATTACTTCATCAGTGTTTCTCGAATGACATTTAAGCCTCTATATTAGACACCAGAGTATATTTGAAGGTCCCTGTTTGGTCCAGATATTTTAAGTGGTTTGGTACATGACTTAACCATATTTATCATCATTCTGCGGTCTCAAAATAGTAGTCTAGTGACTGTTGCACGTTCAACTTTGGTTAACTTTGTTATGACAGTTACTGAATGAAGCATGTAATTGGTCTTTAATCTTCTCATTACAACTGTATGTTATGTTTTGCAGGTCCTGCAGTGATCAGGTCTTCTTTTGCCTGCTCTCACCTCTCCTCCTCTTTATCCAAGTCCAATGGCAGTCATCACTGGGATAATTCTAGTAATGCTGGCCTCTGAGGTTTATGCTCAAGGTAACATTCTGAGGCACCGCTGGTCAAATAACATGTTTTGTATAGAAGTGAAAAGAAGTGAAAAGAAGTTAACACATCCTCTACAGAGATTATATATTTAAATATATATATATATATATAAAAAATCTCCAAAATTATATCTTTACAGAAAAAGGAAAAAAACCTATATATATATATATATATATATATATATATATATATATATATATATATATATATATATGCGATATATATATATATATATATATGTGTGTGTGTGTGTGTGTGTGTGTGTATAATATATTAAACTCTGCAAATAAATAGACATTATGCTGTAAAATTTGCAGGAAAATGCCATATTTAAGTTTGTTCCCTTTTAAAAATAAATGTGTAACTTAATTCTTAATTTTCACCTAGAAAATCAACAAAACAGGCTATAATTTGACCTTTGCAGGTAAAGTGTCCCCAAAGTTTTGAAAGAAAGGCTACGTAGCACACATCTACACTAGATGTTTTCCTACATCTCTAGAAAAAATGGCCTGAAGATATTCCTGTTTTTCCATTATTTGGTCTTATATTGGTTTCCCTTTTTCATGCCATACACAATGCCTCTAGCGTTGCACATGAGCAGCAACTTTCAGACAGGTTCGTCTGACATGCAGGCTCTTGTAAGCACTCACGCTTGCTCAAAAAGCCTCACTGAAACACAGCGTCAAACAATAACCCCTCTCAGAGTGCACACCCAGGCATTCTTGCGCTTGCAGTTTCCCTTCTTACACACAAGTCATGGTTTAAGTTTAAGTATGATCTGTGCTGTGCTTTCTCATTATGCTAATAATATGCAGCCTCTCAGGAGAAGTGTGTAAGGAAGGGAGAAGTCCCTGTGAGTGATGGTTAGTATCAGTCTGTAGCACAAATCATACCTTTCTCAGCCGATTACAGGCCGTTTTAAATCCACCTATATTAGATGTTGCTGCATGGAGGAAATCTGAAGATGAAAGCATGAAGGTTGTTTTGGAGTTTGAAGTTGCCTGGCTAAACATACACATTAGGTCTTATAATTAGAGGCGCTTAGACTGCTGTAGTGATGTTGATATTTCAACCCTCCTTAAAGTGGAGATATCATGCACTCTTTTTAAATATTTGAATATTCAGATTAACTCTTATTTTTACATACTTTAGCTTGTTGACTTTCAATTCTTGAAGATTCCACAGGGGTTCTTAGGAGTGGTGCCGTAGAAAGTCAAATTTTGGTTCCCAAAAGAACTTCGAACATTTCAGTGGAGTGTACTTTAAAGTCTTTTCATAAATGAGATGTGTATGAGAATATTTTTAAAGTTAAAAATGTCTTTACATAATGTAAATGTTCTTAGGAACCTGTCCTTTGGTGTATTTCAGGTGTATTTCAAAACTGGACAATTCATGGTTTTGTTTCCTGAGAGTTTTTGAAATAAATAGAGATGCACAGAGATTTTGGTCACTGCAATTTTTGGGCTCAAAACAGAAAAGAGTCCAAAAATTTTGGCTAAAAAAGCAAACAAGTCTAAAGAAGTATCTAGTAAGATGTCAAAATCTAGGACCAGTAATGTAATCAGTCTCCTGCGTTGGTCAGCACAGATGTTTTAAAACAGGTTGAGCAGATAAACAGTGTAACCTTAAAACATTGTCCACTGCAGCTTTATTCTATACAGACTTTACTTGCTATTCAACATCATTTGATTAAATGAAATTCTGTAATAGAAATTACATAAATAATACTGAGTAACTCTGTGTTTTTCAGTAATACAGTTTTTAGCTACTAGTCTAGAAAGTCGTCACTGTAAATGAGTGTTTTTTAGCTCCTGCTGAAGTTTATAGCTGTTTCATTAAATGATGAACACTAAAGCAACTTCTGTGCTAATAGCGCAGTGCTGAAGAAACTTCAGACTGCTACACTGAACTTCCAAAGCCACATCCATGTGCTTTTATTAAAAAAGAAGCCTTTCCCTCGTTACAGCAGGGGGGTTCAGGAATTCAGCATTAGACACATTTGGGAAAGTAATACATTTCCATAATTTTACAGTTTTTAATATGTCATAGTATTTAGCAAGTTGTTTAAGATTAAATTAGTCCCATAGTTCTTTGTCAGTTCTCTCTCCCAACATCCCGATTATTTCCCCACATCGCCAGCATTTTAATTTAGTCTAAAAGCATAAATAAAATAGTGAATTATGTATTAAAAACATAATACATAACAATTTTTTTCACCGAATGTGTCCTGAATTTTGGGTGTTATTTTCAATTCGCTGAATCACTAACAAAAATGACCCTTTACAGTTCTAGGCCAGTCATGATTACAAAATCACCTGATCGTAGTTGTTCGAGCTGATTGCAGTCATTTTCCACAGTTTTTAGCTTTCACAATCATATGTTTACATCACATCAAACAGAATGCGAATTAAGATCTTTTTTATCAGTTTGGTTGAGGCAAATACACGTAATCAAAAAAAGTAGGAAATGCCTTTATTAAGACACATCATGGGCCTTTAAAAAAAACTTCTGACTGGTACAAAAACATGTTTAGAGTGTAGCAGTGTGTTTATTTGAGCTGTGCCTGTCAGTGTCCACAACCTGTGAGCTTGATAGCTGATCAACCAATTTGGCCACTTTTGGTACTTTAATAGCTGCATACAGTGAGCAAAAAAAAGACAGTTAAATTATTAATTATTTATTCAAATGGAAAGTAATCATCATCTTAAATTTGATTTTGATAGGCCTTTACATTTCTCATACCTTCTCTTCTTCATACAGTATGTGATTTGCAGCCTTCATTTGAGGGGTCACACCAGGCAGCTACTGGTATTGTAGTGGAGACCTTGCTGATGGTCTCCTCCTGGACTTGAACTAGCAATTTTTTGTTTAGGTTCATGGTTGCCTTACCACCATGACACTCTTCACAGCACCAAGATTCTTTTGATTTTACTTTCATCACAGTGATTTATTTGTTTCTCCAATAGTGTGTCTGCCTACATGATGTTGGCCTGCAGTTTTTTTGGCCTGGCGGTTGGTAGTGGTGTTGACTTTGGGCAGAAAACCTTACGTTTTGTCTGATCCTTTGCCAGTTGTTGCTGAAACACAGTGTTTCTCCATTCTTTTCCTTTTTCCACTCTCTGCCAGATGAAGATGCAGCCTAAAGACAGGCTGACACCACAAAGGCCTTCAGGCTACTGGAGGTCAGATTTTCTGCCAGTCTAACACTTGTCTGCACTGAGACTCTGACGTCACTTGCCCAAGGCGCCTCAAGCTAACCCCCTGAAAAACGGATTTCCTGTGCCCCTCATCCCTCTGTGGCCCCGTAGGACAGTAAAGACCCTGCTTTGAGTGATCGGGGACAGCTGGAGCGGGGCGAGACGCGCAGAGACAGGAGAATGAAAGAGGAGGATTGTTGGGAGACAGCGTGTGGAAATTATGCAGATCAGCCAAAGACAAGGACCGAGTTGAGCAAGGGATTTGTGAGGGAGGAAAAGAGAGGAGTGACCGCGGGAGACTCCCAGCGCTTTACAACCTCTCTGTGGAGAGGCAAACAGAAGGCATTGAGATGTTGTTGCTGTGGATGACTTTGATCTTGAGGCATCTCCTCTGTGTCTCGCCCCCAAAACCCCACTCCATGACCTTCTTTCCCATGGATGTCTGTCACTTACAGGCTTGTTTTTGTTCCGCAGTGGTCTGTATATGCAGGCGCCCTGCTTACACACTTTACCATTGACATGGACTTATGTTCAAAACTATCCAGACACTCTTCTAACTAGTGGATTCAGCTACTTTAAGGCATCGCATTGCTGACACAGCCATATAATCTCAAGGGAAAATCCTTGGGCCACTTGTCAGCTAGAGGGACATAAAGCTCCCTTGCATTGGACTGTGTGAAATCACATTCCTTGGAGCGAAAGAGGCGCCATCAAAACCTTTGGCATAAATTGTGAAGCAGACCTAATTGCCCAACTCATGTTCTTGTGGCTGAATGGAGTCAAATCCCGACAGCAGTGTTGGAGCTAGGCTTGGACGATTTGGCAGTATTATCACTGCAGTATCAATGGTCTTGACCAGCTTTGCCATTTTGCTCTGTGTGAATGTTTCACTGTGTAAAAAGACAAACTAGACTGTTTGTGAAACGCGGCAAGTAAAAATGAGAGTTTGTAGAACTGTGATCACAAGATTTACTACAAATTGTTAGTAATTGTTAGAGAAATTTTCTTTTGAGGATACTCAACATGTTTGACTCCCATTCAGAAACTTGCAGTCTCCCGGTGATTAAGCCAATGCTAAAGCTGTTGCACCACTTGGTATTTTTTAACAGAGCCAAATTAGGCCTACAACTACTGTTTTCTCTTTCTCTAACTGCTTAAAATTAGTATTAGAAGTGTGTAATAAACCATTGGGCCTGCGGGTGGGCCCTGGCCATATAAGGGGTTCAAATGAACATTCAAATTGTTCACTAGGACATTTAAAAAAGACAAGTTGTTTAGTTTAATAAAGGAAAATTGGCTAACACTGAACCAACATGTAGAAAAATCTGGAAATCCTCCCCAGAAGAATAAAGGCTGTTATAACAGCAAAGCGTGGCCAGCTTCTTTTTAAAACCCTTGATTTAATGAAAAATTGGATAAACATTTGTCTTGAGTATGTTTGGACATAGTCTGCACTAGTGTATGATATAATACTTGATGTACCATCTCTAACACAGTTCCCTATGACTTTGTTCTAGGCCGATTAAAGCTGACCGTTCTATCAGAGGACCGGCTCCAGATGAAGTGGAAGGAGGCTGAGGGGCCGGTCCAAGGCTACAGGGTCCGAGTGCGGTCCATCTCAGGTGAGAAGATTTTAGATAAAGCTTGTTGGTGTAATGGCCTCTGGCATTTTTTTTTTTACTTTTTCTGAGGTGCTGAATCACCTACACCTGCAAGGGTTCTATATAGAACTAAAAATAATCTTGTAACAGTAATGGAACACTTTTTGGTACAATCTAGAACCATTTTTAAAAGGTTCTGTATTTTAAAAAAACATACAACAGTTTCTCTGTCATAGAGAAGGACTGTTTAACCATGCAATTAAAACCACCAAATGGTTCTTTGGCATTTCATGGTTCTATATATAACCTTTGCCTTTGCAAAAGGGGTTTATATATGAATCAAACATATACCTACAGTATATGCTACTGTACAAGAGTTTATCTATTAGTCTATTTGTCATTTGTCATTTGTTTGTATTATACAAAACAGTAGTTCCAAACTTTTGAAGGGAAGTGTAGATACAGTTTTAGACATTTTTAATCATTTTAAATTCATCTTTTAGCTGACATTTGGTGTTGGGAGTGTGTTTGAGATTCCGCAGATTGCTGAGACAAGGGTCACGGAATTTTTATGACTTAACTGGAGGAGTTACTTAGCTAATGTGTAAAGTGGTGTAGATGTTGGAGCCCTAAGGCTAATAGGTTCTTCCCACAGCCTGGTTCTCTGAGAGCTGAATCTTTATATCTTTATATTTATATATGAGCATTCACAGATTTCACTACGCAGATGAACATGACTCACTCTTGACTCTGCTTTTTTAATGCCTTTTTTAATGGTGCTTGCTACCGTGCCGTTTTCAGCCTATATTTCAGACAGTTATTTTTGCTGCAGGCTAAGACTTTACTGCTGTTTCTTCTGACCTAAATGACCTAGACAGCATTAGTGGAAAGGTTCTCCTCAAGCCCTCATGCACCTGCAAAAGAACAGGAAGTTTGTTACGGCAGTATTGTGATGTGGATTTGACCTGTTAATCACAGGTCAGTTGTGATAGACCTGACTTTAACAAGCTGACTTTAACTGTCTTTCCATTCTTTTTCATTTTCTTTATCTTTCTTTCTTTCTTTCTCTTTCTTTCTTTCTTTCGTTCTTTCTTTCACCCTTTTCATTCCCTTCTTCCTTTGTTTTCTTCCATCACTTTCTTTGTTGTTTGTTTGTTAGTTTCTTTCTTTCTTTTTCCAACCTTCCTACCCTCCTTACTTCCTTTTACCTGCCTTGTTACCATTTTTCTTTTCTTTCTGTAGTGAGAATCTGTTTTTCGTTTTTCATTAAGTTCTCGTGCTCCTGCATAAGAACAGGAAGTTTGTTACAGCAGTATTTAAGGTGCATTTGACCTGTCAATCACACATTATTTCTGATAGACCTGACTTTCCATTCCCTTCTTTCTTTCTTTCTTTCTTTCTTTCTTTCTTTCTTTCCCTTTTCCTTGCTTTTCTTTTCTTTTCCTGTTTTTCTTTTCCATACTCCTACCTTTTATTTCTTTCATATTTTTTTTCTCAATCACGTCAGATATCGCTGACACCGAGAGATGGGGGGATATATTTTATCACTGATGGAATGAAGATAGGCCCGTAGCCAGCCATAACTACTCTTCATCTCCTCAGCCTGCTGTCTCTGCTCTCTCTCTCACCTTTCCTTCTTATCTCTCTCTCTCTCTCTCTCTCTCTCTCGCTCGCTGTCTCTGTGTCTCCTCTCTCGTTATCTCATTCTCTCTTATCTCTCTTCCCGTCCTCCTCTCTCTGAGGTAAGTTCAGACAGGTCTGTTGCAGTATTGAGAAATTTTGCACAGAAAAACAAACAGATCTTCTTCACAGTGTTGAGGAGAGAGGAGATGACGGGTGATGCGGAGGGGGCACAACCCAAAATAGTAATAGTGATTTATAACCAGTATAAAATCTCTGATCTTGCTATGACTCTATTTTGGTGTTTTAGGAAACGTTTCAACACGTCATGAAATCTGAAATTTGCAATTAGGTTTTAATTGTTTTGGTATGACTTAGAATTATTGAACGAATACCTGAATACACAAATGTAAGTAGTAGTACTTTAAGGCTGTTATATTTGCAAATGGCCTAAGAATGTGTGTATTTTACACCCCTGTTTATAATGCTTGAATCGCATAGTCAGTTCTTAATTGACTTGCCAGCTTCTAAATACATGAAAAGTACATTAAAGGAATACTTACTGTACTTTTCTAAATCCAGGGAAGTTTGTGGTAATCAGTCTTGTCCTACAGGTGTGGCCTAGAGAAATTGTTGCCCTTCGTGCTTTATGATACCCCTCTACCTTCCTCTTGTTCTGTTTCTGTCCTTCAGAAGTGCCCCAGCCAGAAATGATGCTGACCACAACGCGGGGCAAAGCCACAGTGGTAGGGCTGGACTCCAGACAGGAATACCTGCTGCAGGTGCTGGTGCTGAACGGAACTGGAGAGAAACTTATCGCCAAGAGACGCTTCACCAGTAAGAGAGATGAGAGGAAGGGAGTGGTGGGATGAAGCAGGACCACAGGTGTCCTAATGGGAAAGGGAAAGAGGGGATATAGCAATGGACTTCATAGCTACGTTGAGATTAAGGAACAGAGAAAAGGATAAAGGACAGCCAGGTGATGCAGAGATCAAATGATAGAATGAAAAATATTAGTTAGGACCAGTGAGCTTGAAATAACTGACCCTCATGTAGTTGTAGAATCTAAACTGTTATATAGTTTAGTGATAAACCTCTGTTACTTGTTAGGCACATTAGCCTCATAGCCACAGTGCAAATTTAAAAAGCACATAAGTCTGTCTATCTATCTATCTATCTATCTATCTATCTATCTATCTAGAGTGAGGGGAAACATATTATTGTTATAATTATTTATAATTTATATTTTTGTAATTATTTATTTTTGTGTCAATTTTTAGGCCGAAACATCTCTATTGAAATAATAATGATTTTTTTTTTTACTGATGATATCATTTTTATTGACTGAACATTAATCCATTCAGCATTTACGTTCAATTTTACAGAATTTTCCACTTACTGATCAGCCAAGATATCTTTGGAGTCCGAATTTTGTTTCTTTAGAACTGGAGCAGTGAGGCTAACATTGCTAATAAAAACTAGATCTCAGTAGTCACCCAAATAGCCAAATTATTTCTGTAAAAATACATACCCAAAACTTCCTTTAACCTGCTCAAACCACATCTGCTTCTTCCAAGCACCTACAAGCCACCTCAGGAGTAGGAGTGCTGGTCTAGAACCAGTATTTGTGAAAGTGACCATCATAAATGCAGAGGAGTTGGGCTATTTTGGTGACTATTGAGTTCTAGTGTTTATTTGCATCATTAGCATTGTAGCTCCAATTCTAAACTAAAGAAGTTGGACTTCAGACAAGTCTTGACTGATTGAAATGTCTGGGATAAGTGAACAATTTGGAAAATATGATTTTCCACCAAACTTTTCTTTAAAGACTGCAGGGAGATTATTAGGGTAAATGAAATTACAAGTAATTTAAATATTGAAATGTTTTCTGCTTGTGAGCAGCCAAACATATTGCATGTGAAACTTTTTTTGTTGTGACTGCAGTGTGTAAATCAAAAAGCTAGTCCCATCTCTTTATTTTACAACAAGATTTCTTATCTTTTCAAATAAAGAGTTGGGATGCTGTGCAAAATGTAAATAAAAACAGAATGCCATGATGTGCAAATCATTTAGACCCTGTATTTATTTGAAAATAGTGCAAATATATCAAATTTGATGCTGTTCAACAGTTCAGGGTCTCTTTTGTCGTGTTTTTTATTTCAAAATGCACCAGATATTTTCAATGGGTGACATGTCTGGACTGAAGGCAGGTCAGTTTAGCACCGTAACTCTTTTACTATGGAGCCATGCTATTGTGATACGTTTCAGGCCTCCCCTGAAAAAGACGTTGTCTGGATGGCAGCATATATTGCCAAAACTTGTATATATCTTTGAGCCTTAATGGTGCCTTCACAGATATGCAAGTCTTCCATGCAGTGTGCACTAATGCACCTCCATACCATCACAGATGCTGGCTTTTAAACTGTAAGCTAATAATAAGCTGGATGTTCCCTCTGCTATTTATCCTGGAAGATACAGCGTCCATGATTTCCAAAAAGAATTTCAACGTTTGATTTGTTGGACCACATGACACTTTTCTGCTTCGCCCCAGTTCATCTTAAATGAGCTTGGGCCCAGAGAAGGTGGTGGCGTTTCTGTATCTTGTTTATGTATGATTTATTCTTTGCATGGTACAATTTTCACTTGTAGAATTGTGTCTCTTTTAATGCAGTGCAGCCTTGTCCCTTTCATACAGAGATTTCTCCCGATTCTCTAAATCTTGATTGATATCTTGAATGATATGTCGTTGATGATGAAATCCCCAAGTTCTTTGCTATTTTACAAAAAACATTACTCTTAAATGGTTGCACTATTTACCCGTGTGCAGTCTTTCACACAGTGGTGACCCCTCCTCATCTTTACTTCTGAAAGACTCAGCCTCTCTGAGATGTTCTTTTTATAACCAGTCATGTTACTGACCTGTTGCCAATTAACCACCAGGTGTTTTTTTAGCATTACACAACTTTACCAGTCTTTTGCTGCCCCTGTCTGAACTTTTTTGAAATGTGTTACATCATAACACATTTAAAATTTCTCAGTGTCAGCATTTGATATATTATCTTTGTACTATTTGCACATCATTGCATTCTATTTTTATTTACATTTTGCACAGCATCCCAACCTTTTTGGAAACAGGTTATAGCAAATATGGAAGTATGCAAAAATCATACATCATCCTTCATTTATATAATTTCCAGTCAACATGGCCATAAAGTACAAATTATTCGTTGTTCAGCATACGGGGAAAAAGCAGAAAAGATGCAATTAACAGAAAATTACACAGAAGCATCAAACAACTAAATATGGTATTACTTTTTAATGCTAAACCCTTTGCCTTTATAACAGCTTCCATTCTTTTTGGAAGACTTGATTTGAGCTTCTCAAAATCTAAGTAATCTCAAACACATTCAATGATTTTGTCAATGATGAAGTCTGGGCTCTGAGGTGGACAGTCAGACATTGTTCTGAGAACACCAGCAGCTCCCTTAATGGCTCCTTGACAGCTGCACATCCATTTTTTGAACTTCAGTTTTGAAAACTTATTTCACTTGACTCTTTTCTTCCTTATGCAAGTGAATTTATTTTATATTCGATCTTCTAAGAAATATCTCCTGAAAAATGAATAACATACTTAATAGCTATTTGGACTGGAATTAAAATAAAAGGAAGCTCTCTGCACAGTACAGATGTTACTGTAGCAGTCATGCAGGGAATTTTCTGAGTGCCTGGTAGGCTCAGGGCCTGTCAATGCAATTTCCCCTTTCAACACTGTTCATAACATACATCACTTTCAGCATGCACTACATATGTATAGAGGTATGCACACACACACACACGCACAAACACACACGCGCACAAACACACACACACACACCCTTGTACACGCCATATGTTCCTCTCCATGGGATGTCTGTAATTGTCAGTGTTGAGGTATTGGAATCCTTTAAGATTACAGGCTGTGGTCCTCTCAGAAAGAAACTGTGAAATGACGCGTTTGGCTATACAGGCGCAGAATGCTTTTAAGAATGTTTTTAGAACACTGCAATTTTCCTGCAGAGTCACTGTGAGAAAAAGTAAAAGTGCAAAATTACCTACCAAAGGCCCTTATTTACTGTTGAATGCTTTTTCAGGACTCTTTACTGTGAGTGCTGTGTTGTTCATTTAAATACATGCATTACTTCATGGTGAGAGCTTTTTCCCTGCTCTGTGTGTGTGTGTGTGTGTGTGTGTGTGTGCACATCACACACTTCACGCCACACTGTTCCCGCTGATAAAGCCGTGCGCTAGACTGTACCTCAGGGAAGAGGGCCTGGGTGTGAATGGTGCTTGTAGGTTACTGTGTCGAGTGCTGCATGTTTGGACAGGATAGTCGTGCGGTTTGGCTGTGAGGCCAGACTGCTGGGCTCAGAATTCCATTGTTCCTTCTAGAAAACACCCAGACTCTTTTACTCCAGCTTAGTTTTTCCATGTGGCTGACTGGATTCCCCTACGGGGCATTACAGATAAATTGAGATATTTATCTTTAAAGCAAAAACATTTTTTTTCCTTACCTGAAATGGAGTCAGTCAGCCAGGACTGTTTCTTCAGTTTTGCACATTGGCACAGTGATGGAAACTAGCTTTGTGTAAGCCTGCATACCTAAATCATCACACACTGTGTCAAGTTGTCGAGTAGACTTGTTTGACTTATCTGTGAATTATTCTTAATATGTCGTCTGTGTCATACTGAAGGACATTTCACCTCTGCCCCAGGCCGTCTCCTCAAACATAGTCGTGAGAACACAGATTTGGTTCTAGTGTTATAGTTGTGGTCCATCAGGTAATTCAAACGCTATAGAACAAATCCAAATGTTTCTAAACAAAGGGCCTTGCAAAGTACAACGTGCCCCAGCGATGGTTTAGTTTGTGGCTGTAATGTCATGTGTAGAGCCTGCGGTGATTTAGGATTTGACCATTTGCCTGCTAAAAAACGTTAGCACAAACATGAATTTGAGGCATTCCTTGCTGGGCCTACTGCTTTTGCTGTCTTTAGACTAGATCCTTTTTATAATTAACTAATAAAATCAAAAATCACATTAAATGACATCAAACGTTATTAGGAAATAAACTTTTACTTCCCGTTTGGAAATTTGAAACTCCAACCATGTGCACATTCAGGAGCTGCTGCTGGTTTGGGCTTCCTTTCTCTCCGTGATGACAAAAACACGCCCGAGTACTATTGTGTTGTTTTATCTACAGTGTTTTGATTTGTGCTACTTGTGCTACCTGCTCAAGAAGTTGATCTTTGACAGTGTATGAGATACTGAAACTGTGTCTATAACAATAGCTATGATAAAGTATAAGGATATATAGAATAAGTAAGTGTACTTATGAAGTAGAAATATGAAAAAACTGAGGCTTCAAGATGGCTGCTTTGACTCTTATTGTGCATTTCCATAGATAACAGTATGTCATAGGTGGGAATGGCTCTGTGACAAAAATCTCTGATTATTTTTATAAGGAAACCAAATATAGTGAATGTGTACATAAAATAAAGTGTCTGAATAAACCTCAAATTCAGCTTGCAGCCTTCACCAGGGTCCACCTCCCACTCTATAATAATGCACGGTAACACATACAGTGTGTTTGGAATATGAAAGTAAGAAACTCCACAATCTGTTAGAAACGTCAGTGTTTCACTTCACTCTAATTTTTCAAACAATGTCGCCATTCATTCAAATGTTAAGTGTACTCAATGTATTTGATGAGGACACTAAACAGGCCTTAATTGATTTGCTACATTATTTGGGATATAGGAAAAACATGCAAATTAGATTTTTTGCCGAACTATTACTTTAAGGTTAGATTGCACTGTGCATGATGTGCACTTAAGTGCAGTTTAAACTTAATTCTTAGGAACAACTCCATGAACTCATGCTAGTTACTGAATAATTTATAATAGTGAATAATAAGATTGATAACTGTATATTAAGTCTGGAGTTTACAGGGTTAATTCCATGTCTTTTTGTCCTTTCTATTTCCCCTTTTTCTGTCGTTCTGTTGCTATTCCTCTACTTCCACTATCTCCTCTCCTTTCCGCTCATACCCACGTGAAACGTGTTAGTCAGCGGGCTGCGGGAGGAGGAGCTGGTGCGCAGCGGCAACCGAGAGCAGAAAAAGAAAGCGCTGGCCGTGGGCTCTGGCTCCGGCGAAATAGATGATGTGACCGAAGCGCTGGAATCGCTGCCCACCGTGCTCTACCAGGAGCCCACCACCACAGGTCAAACCCACTTCAACACAAACCAGCTCAGACCTCCAATACCATATTTCGTTACACCTTAGACTACATTTCCCATCAGCACCACTTACATCACTCAGCCTATCACTTATGACACTGATGGATGAAGATGTAGAAGGAGGAAGTGTAATAGTTTTTATAGTAATTTTATACTTCCTGTCACTAACTGTCAGAAACGCAGAGGACCTGCAGTGCACTAAGCGCAGTCTTTCACTCCCACCTGGATGCTCCCCTGTTATTACATGTGTTTTATTGAGGGGAGTTACAGATGCTGGAGTGGCGCCAGGTCTCCCACTACCCTGATAATAAGAACCCTACTCCAGCATCATCACACGCACACCTGTTATCAGCTCTGCTGCTGTGAGATTGGGTCTCAGGTCAGGGGAGAGCTGATTGTTGAGTGTCTCAGGACAGTTCGCTTTTATGTCTGTTTATACGTAGAACAAGAGGAACAGAGGGCGGGTGTCGTTCCTGGCTCTCGCAACTACATCACTTACAGTACTGTGCAAAAGTCAGATAAACCCTTTCCTTTGTTTCATTTCCAGTCAAAAAGGGCATTAAGTACAAGTTATTCAGTTTTCTGTGTCAGGAAAAAGGCAGGAAACATATGTTTAACAGAACATTGCACAACAGTCTCCAACGCTGAGTATAATAACAAATCTATCAGTATTTAATCTGTCCACTCTGCACTTTTGTGCTTCTGTCACTTTGACTTCTGTCCTTCTAATTTTAGAACCAAAAAGTTACAGCTGTGCACCCACAACAGAAGGTGTTACTGACATTATGTCCATCTTCAAAGAGATACTGACATTCAAACAAGCAACTGCCTAAACACACCTCACCTGCTTTGCAGATTTTTTCGGATGTGCTTCAAAAAGCTGTGTGCTGAAAAAAAAAACAAGACTTTCCAAAACTGGAGTTCAAAAAATTATTAAAATATAGAAACAGAACTCTTAACAGCTGTGCAGAACCTGTTACACCACCAAACCGCCCTCATCCGATAAACAGTACTTGAGCCTTTGAGAGAGAAGAGAAAATCAAGCTCCACTCTCGCTTTAGAGCTGAAGAAATCCACAGGTGTTTCTGTCAACACTGTGAGAAGGAAGTTTGCACTAGAACCCCAAAACTGGACGTCTGATATGTGGAGTAAGGTTTTATGGACTGATGAGTCTAAATTTGTAATTGGGATTCAGATCATGAGAAACAGAAAATGAAACCAACTTTTAAGACTGAACTTTTAAGACTGAAAGCAAGTCTCCTAAAAAGAATGTAAGCTGAAATAATAAGTGGACACACTAAATACTGAAAATTTTGATATTATGGTAAAATGTTAAATAAATCTGTTTTCTGTTTTTTTCCGGACAAATAAATAACTGAAGTACTTAATGGACAGTTTGAATGGAAATTAAATTAAAGGAAAGGGTGGTCTTTTACAAAGTACTGCACATACATGAATTTTTTTAACTCAATCTCTGCAATGTAATCTCTGCATATCAGCATTTTTCATCCTAATCTTTATTGCATCTGTGTTGTATAGTTGATTAACACAGTCAATCATTAGAAAAGAGAAGAAAACCTGGTGACTTTAACAAACTTATAATAGAAGCCAATGGCCAGTTAAACAGGTGTGTTTCTAGTCAGTATTTTTTTTTGTTTGTTTGTTTTTAACCACATGTAGGGAAACATCTGTGGTAATCAGCTGTATGCTACAGATGGAGCAGATAGAGATCGCGTTAAAAATTCTGCTATTTCTTTAGGCCTAGAGTTTAATGGACAAATTCCATTTCTTGTGTCTATTCTAGCACAACAGCAGGTAGTAGGTAGAGTGATTTACATCATTTAAAATCAGAAACTGTAATACTGTGTGTTTTACATTGAATGCTGCGTAACCACATATATGATGTAGTGTTGAATTCTGCCTCTCCAGAGCCCCCTACTGCAACTGAACAGGAAGAACAGGAGGTTGAAAAGAGTGGCAAAGATAAGAAAAAGAAAAAGAAAGACAAGCATCATGCAAAGTCAGAGGAGAAGGAAAGGCAGGTTGAAAGCAGAGAGAAGTCTTCGGAAGAGGACGACAAAGTCAGAAAAACAGCTGCCACCCAATCTGTCACAGGTAAAGTACATCATTACCACAGCATAGATGCAGTGTGTGAAAACAGTATTGCAGTAGTATAACCAGCAGTACTTAGGGGTTCCCTCAGCCACTTAACAGAGCTAATGAGCTGTGTTGTCTTCCGCTGTGCTGGCTGTGAGTTTAATGGCTTGCAGGGCTGATCTAAGTCCTGTGTCCTGAGGGACTGATTCAGTTCGCGGGGTGATGACAGGGTTAATGACAGAGTGATGGAGGTGGTCGTTAACTGCCCCCTTCTGTAGCCTGAGGAGTGAAATGTGGCTCATGCTTCTAATCCTGCTGGAATGGCTTTAGTTTCTAATCCTTAAGGCTTAAAGCTTCTGCTGATACGGGTACTTGCAGCCTGGAACACACACAAACTAATTTGTAGACTTTTTAAAGACTGATGTGGTTCATAATGTTCTAGGAATGATCCATGCACAACTGAGATAGCCAGACTTTTAGAGGTCTAGAGCTGTTAGTATTACTGTTCTATGCTATTTAGATATAATGACATTTTTAATTAAACAGTTATTAACATAAGGAAATACAAAGCACTATTTTCATTAAGATAAAACTTTCATTAATAGAAATTTTGTTGCAGGTACATGTATAAATTGATTTTATATTATTATTATATTGATGCAGTGGTTTTACAGTTTCACAGGTTTTAACTGATTTGTAGGAAACTATAAAAAAAAAAAAACAGAAGAAATGTTTCCATAATGATGAACTGAGCTGAGCTGTTAGACTAAAAATAACATCCAGAATGCCGTATGATTCTTGCTGAATATTAAGCAAATATTCCAGAACCTTTCAACCTTTTTTTAAAAAATAGTGATCACATCTCATACAGATAACTTGAAAGAAATGTCTAATAAATAAATAATTACAGTATATTGTTTATTGTTATGCTTCTAACACTTTAAGGTAGTTTATGTTATTTAGCTTTTAGTATTTCAAGCTACACTGTATAAGTTATGACTGAAAAAATAGTAGCAATTATTTAGAACAGTGTAGATTTGATTTACATTCTGTACTGATAAGTTTAAGTCTGCAGTTCTGACTTTTCTGCATGTCAACAAATGACAAAAACAGGGCAAAGGATTTTTTTAAGCTGTGAAACAAAACTAAAGTCAAGGTTTATTTCTAACATTTCTAACAGGTGTTGTCGCAAAGCAGCTTTACAAAAAAATCCGGGTCCAGGCCCCCATGAGCGACAATGGCAACAGTGGCAATGAAAAACTCCTTAAGAGCAAGATGAAGAAACTCTTAGAGGAATCAAGACTCAGTAGGGGAACCCATCCTCCTCTGGTCGACACCAAATAGCAAACAATAACACAAGAGCAATATGAACAGAGAATAAGGTTTTAACATTGGTGTAAAATAATAACATTAGACACAGCAGTAACTTTTAGAAAGTTTGGAATTGAACGTTTAAATGTAAAGTTTAGAATTTGTGTATTTGACAGATTTTCTCCATTTATTTCAATTAGCAAGAAGTTAGAAATAATTAACTTTCGTTTAAATTATGTAGGGGTGGGCAATATGACTGTTCTATCATCACTGTGATAAATGATGGCAGAAAATGCATGTCTGAGCATATCATGGATATCATCAGAATATAAAGAACACTAGCCAACTGCATGTCATTACAATGAGTGCATAAGTCTTGATTAATTGGATTTAGTGAAGGGCAGAGTGTGAAACTTTGAATAAAAATTGTTGTATGATCATCACATTCATCCTTTTTCACAGTATTTTTTTAAATGTGGCACTGCTGGGACTTTTTGTCTGTTCCACTTATCAAAAACCTAATATCCTAATACGTATCGGGAAAACATTTTTGAGTGTCCTGATTTTTACTATATCACCCGCCCTAAAATAATGTAAAATTCTAACATACCTTCATGATTACCATGATAACTGTAATCTCTGTAGGTTAAAGCTCCAATCAGGGATTTACTCTGGTTTAGGAGTTTACTAACTAACATAGTTTGTTACAAATTTAGTTTATCATGACCATTTTCCAGCCTCTCTTTATCCCTTAGAATTAAACAAGCAGTTTTTGTTATTGTGCCTTTGAGACAGATATATGCAAATAAGCATCACTCTAATTGGTTGTAGGTAAGACCCAAAGGCTAACAGAAAGACATTATGAGACACGCTTTATCCTATCGTACCTCATTCAAGAATCACTCAGAGGTGAAACACTGCTTATAACTTCAGTAATAATAGGCAGGGCTAAACTGCTGTAAGCTGGTGGACAGATGTAGATGAGTTGGTTCTCGTGACATCACAGAAGCAGTGAATCCAAAAAGGTCTTTTTTTGCAGCGTGTTTTCCATAAATGGACTGTATGTAGTGGTCATTAAATGGCATGGTTTGAAGTTTTAATAATGTTCGGTTATTACATCAAACTTAAAAAGGCAAAGGAAATTTGGTTTTCGATGTTTTAAGCCATAACAAACAACACACAAGAAATTTCCCCACACATGTGATCATATGTTTGGTTTATTAGCACTCTTGTCATCGTTTCGTGTTACCTCTGTCTTTATCTGTCCAGCTGGTACATCACGGAAGCCATTTGAGTGCAGGGCCGGAGTGCAGGCGGATCTCGTCCTGCTGGTGGATGGCTCGTGGAGCATCGGCCGCACCAACTTCAGAAAAGTACGAGAGTTCCTTGAAGGTCTGGTTACCCCGTTCCACATCGGCCCAGACGGGGTACAAATCGGTAAGACATACCTTCAGGCTTTGTCATTAAAATGTCATGAAAATATTTTCATTATTTTTATTATTATTTTTAGATGTCTGTAGTTGTTGTCATTTTGTTGTACTATTTAACATCGTGGTTTAAAACTGCCCTTCCAGTTTGTCAAAAAATGACAAAACGGAACAGAAAAAAAAACACACAAAAATAAGTTTTCATCTGATTGAATTTGTGAGTGATTTCTGATGATTAAACTACAAAATAACCTTTTTTTTTTTTACATTTTCTCCTTTAGTTTTAGTGTATAGTGCTAAAATGTTATAGAATGCTAAGGTGGATCTGTGTCTGTTTCAGCCCTATCACAGTACAGTGGAGACCCTCGCACTGAGTGGCAGCTGAACAACTTCACTTCCAGAGAGCAGCTCCTGGACGCTGTCCGAAACTTTAGATACAAAGGAGGGAACACCTTCACAGGTGAGCGAGACACCTTTAACAGTCTGTTCTGTAAGAGATGTGACGCTTTCAGAAAAGTCCCTTTAGCTCTCTGGAACACTTTTAATCTGATTGAAATTCACCCAGTCTAGATGATAACTTCTTATTCCTCTTTGTAATGTGTCTTTATGTGTCTCAGGTCAGGCTCTCATTCATGTTCTGGAGGAGAATCTGAAGGAGGAGGCAGGGGCTCGGCCAGGCACCCCTCATTTTCTGCTGCTGATGACTGATGGGAAGTCTCAGGATGATGCCATCGCTGCTGCGAACAGACTGAAGAATGCAGGAGTGGAGATCATCGCTGTGGGTAAGACCCAAAGGCTAACAGAAAGACATTATGAGACACACTTTATCTCAAAACACACACGGTACTGTGCGCAAGTCTTAGACAGCCGTGAAAATTGTTTAAAATTATCTTGGCAGAAATTGTGTTTTTGCCAGGAAAACACAAAATAACATTAGAATGTAGACATATAAGCAAGGATACAGTAAAATCTAAGGCTAGCTAATGTATTGGTTTACTTTTACATTTATGACATTTGGCAGACGCTGTTATTTAGAACTTTAATGAAGGATTGATAAGCTGGGTTAGGTGTGGGTTGGTAACTGTAGATGATTATTCTAATACTCTAGTGTTGTTTTGACTAAATGAGTCCTTACTTCTAAGTAAATGCCTTTACATATTTTCTCGAATAATTAAAAGTTATATAAAATGGTTTTGTGTGTTTTTTATGATTTTTTTCTCCAGAGTTGAGCCTGAGTACTCCTGTATGTTTACATTAATGCTTGTGTATCATATCTGTGCATCTTTAAAGTCACCTGTTCTTCTCTTTTTCAGGTGTAAAAAATGCAGATGAGGCTGAGTTGAGGCAGGTGGCATCTGAGCCTCTGGAGCTGAATGTGTATAATGTGAATGATTTCCCTCTGCTCAGTAAATTGGTCGGTCGATTAGTGCGTATTCTGTGTGGGAAGATAGAAGACCGCAGTAAAGCAAAGCGTAAGTTTATCTCTCACACATAAACAACGCTGTCATAAGGAAACCTTGCAACTCCATTTGTAATTTATTATTTACACCATTTGAAACTCCACTTGTGGTGCTGTCTGTGGAGCAGGAATGGAGCATCCCACTGTGGACCCTGTGCTGTCATACCCCAGCCCCACCGACCTGCAGTACTCTGAACTGGGTCCCAAAGAGGTGCGTGTGAGCTGGACTGGGCCGAGTCGCATTGTGCAGCAGTACAGGGTGGTGTTCCACAGCAGTGAGGGACAGAGCCCACAGGAGGTCAGCTTCATTCCTACCCTAAAGCCAAACTGCTAGCAGAGGCGTAACGCCCAGCCTTGTACTGTAAGTTACTCTATGTTCTTTATGTCTCTGTTTTATCAGGTGGTGGTAAACGGGTCAGTCTCCACAGTAATGCTGACTGAACTGTCCTCTCAGACGCAGTATCACCTCTCAATCTTTCCTGTGTATGAAGACAACGTGGGCCCTCCACTTAGAGGCATCTTCACCACAAGTAAGAGTAGAAAACACGTGGTGGTCCACTACAGATGCTGTACAGATGTTTAACCTGTCATGAACTCTTTAATCCCAAAGTGAAAAAAGGGCTATTTATGCTTTTTAAATGACTCTCCACAGTGCCGCTGGCCATGCCACACTCTCTGGAGGTCACTGCATCTTCTCCCACTAGTCTGAGGGTGAGTTGGAGGCCAACTCCTGGAGCTACCCAGTACATGGCACTGTACTCAGCACTCACTGATGGGGAGCCTGATGATGCTCGAGAGGTGAGCCTGAATTCTTCTGTGTGGTTGTGGTAATACTTTTCCTTTAAACTGGAGAATTCGGATCGTCATCTGGGCAATGACATTATTAGAACAGTTCAAATGAATAAATGAAATAAAGGGACAAACTGTGACTGATCTGAAACACTACTCTTCCATAGCACTGATCTTGTTGGTGTGCACACTTCGAAAAGACGGTTCTTCAAGGGTTCTTTAGTAAAGGCAATGGCTCCGTTTAGAACTATGAGTTCTATGTTGAACCATTTCATGCCTAAATGTCACTGCCATGATTGGTGCTATAGGTGATGCAATGGACAGGTTCTTTACGTGGTGAAATGGTTCTTTAGATTGATAGAGAATGTGTTGTATATGGTTCTATATAGCACTTTTTTGAAAATGGTTCTATATAGCACCAAAAGAGTTCTTCTATTGTTATAAGCTTGACATCATTACAGTAGCAGAACCATTTTTGGTGCTGTATAGAACCGTTTTCAAAAAGGTCCTGTATGGAACTATACACAACATATTCTCAGTCAGTCACAAAACCATTTCACCATGCAGAGAACCATTCAAGAACTTATTTAGAACTCAATATTCTAAATAGAACCATTGCATTTACTACAGAACCCTTGAAGCACCATCTTTTTTAAGTGTGTGCGTTCCTGTCAGTTTCCTCCCTTTCAGTTATGCATACAAAAGCTACTCGAATGTTCCCACTTGTGGAGAATCTTCAGCCTGTTAAATGTGAGGGAGTGAGTTCTAGATCCTGGTCCAGGAGGTGCTTTGCATCAAAAAATAAACAAGAAGAATAAAGAAAGCAAATGAATAAGGAGAAAAAATTAAATAAAGAATCCATAAACATCCACTGATGAACAATGCCATTCCCTATCCACTGTAATATAATTTTTTTCCGAAGGATTTAAGATTTGTTGTTTTTGCTGTTTTTATCTCCACTGTGGCGAGTGTTGTGTTTTTGTGGTAAGTGGAGTGAAATGTGCTTGTGTGTGATCTGTGGCAGGTGAAGTTTGGGGCTGATGAGACAGATGTGGAGCTGCAGGATCTGATGCCCTCCACAGATTACTCAGTCACGCTGTACGCTTTGTATGATGAGGACCCCAGCGACCCTGTCACAGCCGTCGCTACCACATGTAAAACCTCAAGCACTCATTGACCACAAAAGATTCACATTTCTCTCTGATGCTTCTTTAGCGGACAGATAATTACCATAGAAAATACATTTAGAGCATTATGCTCTTCTTAGGACCCACTCATAAGACGTTGCCAGTTCCTAATAAACTAGTAGCTGGTGATCGGTAGTAAACATTTACACTAAACATGTATATGAACTTACTTTCACTAGTTCTTCAGTAAAAGTATCTGTAAATTAAGCTGTAAATCTTTTTCAATTTTTTTTTTCAGACTAGTTTTCCACAGGGAAGAATTAGTGGCAGTTTGTTACCAGTAAGTGGAGTTTCACTGACTCCTATCTGAGCGCAGTCAGTACCAGAAAACCTTAGCAAAAGAAAAGATAACCAGAACTGCTTATGATTATAGTTTTAAATTTGCATTATATAGTTACACATTTAATATATATATTTAAATGTTAAATGTTTAATCATGAAATAAGCAACTTACTATTTTTTTCTATTATCAGAAGGTAAGTATTCAAGTATTGTTGTCTACGGCAGAATTTCACAAATCTGTGCAACTTGTGGCCCACACAACTGACCACAAAAGTTTCTGCTGCCAACAAGAAAGTTTAACCAATCTGATCATTTCAAATACAAGCAAATATAACACAGTAATCAATGCTGCTTGTCAAATTTCGCGTAACTGTATAATCATGTAACATAATGAACACCAAAAAATCCTACCATTTTCTCTTTGTAGCCATACATTGACTTGCACTGGAAGTATAAATATCTAGCTAGCTATGGTGGTTACATTGATGACGCATTTTTCCAGACTAGTCACTGAGTTTGACCTAAATATTCAATTATTATTGAGTTTTTGGTTTTTGTTTTTGCAAATAATTAACAATAACATTTGTCATATTTAAATTTATGGTTTGTGTACATGTCTGTATATTGCAATGAAGTTTGGTGGTTTAAAATAATAAATAAAAAATGACTGCCAACGGCCCCCTACCAGTACCACCGTGGCCCACAGGTTGAAAACCACTGGTCTAACTAATGGATTGGTACAGATGAACTAGGTCTCCTTCTCTAGCGACCTCTTTGTTCTTGTCTGCCTGATTTCTCTCTCTCTCTCACTCTCTCTTTCTCTCTTTCTAGTCCCATTGCCATCTCCTCTCAGTATGCACTTCCCTATGGTGAGTCACAGCACTCTGAGGGTCACATGGGTGCCTGGTGCCGTCAGTGTTCCTGCCCATCGCATCACCTACAGCACCAATCATGGCAGTGACGTCAAACAGGTGGGGGAAAAGCACTGCTTCAGCAGCTGTTAGGATATTTCTTTTTTGTGTTTAGATTCTCTAATATATAACTGTTCAGTATTATTATTCTCAGTCTCCCCCCTTTCTTTCTCTTTCTCTCTGTCTCTCTGTCTCTCTCTCAGGTGGAGGTAGCCGGTGTGAACACAGTCCTGCTACAGAATCTGGCCTCTCTGTCCAGGTATCTGGTGTCTGTGCAGTCCCACTATGAAAAAGGCTTGTCCACCCCACTCATTGCCAACGTCACCACATGTAAGTCACATGCGAACTCTTTGTCTTCGTGATCCAGACATCTTCTTCTTATCCTTGTGGTCTTTGTTGATCCATCACTAACTCCTTAAAATGTCTCTCTCTCTCTCTCTCTCAGTAAGAGTGCCTGCTCCATCTGAGCTCAGAGTCACTAACTACTCAGAGAGTGCTTTAACAGTACGCTGGGAGCCAGCTGCAGATGATGTGACCTCATACCTGATTAAATGGATCTCTCTCAGTGGAGGAGACCTGAGGCAGGTCAGCACCAGCTCTCACCATTGAGCTCCAGCATTTGGACCTGTTGAAATGTGTGAAAAGTCAAATGTACTTAATTTTCCCCTTACCCCAAATGTAGTCAGTCAGCCAAGACATGGTGTCAGAGATTTGCTTCATGTTTTGCACTGAAGCTATGATGATATCGTAACTAAGAGCTTAGAGCCACCAATTAGCATTGTGCAAAGCTCATGCCTAAATCACACGCTTGCTTCAAACCTGATCACACCATGTTACGTCATTTAAAATAGCAAGTGGAGAAAATAGAGTACTGTGCAAATATCAGAGACCCCCCATTCATTTATTTATTTTCCTGTCAAAACAATCATCAAGTACAAATGATTCGTTTTTCAGTATCAGGAAAAATAGAAAGTTTATATTTAACAGAAAATTACACAGAATCCTCACCATCTAAATACAATCACCATTTTCAAAAAAGTGTCCACCTTTTGTCTTTATTATAGTTTTGGTGTTCTGGTGCAAATTTTCTTCTTTTTTGTCTGTTTCCTTTTCTCAGTAATGGCTTATTGGCATCTACACATCCTTTCAGACCCATGTATCTCTACGTATTAACGTCACACGCACAGGTTCAAAAAGAAGATCTGGCTCGATGTTTGTAGATCTCGAATGCAAAGTTCACATAATACTGATGAAGATATGATGACAGTAGTAGATAATTCACTCACATCCTCAGAATCATCAGATACTTTCACTCTGAAGCACAACCGACGTTCTTCCACTCGTTGCGGTCTCCATATCCCCAGATCCTACATAGTGTAGCTTAAGTCACGTAGTAGGTTAAGGTGCTGTAGTAACCGAAGAGTTTCAGTCCAAAATGCCTTCTATCCGTTTGTTACATTTTTGGATACAATGAATTTTTGAAAATAAAGACAGTTGATGTTGATGGAAAACACAATTCATTTCTCTTATTAAGGTAGTATTAAACATAATATAACATTGCTATTTTTTGGTAAACCCCACTTCCAACATCATATATCATGGAAAAGAACATTTTTGAAAGTGGTCTGCAATGCGTTTTGCAACAAAATGGCTCAGTTAGTGACTAAATCTAATCTTAGTGCGGTGGGTTTCAGTGTGATTATTTGTTGGATTTTTGGTGATGATGATTTTGGTTTTGCACTGTAATGAGGTCCTTTGTGTGATTGTGTTTCCAGCTAAAGGTGGATGGGGAGAGTGAGGGAGCCATATTGGAGGGAGTTGAGGATGACAAGGAGTATCAGATCTCGCTGTCTGCTCTGTATGCGGATGGAGCACAGAGTGAGGCTGTGGCTATACGATACAGCACATGTGAGTATACACTAAAGACACGAAAGTATTAGACTAAATTTTGCATTTATGAAGAGCATCTGCCAGTAGCATTTTCAGACACATCAAGACCTGCTGCTGGGTGGCACTAGCTGTATAGCCGTTGTTTTGGCAGTACTTCCAGCTCAGCCAGTATTTCAAGCTGGAGTCACAGCTTGGAAAAAGGGCTTAAAAAAGAAAAGTTTTCACAAAAAACAAGTGGATTGACAAAAGAACCCAAAGAACCTTACAGAATAAAATTGGGATATTATGGTGCATATTATTCTTACAATTCACATTGTTACAATAATCTGACACTGAGAGGTTAACTCTTATCGTGTAGTACACACATGTACACACATTCACTACTGTTCAAAAGTTTGGAATCACCCTTTTCAATAAAGTGAAGCCACTTTTCTGAAGATGCATGTATAAAATTATTCGAATATATATTTTATAATAAAATTAACTATCTTGTATTTGAAACATAGTGATCAAATCTCAGATAACTCATCAGGACCTCACTGTAAATAAATAATTACAGTAAATTATTTATAGTTCAATTTTTTTAGTCTTTCAAAAGAAATGTTTGGACTCATCTTCAAAGGCCTTCTGGTATCTTGCTTATTAAAATATTTATTTCAATCTGCAGTTGTTATTGAATAAAATAACAGTAACCACTAATATGACAGGTGATTCCATACTTTTGACAGGTAATGTAGATAAATATGTTCTATGTGAGTGGCCTATTTTTCCCCTCTGTGTTTCTGCTGTCGCAGTGTCAGGGGGAGGTCCCAGCTCTGTGTCCATCTCTGAGGAGACAGCGGTCAGCATGCTGGTCAGTTGGGTTCCACCTAACGCACATGTGCTGCAGTACCGCATATCATACACACCTTTAACTGGAGGAGAGGCACGAGAGAACACAGTGAGTGCCTTCTGGGAAAGGATGAAAATCTGCACATCTCATTAAGTAGAAAACATGTTTTTTAGGGTCTTCTTTCCATTTTCATTTAATTACAGTGCTTTTAAATCTGAATGACTGCTGTGTACAGCCTATGAATGTACAAGCCTACATGTGTCTGCTTGAACATAATACCGCACTGCATGCAGGCTCACTGCTAAATAATATATAAATCTTGCAGAGGATTTTGTGTTGCATCTTGGGTAATGTAGTCTTGGGCATGACTTGGCTTGTAGGTGTCGTTGCCAGGCAGTGAACGTCGTGTTCTGCTGCAGTCTCTGCTGCCTGACACTCGCTACAGTGTGCTGGTTACTGCTGAGTACCGCAACAGAGAGGGAGGCAGTGCCTCAGCACAGGGCAAAACCAGTGAGTCTGTCTCTCTCTCTCTCTCTCTCTCCCTCTCACTTACATGCACACACAGCTTTTAGCGATAGGACAGAATGAAAATTTACTGTCATATCAGTGACCTTAATTACCACAGTTTTTATTATTATTATTATTTTATTGTCAAAAATATACAGTACATTTCTAACACCAAAAAATGAACTACAGTTTAAGTAAATATGAAATTATTAAGGATGTAAAGATATCAGTACATTATCAGAATATCAGAAACATAACCTTCTAAACAGTGTCTTAAAATTTAAAACTCTATTGCTGGTTACTCTCGGTTTCTTCCGAGGTGTTTTCTTTTGCTGTTCTTTCATGAAAACCACTGTCACTGTTCAAAACTAGGCATATGCGTGCATCTTATCGGACTTACGCGGTGAGGAGGGGTGGGGTTTATGCTATATGCACACTTACATTCAAACAACTGGGCATTTTTTTCCTGAAGTCACCTATAAATTCCAGAGGTTCGTTTGTTAGAGGTCTGGCATGTTTTAACACATTAAATATTGAAAATCAAGTAACATCTTGACTTCAGAATAAAACATCATATCAAACCCGAAAATATGTGTATCTATACATAATATACTGTTTAAAAGAACTGTGTGACCATAGTTAGCAATGTAGGGTCTTTTATTAAAAAAAGTCAATTACAGATTACTTCTCTCAACTATAATGGGATATAATTATTTTACTTCCTGGAAAAACTCTTTACTTATACTTTACACTCTAAAACAATCACAATAAACATCATTTAAAATGCTGTTTACTGTCCCTGCTTTTGAACAAGACACAGACAGTTATGCTGAATAAGATTATGAACCACTGAAAACTCGCCAGTAGAAACAGTTTAAAAAACAGCTGCCTCTAAATAGAATCCTGGTGAGAAAGAGCTGTTTATGAAAATCAAGTGTGGTCTGTTTAAATGAGGTTGAGGCTCTCTCTTCTTCAGTGTGGAGATCTTTATCTGTCAGGTATAAATTAGCGTGATTAGATGCTTTGACAGATTGCTTGTGGAGTTGACTGCTTCCCGCATTCGTGCTGTGCTGTTCATATTCACAATCAGAATCAGGCAGTCATGCTGTCACACTTCACATGCATGTGCATGTTACGTAAAAGAACAGGCACAGATAACCTACAGTGGGGTCCAAAAGTCTGACCGCTACTTTGCATTCCTCTCTAATTTAATACGAGGTATTTCATTACGAACGGTGTTGTCAGCATAACAGTTTCAGTAAAAAGTAGAATCTTTAAATGATTTCAGGATTTTTGAGTATTTGGTATGTTCCTCTTTTGTTTTAATGACAGTGTGCACTCAATTTGGCATGGACTCCACAGATCTGTGCAAAAGCCTCTGATTAGTAGGTCAAATCTACCTGAGAGTCATCTGAGCATGTGTTTCAATAGAAAGAATATGACCAAAAAAATCTGACCTTTTTTGTACAAAGGCCTTAACGTAGTGTTTTTTACAAATTTGCTTCTGTTTGAATCATAAATTAGAAATAGTGCAGAATTTCAAACATTTCTTCTGCATTTTAATGTTTTCAGATTTTAAGGATTCCAAAACTTTCTGTAGTTTATTTCCAGACTTTCCGGGGTGATCTCAAGCTTTTGGACTTTCTCTGTTGAGGAAATTTATGTTCTAAATTCGCTGTGCATGATTAAAATTGTGTCCTTAGACACATGAGTAAAGCAAGAAACAGATTTTTTATTAGGTCAGTAGCTGTAATGTGTTACACTACTTCATTACGAAAAGTATTCACATTACTGTAAAGTGTTACTTTGTATCGTGTTGCCCTCAACACTGGTGTTTAAACATGTGCATGTTCCGAAGAGAGACTAGCAGTGGGCTGTGTACTTCTACTGTGACTTTTAAAAAGATGGTAATTGTAAACAGTTATCAGAATTGTATGATTATCATTGGGTTTTATACCTCAATATATCATTAAAAATCTGCTACATGTCCCTAATGGGCACGTCTCTGCATTCTCATATACAGTGCACACTTACTCTCACATTCATTCTTACACATGTACACCAAGATATATTCCATCAGCTTGATAGCCCTGTGTCTGTTCTTTCCCTGTAAAACCAGCCAGTCTGCGTGTGAGCAGTGTGAGTGTGGTGCGCTCCGACCACTCCAGTATCTGTGTGTCCTGGAGGCCAGTAATAGCCGTTACAGCTTACCGCATTGTCATCCAGGCCCTCAGAGGTACCAGTACTGTTCTCTACTGTACAACACTGATCCATGCTGCTGTTCCGTTTAGAAACATTACCTGTATTCATTTTATTGGCATTTGTTTCAGGTCTCTTTTGTCTCTTTTTGTGTTAATCTGTTTTTTTCTCAGACAAGCAGATAAAGGAGGAAACCGTGGACTCCAGCAGCAGCAGTCACTGTTTCTCTGAGCTGCAGCCAGAGACAGTGTATCGCATTAGTGTGCACTCCCGCTTGGGGACAGTAGAGAGCGCTGCTGTCACTATTCTCCATCCCACAGGTTAGACCACAAAGCAGGTTTATTTCAGAATCAGAATCAGAAAGCTTTATGGTCAGGTATGCTTACACACACAAGGAAGGTTACAGGAGCTCACAGTGCACAGTATCTGACAAACATTTACATGTAGTAAATAAAATAAAAAAAAATAACATAAAATAAAACATGCATTTCTACTATCACTCACTCATACACACACATGCACACACACACAGTCATACTTGTAAACCTTTTCTGACAGCCACTGCCGTGTTTGCTTATGTATCGAACTAAAGGTACAAGTAACTTCATCAATTTTGAATTGTTATCATTGATTATAATGAATTATATTTAGTAAAGAATGTGCTCACTCTTTGTCCAAAAACTTGTCACCTGCTATTCTCATAAAAATCCAAGAAAGCTTTATGAATTGTTTGTATTGTCTACTGTTCAAATAGTTTTACCTAGTAACTATTTCTAATGTGTTTATACTGTTGGTTCACTTAAAACAAATGATAGATGATCCAACAAGACAATGCGAGACGCCACACAGTTCATTAAGTGAATTTTAGGCTTGGTTTAAACCCACTGGGATCTTGAGGGTCTGGACTGGAAAATGTGTGGCAAGGAAGGATATAATCACTATGAATTGTTTGTGGACTGCAGTGAAAAATATGTGGCAAGAAGAAGACTATAAATTATTTAAAATAAATTTAAGAAAGTATGACATAGCAGTGTGAGGTTTTCTTTAACACTAGAACACTAAAATGAAAGCAAATTAGGAAATTCACACTTCATAGTATAATCAGTTTGTGTTTACCAGCATTTTGTTGTCTCTCTAGTTCTCAACCTCACACTGCTACTTCTCATACTTTACAAAAGTTTTTTAAAATGAAATTGAATGAAAAGGAGTTGCTTCCCACACATTCTTCATTGCTGTCCACAGACCATTCCTTCATTCGTGGTTAGATTCTTGTATAGCCCAACAGGATCTCAATGTGTTTTAAATCATGCCTGAACTTCACTAAAAGCAATGTGTCATTCTGCATTGTCTATTTGGAATATCTGTTATTTATAGTTGTTGGTTTTCCTGCTTTAACTCTATTGAATCCAGCATCTGGTCAGTGATGAAAATTTGACAACAGCCCCTTTAACTCGTTTAAATCTACTTGCAGAGTAGTTGGTGCATGTGCATTTTCACATTGGCCACAGTGAAACCTATGAGCTTGTAGAACCGGTGCTTTCTGTGAGCTGCTGTGTTTTCTGTCACTGTATGAAAGATGCATGAGGCTTCCTTTACTGCTGGATGCACTTTGATTTTTTTCTAAGTGAGCATGCAGCCTCACTCAGAGCACAGTAAGGTTCAGTAAGTGATAATTATTATTTGATTTAGAGTAATGATAAAATGTGACTCATGCGTTTTGTTGTCAAAAAATCTAGTTTGAGAGCACTTCTTTTTGACCACCATTGTAATTCTGAATCTTGCACATATAATTCAATCGAAGAATTGAATGAGATTCTTTCCATCTAACTCTTTCCCAGCCGCAGCACCTGTGAGATTACAGCTTCCTCCACGGCTGCATCCCATACAGAATGAAGGTGAGTATACAATAGTACACGTATGTACTGGAACATGTTTATATGGACACAAGCATGATCTAATGTGCTGTGTTTTCTGTAACAGTATGTCCTGAGATGACCATCAGAAACAATGTGATAAAAGGTAATCAGTTAGTCTCTGAATTTTCCCTTTTACATATTTGATCATTTTGTGAACAAATGGCCTCATTGGCACTGTTCCCAGAGAAACTGTGTGTTTGTACTGCAGGTTTTAATATGATGGAGGCGTTTGGTCTGACTCAGAGAGCTCATTCCACAGTGGAGGGCGTGGCAGCGGAGTCTTTTATCTTCAGCTTTTTACCCAGCTACACCCTCTACAGAGACACACAGCTCACCCAGAGCACACGGTCAGACGCGCACACACATACACACATTTAAAGACACCATCTTCCCTTTACGTCTTGTTAGTATTTCATGGCGAATGGGCCAAATAAACATTAGAGTTGAACCATATTGTAGGGAAAAAGTTATATTGCAATATTTTTGGTTTGCAAAAAGTTTTATTATGTTTGAAAAACAAAAAAAATTGTCAAAAAATTACCCAGATAAGGTAATCCCAAAGGCAGCTAATTATCCCTCTAGCAATGGAAAAGGTGTGTTTAATGGGAGAACGAAAGGGGAATTCCACTGATTTTTTCTTTTTCAAAATTTCCGTATAACTAAATTGTTGTCATTTTGAATGCTATAATATGAAATGCTCCATTCTAGAAAAACTTGCCGAGTCAAAATTGTTCACAGTGGGGGTGAAATAAAGGTTTAAGAGCATTAAATTCCTCTAAAGGTTATTCACAGACAGTTATTAAATGAAATGGTTAATATGCTACCTGAAGCCTGAGGCAGTGCTTTACAATAGCTTGGAACAAGGTTTTGGCCTAAACCAGATTTATTTTTAATTAATTAATTAATGTTGGACAGGTACATGCAGTAATGTTTTACCATCATAAACATTACATAGAAAAACTCAGAGGAGACTATAATTGGTTATTCAGGACAGTAAATAAAATGGCTAAATAAAATGGCTATACTTATGTTGTAGACATTGAGACCACTGATTCTTATCATAACCACTGTAAGTTATATTTAAGAGTCAGTAAGTTTGTCCACAGTTAACCATTTCATATCAAACTCTAAATAACCTTATTTACATCTCAACAACTGAATTATGCAGAAAATTTGAAAAATCATTGGAGGTCTTTATTAAGGCATTAGTTCAGTATTCTTATTAGGGTTGTACGATATGGACAAAATACCATTTTGCAATTGTATCGCTATGTACTTGATACCCTTAAGAAGCAAAAAAAGAGTTTTTTATGATGTATTATTTATTGTAAATATCTAAATGTAATGTATTTCTAAACCTAACCTTCACTTCACTTTGCAGATTCATCCACCCTGCCGGCTTTGCTCCGGAGCATACCATCAGCATGATGTTCCGCCTGCTGCAGGACTCTCCCACAGAACCTTTCGCCCTCTGGCAGCTCACTGACAATGATTTCCAGCCCAAGATGGGGGTGGTGCTGGACCGTGAGTACAGGGCTGTTTTGGGGGAGCATGAGCAAATTCTTTTTTATTAGTTTATTAGTATTAGTTATCCTAATAACTACATTAAAATATCCTTTAATGGGGACTGGTGACCTGAAAGTGCTTCAAAACTCATTTAATCATAAAGACCGGCTCATATTGTCCGACAAGGCAATAGTATTTTAATAACATTGTAGATGGTGGTTTTAAAGAATGGCTATAAATAAGAGTTCACATGAGAAAACAGCCTTGGATAAGTTGAAAGCCTTGGATCAAGGCTTAGATTTGTATAGGGATCCATTTTAGCATCTCTTCCTTATTTACACCACTCTGTAAATAAACAAAAACTTTTAAATTGTTGTAGTTTTGTGGATATTTTGGCTAATTTGTTGCACATGTCGCTGATGTAGTTTTATTTGGCTTTCAGCTGAGAGGAAAGTGTTGCTGTACTTCAGTCTGGACTACAGAGGAGAGGTACAGGAGCTGACCTTCGACCAGCCCCAAGTCCACACACTCTTCTATGGCAGCTTCCACAAGGTGAGTGAGTGAGTGAGTGAGTGAGTGAGTGAGAAAGTGAGTGAGAGAGAAAGTGAGTGAGTGAGAGAGTGAGTGAGTACTATCTGCAGTAGCAGAATACCTGTGATAAAGGTGATAAAGACGTAGTTTGTTAGGAAAAGAGACATTAGGATTATATGCACCATAAACTGGGAAATGGATGTGATTATGGGTGTAGCAATTTTAATATAGTATTGTGTCTTTCGTGAAAATCACTGTAACTTTTAAAACATAAGATTCCAGAAAACTAGGTTGCATATATATTGTGTTATTTATAGCTCACTTGTCATATAAGGTCACTATTATGTGTAAATACATGGTACTTTGTGATCTTTTGTTTTTAATAAGATTTGTATTTTTCTGTGGTGTCCAAGCGGTGCGACTATCTACACGCTGACCCTGTCATTGGGAGGTTATGAGTTCAATCACTGGTGATGCCACAACCACAACAATCTGTGACTTAGAGTCCAGCAGAGCATAAATGGCCTCACGTCTTACTGTGTGGGAAATATCGGCTTATTGCAGTGCTAGCTAACATTGATGTCTGTTAGCTGGCGTAATACGTTTGGCGTGCTGAGCTGTCTAGTAACTTGTTAGAATGAGTATGAAAAGATGCTGTGGTTGGCTAGTATGTGCTTCCTCAAGGTCACTGGACAGCTCAACGTGTTTCGAGGAGAACGCTTCACCCTCCTAGCTTGGTAGCATTGTGTGATGGGGGAAGACATATCCAGCGGATGGGAATTGAATATAAGTGAATTGGGAAGAAAATTGAGGAAAAAAAGTTGTGTTACATCAGAAGAGCTCTGTAAAATCCTGAATTTTTACTCCTAAATAATGAAAATTTAATCAAATTTCGACCCCTGAATTAAGAATTGTATTAAACGTGAAAATATGTGTATTGTTGCACCTATAAAATTGATCATTACGCACTGTTCTGGGACATTTTCTGAAATTCTGTTTAATGTGATTGGCAGATTCACCTGTCTGTTAGTCAGGTGAGTGTGTCCCTGTCTGTGGACTGTCAGCGAGTTGGAGAGAGACCTGCTCGTCCTCTCGGAGCGCTACCTACTGACGGCTTTGAGATGCTGGGCAAACTAGTGAGGACTCGCGGGCCCCGAAGTGGATCTGCTGCTGTGAGTATGATATACTGCATGAAACAATGTGAATCATGCCTATTAACTTTGTGAGGTTAAGAGATACTGTTGTTTTGCTATACGTTTGATTTGTGTTGCATAATTAGTTTTAGATGTAATTACATAATTATCGGATTTATTATGTAGTTATGTAATGAGATACATTCACATTCAATTCTGTATCAACTCTTTTGAATCTGCAGCTTTTTACTTGTTACCACGTAAACAAAAACGTTAAGTCGCTGGAATAGCAGGAGAAAAAAAAGCCCACTGAGACGAAACACAGTCAAAATGACCACTGTGGCCTTTCAAGGTAGAAATACTCAGATAAGGCAGGTAGGCTACTAAATAACTGCTGCCAAAATAATGTAGGACTAGTGCTGGAAAAGAGATCCAGCTCAAAGAGACAAAACACTGTCTATATATGTAATATTGATCTCATAATGTCAGATTAAAATCTTTTTTTTTTGGTCAGAATAATCACATTTTAAAAAACATAAAGCAGTCAAAACGACCATTCTTGGCCTTTCTAGTGTTAAACACAGCATACGAAGAGGGTTTCATGGTATATACTTTAGGGGGGACCCAGGAGGATTAAACTTTAAGTACACAAATTAATTCCTCATAGTGGCAGTTGGTGCTACAGTGGTTTCTGCATGGTAGGTCAAAAACAGTTCCTCTTATCTTCTTATCCACAGTTCCAGCTACAGTCTTTTGAGATCGTGTGTAACACCACCTGGGCTTCAGAGGACACCTGCTGTGACCTGCCCGCTCAGGTGAGAGACCACCCACATGCTTAATGAATCTTTCCATAAGTATGTGGTTGAAATAGTGCAGACAAATATGCGGATGATGCAATGATACACTGAACTATGGCCGCACACGAAAGAGGAAGGTTCGTTTTATGATATGTTAGTTATGTACAGAGATCTTTTTTGTTTTCTACAGAGGGATGAGGAGAGTTGCCCTGCTCCCGCTTACGCATGCACCTGCACCTCCGACATCCCTGGAGCACCTGGAGATGCTGGTCCTCCTGTGAGTCAACAACATATACAACTTTTAATAGGACCTGTTTGATATGAAAATGTTGTTACCAATACCAGTAATTGAGATAATTGGTGGTAATGGTCAATATAATTTTTTTTCTATGGACAAAAATTTAAAAATCTCATAGTTTTAGTCAAACAGTTGTGGAGGAGGGGGTGTAGTCGAGCATCACATGTAAGACGGAGAGCCAGTCACACCGAACCAGCAGGCTGAGTAGCTGGTAAGATTCACCCGGGTGTTGTTTCTGCAAGCCTGGTTCTTCATCCATGTCTTTTCTCAGTAGGTGGCAGAGCTCAGAGAGAGAAGGAGATGAGTGGAGACAGAAAGAAAAAGACTGAAAAGTTCCTGCAAACATGCTCTTTAATTTTGTTAACTGGGTGAAAAGCTGAGTGATTTGTGTTGTTGTCAGAATAAAAAGAAAGCTCTGTGTCTCCACACCCTGCTCGACCACACCTCCTCCTTCACAACAGTTTAACGTGGTATGGTGCAGTATTGCAATCATTTTCACTGTGTATCTGTGGGATTTCTGTCATTCTGCCAGTAAATCTGTGGAACCTTAATAACAGCTGATTTTATCAGTCAAATGATATATCAGTCAGGCTTCTAGTTTCTAATGTTAATTAGATAATAACTACTGTTAATTATGGATTTGTGGCATATTTGTCTGCTCATATTCTGGTTTTACCTCAGGGCAAACCTGGTCCTCGTGGGGAGAAAGGAGAAAAAGGGGAGGAAGGACAGAAGGTGTGCTGTCTCTTTACTCTCTTTTTCAGTCAGCTGTTCTTCTAGGTGCATGTATAGATTAGTTTTGGGCCAAATGTTGCAACAATGGTAGTTCTTCTTGCTCTAATTATACCACAATGTCTGTAGATGTTGAGCTAATGAGTTTACCCATTTTTCTTTCCATCCTCTGTGCCATCCCAGGGTGAAATGGGACCCCCTGGCAAGGGAGGGCCTGAGGGAGGCTTTGGCCCTATGGGGTCTGTCGGCCCCCGTGGAATAGCAGTAATGGGTAAAATGGTATGCACACTTTCTAGCATAGCATGCTTGTACCAGAATACTAACTTATATGGTGATGAATTAAAGTCTCTCTCCATGTTTCTGTAGGGGCCTCCAGGGATACGGGGCGAAAAAGGAGATATTGGACGGCCTGGGAATCAAGTGAGCCTGATGTGTCTTTCATTTGATCAGAAAGATGAGGCATTAAGTGTTTTTAAGATACTTTGCATTATTTCTTTGTGATCACCCCTCTTTATTTTTAAGGGGTTACCAGGACCACCTGGCCCAAAAGGTGAAGAGGGAAAACCAGGACCAAAGGCAAGTCCACTTCATTTAAGAAATAGAGCATTCGGCTTATGCCTGTGACCACATCACAGCGTTGATGTTATTCATAGTATCACAGAACCTCAAATGTTCTGTTCCTTTCAAACAATAGTTTTGAAAAGTAAAGAAAAAGACAAAGCACAGAAGTCCTGTATATTGTTTAGATGTTTTAATATTGGGTGATTTCATCTGCCAACAAGCTACAACAGGCCAACCATGTTGTTACTTAGCAACTGACGGAAGGCTAGTGTTGTAGGGCCAGATTTGATCTCGTAACAAGAACGTCTGGAGACAACAATGAGAAATTTTGTGCTGAATGTGGTTGGGAATGTAGACTTACTATGGTGGGATCAAACTGAGTGTGAAATTTTGAAAACAATCCAGCATCTCCTGAAGACAGAGCACATAATAGGGGGTCTTGGTGCACCCTCTACATTGTCTGGGCACGGTGGATGTAACTAAGTAAGCAGTAACCCTAAAATACTCCAGTTATGTAGATATGAGTCACATATGTAAAGAACACAGTACATGTGGTAGAAATAAACATTAACTTGCAAGTTGTAGTGGTTTGTTTTGCTTTGTTATTAACTGTGTTCTGAATGTTTAAAGAGCACTAAGCGTTCGGGGCGGGTTTTACAGGGTTGTACCCTGTACAGCAGATTTGTTGTAGACAAGTTGTGTCCAAACATGTATTCTCATTATAAGATCTCACCTGGCCCTGTGAGACTAGTGGTAGGCAGAATGATTGAACATAGTTTAAACAAAACACAAAACGACATCAACACTGATAGAGCGTGTTCTCTTAGTCAGAGACCTTCATACTGTCACATGAAAAGAGGTGAATGATAAGCATCACACTTATGATGTATTATGTATCTTCTCTTCGTATCTGTTTCTTTTAGTCCCATACCTTTCATTCTTGCTCTTTCTTGTCCATTTTTCTCACCAGGGGACCAGAGGTGTGGAGGGTAACATTGGACCCCCAGGGACTACTGGACCAAGAGTAAGATATCAGAGTCATAGAGACTGCATTCTTCCAGATTTACACATTAACCATGTTAATATGTTGTCATGCTCTGCATAAATTTCCACCTCTTTATTGTATCTTTTCCTCATAGGGTTTCCAGGGTATGCCTGGTCACCCAGGACCTGTTGGAGAGAGGGGACCACTAGGACCTGTAGGGCCAACAGTGAGTGCAGAGACATCCTGGATTTTATAATGCTGTTAATCACCCAAGTTTTTAGACCTTTTTTTCTCCAGTATTTGGGGTATTAACCTTAGTGTTACGACCCAGTCTAGGGTCAGGCGGTAACAGAGAACGTGGGAGGGCTCTCTCCCCAGACCTGCTGCTAGACCAGACACCGAACACCATTTAAACCAGAAAATGACAGGTTTATTTTCTTCAAAAGCTCAAACAAGCTGGGTTGATGGCTTCAGGGACAAGCATTAACCAAAATAACAAACAAAACAACTTGATTTCAAACTTAACTAAACTAAAAACAAAAGAAACAAAAGACATGTAGGCTACCCTGACTCCCTACCTTAAACAGGAGAAAAGGTGACCAAAACAACATGGCACCTGTCCCCTACTTTCACCCAGCTCTCAAAACATATCAAACAGTCACAGTTGTAATAATAGCAGCAAAGCAAAGCAGACAGAAGTGAAGAGTGCTGGGCTGGTCTGGACAGGTGTTCTTCCAGGTCAGGTCAGAGGGGAGAAATCCCTGAACGTCTCCCAAGATGGTGGCTCGGCGACCTCTTATACCTCTGTGCACCCCCGTCCGGCCAGTCATGTACCTGCACATAAGGGGACACACAACGGGGAAAACACAGAATGCCAGCACAAGGCACACAAAGGGTATATTACGACCAGGGGTGGTAACACTTAGTCTAGACTGTTTTGCTGTCCTACTTATATCAAAATACATAATTACAAAATCAAAATGAATTACATTTACATTTGATTAACATTCTGGTTTGATTCTGACCCTTTTTTTTCAATGTTTCAATGTTAAAACTTTGACAAATACTTGGCAAAAATGAAAAAAAAGTGAATTATCTTTATGCAAAACAAGACTGTATACACAACAATAACCTTAAATCAAATTCAAATTATAATAAAACATATTTTACTTGAAAATGCAAATGTAGTATCAGTTGAAAGAGTCTGCACTACTGACAGAATTGTGTTATATATAAGAGTGTTAATATAAATTTGCTGCATGCTGTTTTTATCACTGGCAGTAACAGCGTTTTTCAAAGGTTAATTATGTGACATTTTCAGACTGGAATAGTTAAAGTCATCATTAATGATGTCTGTTTCTATTGTTAGGGGCTTCCTGGAAGTAAGGGCGAGAGAGGAGAGAAGGTGAGTTAAAAGCGCAGTATTCCTCATGCTGTATGCCAGCTTCATGCAGCACCATTTCTTTTTTGAAGGATACATTTAATTATGTTTTGTGATGCAGTTTAAATGTGCTTTGTTGACAGGGAGAGCCGCAGTCTCTTGCCGTTATTTACCAGCTTGTCACTCAGGCTTGTGAGAAGCTGGTGCACAGTATGTGACAAACCTTTCTCTATTTAAATCTTCTTTGTCCATGTGATGTATTTCACTATTTCCATTGTTGCTGCACTACGACATCACATCTGTATGTTTTTATTGTTTTATACAATACTGTGCAAAAATCAGAGACCACACTTGCTTTCCAGACAAAACAGCCTTTAAGTATAAGATATTCATTTTCTAATGGCAGAAAAAAAAAGAAAACGTATTAAATAGAGAATTATCCATAAACATTAACAACTAAATATATATATATTTTTATATATATATATTTTTTCACAGTGGAAGGATGTGCAGAAACACTCATGGATTCTTTCAGATCTGAAGTGGAGCTAGGTATCTCCAGCTTTGGAGACTCCTGGAAAAAAATACTCCTTTTTTTCATGTGTTTTCCTTTGAATTTCCCCTTCCTCGAGCAAGTGGGTTGTCCTTTATCTGATCTCAATCTCCTCAGATATTTTGTGAAAAATCAACTTGTACTTAATGGCTGTTTTGACGGGAAATAAATGAATGGTGGTCTTTGCATAGTACTGTATATAATCCACACTGCCTGTAGTGCCCCTTTTTTAAAAATAGCGTTTCTTTGAGCCTCTGATATCTGGTCATCAGAGTATTCACCTGTTATAATGCTGTGCTTTAGATGAAGTGCTGAAGATAGACGCTTTCCTGAATGAGATCAGTCGAAAGCCTGTGCCCATCCAGGAGCCGGTTGGGCCTCCAGGAGAGCCCGGAATCCCAGGTGGGAGAGGATCCCCAGGGCCAAGAGGCCCTGAGGGACGACAGGGAGACAGAGGAGAACAAGGCAAACCAGGGTATCCTGGCGAGCAGGGTGAGACTTTTAAGCAGCTTATGGAGATGTATTTGCAATCTTTACTGCACATGGATACTGGCAAGCAAAATTTAAAGCAAGGGTTCAGCCAAAAAAGAAATGTATACTATTTTCCTTCTTCAGAACACATAGTCGATTAGCCATGACCTGTTTGATGTCTGAAGTTTGCTTTTTAGTTTTGTTCTGGACCTTTATTGGTGGCGAGCTGTAACAAATGGAGCTACAACACAACATGGCCAAAAAGTAATAGAAGCTTTAGGCACCTTTTACATTGTGCAAACTGCCTGCTCATTTTGCTTATGTGGTTTCTGAAACTATATGGCATTAATGTTATCTATAAAAATAGACAAAAGCAAAGTTTTGGCTTAAAAAAGCTGCTACTAAGCTGCATGTGATGATTAATGCAGGCAGCTTGCTTCCATTATTGGTTCGTTTTCATTACTTGTTAGGTACATTAGCATTTTAGCACCAGCATAAAACTAAAGAAAACTTCAGATACCAAACTTTGCTGATCGACTACATTTGGTGTAAGGGGAAAACTTAGTAAATTCGATTTTTGGCTGATCTATTGCTTTAAATGTAGCTAAGTTACTAATAATTCAGGCCTAGCGCTGCAACTCATCTCATCCCAGAGATCCTAATTCTGCTCTGTACCTTAAGGACGCAGAGGTTTGCCTGGTGAGAGAGGAGCTCCAGGGATTAATGTTCAGGGACCACAAGGAATGAAGGGTTTTGCAGGTATAGAGTGTTTCTTATATATTTAAATATTTTTATTTTTAAGTTTTAAATTTCTGTATAATTAAACGGTTAAGATGTTAGCAAAGTCGCTCCAAGTGGTTTGATGTAAAATGTCCCATGTTAGAGAAGCTAACAGAGACAAAATTGCTCACAACAGTGGTGATGTGATCCAGATAAAGTATTTAAAAGCTTACAACACAAAATTGTAGTGAATACACTACCTGATGCCTGAGACATTGTTTTATGGTAGTTTTGAGAAGTTTTTTGCCTTAAACCTCTACATTTTAAACTACTCATAGTGGAGATGTACGTACAGGGTGTTGTAAGGCAAAATAGTCCCCAAAGAAAACATATTTTTTCAGATTTAATTCTACTTTACTATTATCAACATTATATAATAAAAGCTCAGAAGACGTGTAGGTTCTTTGGTTATTGTGGGCCATTAATGAAATGGCTATATTTGCGTTGTCATCTCAGCCCCTGGTTTCTGTAACCATCACTCTAAAGAAATGTGAGAAGCACTGTTTCTCTACAGTGCATCATTTCACATCAAAACACTCTTAATGCCTTTCTTCACATCTCAGAAATGTTGACACATCTGTGGAATTGCCTTTTAAGCAACACAGTAGCAAATACAGTGATGATCTAAAATTTTGTGATATCTCATAACCCTTTGTTGTTATGCTGTTATGCAGTTTTGCAAAGTAAAGAAAGAAGTTCAGCAAAGAATCCTTGAACATTGTGTCAAAAAGATGTTTCAATAATGCACATTTCTATCACCAAAAAATATTTCCAGTAGCTTAGGATAAAAGACCATTGTTGTTACTTAGCAACCGACGGTCAGTGGAATGATACAGGTATGGTGAAAAAAAAATGTGTTGTAAACAGCTGAATCTTAGTACAAAGATGATTATAAAATGGTAGAGCGAGCATCGCACTGAACACTCTCTCTACCAGTTAAGATGCTTTTTGGAAATGGGGTCCAGGTTGTGTGGTCAGAACTAATTGTTTTATAATAGTAGTCCACTGTTAGTAACTGCTCACGACACTCTTTGTGCTGTGCCAGGGCTTCCAGGAGAAACCAAGACAGGGATACAAGGCCCTCGAGGTGAGGATGGTAAACCAGGTTTTCCCGGTAATCCGGGGGGTGTGGGTCAGCCAGGTGAGATTGGACCCCCTGGTGTGTGTGACAGTAGTGGCTGCCATCGAGGAGCGCTCCCAGCAGGTGCATATAAACATTTTCTCCTTTGTGCAGTCATTATCAGTTGATGTCCTCCTGTAAATAATGCATTTTCTCCTTATCTTTTAAATGATTTTTTCAGTGGATCCATACTTTGGATACCAGCCTTGATCTGGATAAAAATGAGACAACATCTGAATATTTTCGAGTCCTTGTATTTCTTTAAGAAGAAGCATAGAGGCGCTGTTGGTTGTAGCGGTTAAAAACTGGTTTGGCATGCAAAGGACGTGTTGTACCAAGACCAGTTTTAGACTTCCTCACTGTGTGACACTGCTAATGCAAGCTTCAGACTGAAACCTCTTTACTCTCCAGCTTCTCTTCATGTGACATCTCCAGAAGCCCGAGCCGCCTTTCCAGACATTTTATCCCTGTTTTTCATTTAATGCCTATTTAAACTGTCATTAATCTGGACGTAGCCAGTGCCGTGAATCACTAGAGCAAACTCTTGAGCAGGACTCATTTTGTGCTGCATTGAATTCAGTTTGACACCAAAGAAGGATCCCACATCATTTCAGTTACATTTAATGGAAGATATAGCCATATTTATCATCAGTTTACTAAATAATTTCGCACTGAGAATGTTTTTAGATCTATTTTACCAATGCTGTGGTTTATTTTTTGTATTTATGCACTACAATGTATATGTTTTTAAGAATATGTTGTTGAAGGCATATTATTCCTTCTGCATATTTGGGTCCCCTGATTTTGTTGTTTTAGGGTGAATTTTAAACGGACATGTATTATAAAACAACACTGTGATCATTTTGTGATGTCTTACTGTCTTGCATATGCATAATGCCTGTTTTATTTGAATCTGCACAAAGAGTTCTTGTAGTAAAATTAACACTATATAATGTAAATGTCTAAACATTGAAATACTGATTTTTTATGTTTTCTAAATGTAAGCATTTAAACTGTGTGTGAGTGTGAGAGTGTATGTGTGTGTGTGTGTGTGTGTGTGTGTGTGTGCGCGCATGTGTGCATTTGTGTGAGAGAGAGTGAGAAAGGAGGGGGATAGAGGACGGGAGAAGTACATAGTTATTGACCTGTGTGAAACCAAACAATTTTTAAAAATTAAAATGATTTCTTGTGGTACTGAATGTGCTGTGTCAACAAATTATTCCTCTTAAATGTAACTTCCACTGATTTCCAAATACAGTTTCACTGTCCTGCATTTGTAAATCACTGCTAGAAAAGTTATCCCATTAATGTCCATTTGTGAAATTTTAAATGTTCTTTGCTTCATGTGTTCTTGGAGCTTGGCTGAGCACAAATCTGAAGAGATTTTTCAAATGGATCAATATATGACTTAAAAGTGGGGTTTTATGGGGTTAGGGAACCAGCCTTGTGACCGGAAGGTCGCTGGTTCGATCCCCTGAGCCAACAGTACATGACTGAAGTGCCCTTCATAGTACTGGGCTGCCCACTGCTCTGGGCAAGTGTGCTCACTGCCCCCTAGTGCGTGTCTTCACTAGTGTGTATGTGGTGTTTCACTGCACGGATGGGTTAGATTGCAGAGGTGAAATTTCCCCATTGTGGGACTAATAAGGCTCACTTAATCTAATTAATCTAATGTAATCAAAAATCTTCAAATAGGTACTGCTACATGTCCAAAGTATAACAAAATTTAATCATTTTAGAAATTGCATATTAGTATTGTTGGGTATCTGTGGGCTAGTAGAGTGTTTGAGTAGTTTGAGCATGACAGCTTACTTTTAGATACTCATCAAAAGAAGTGCCTCAGTTAAAATAGCTCATTTTGAAACTAGAGATGGTACCATCTCTACTCTTCTACTAGTTCTGTGGCAATTTTCTTTTTCTTCTTGGACATGAATGAGTTAAAATGGTAAGTAAAGTAGATGTATATTAGTTTCCTTTAACCTCCAAAAAGCACATGAAGTGTGCAGACAGTGTTGTGCTCCTCACCCTAACTGCACACAGCCCTGGGCTCGCAGGAACCAATAATCGGGAGCGCAGATTGCAGCGGACCACTGTCCTAGACACACATCCGGTGTGTAGTCCTGTCCAACATGGCAGGTTCTAGGAGCAGTAAGAGAAACAGAGAAGAGGCTGATAAATATTCTGTGCTGTTACCGACATACAACGAACGGGAGAACCTGCCCCTGATTGTGTGGCTGCTGGTGAAGTACTTTGGGGAAAGGTGAGGTGAATATTTAGCTAAAGCGAGCGGCTCAGAGCTGAGCTGCCTGCTAATGATGAGCTGTCACTGAGAGTCGCTGAGCCCGTTTGACTCCACACAGCTCAGTAAACACGGTAACCTGGCGACCTGGCAGCGGTTCGTACTGCATAACCGTTAAAGATAACTGTAGCACTGGTGTCATTACTTTAAGATAGAGGATTCCTGTGCGTTGTCGAGTAGGGGAGTAATTTACGCACCGCCGATTTAAGTTCCTAATAGCTACTATAACGTTAAGTGTATAAATATTGTAGCGTTTGCCGAAATTAAAGGGTGACACAGCTTCTGCACAGGTTGTTGTGCTATATTAACCCGCTGTTGTTGGCCACAGCTACACCAGACACAAGCAGATATAACAGTTCGCTCTGGCCTCACCATGTCTTCTCCCCTAGACGTCAACACTGGACTGATCTCAGTTTGTCCTGATCTACACAAAACACAGACAGCAGGCTAAACCTGCTTTCACAGTTAGAGTCCTTATAGAATAACCCGGCAAATAAATGCTCTAGAACTAATAACCTGGAATAAACATGCACACATTTCTTGTACATGCTACACTACCAAGTCTTTGAACCAAACTGGAAGCCGCCCCCTCCTCCTGGGGCGTGCTGGGGTGGGCGGCTCTCGGCTGAGGAGTCATCCATACTAGGTAGCTGGACAACAACTTCATGGTATCCTCTCCGTCAGTGCACCTTAGCAGAGAGTCTGAAGCAGGGCGTGCGGCTGCTGCAGCAGTCCTTTCTTTACTGTTCACAGCAATGCATGTACAGCTCTTCGTCCTCCTCCTGGGTGCGCTGGAACTTCTCACAGCTCATAGCATCAAGCCTGGTGCCACTGGGAGCACTGCAAGCAGCATCAGCAGCAGCACTTCTCTCAACCGCTTTCTGTTGTCGTTGTCTGCGTTGTCGATGCCGGTGGGGGTGCTGCTCATGTGCTCTGCCCATTAAACAGCCGTGCTGCCCTTGACCTGACAGCGCACTCCGCCCTCAGAGATCCTCCAGCTGGCTCTGATGTTGCGTGTTCCACTATGCACTGGGTATCCGGTGGCTTAGAGACTAAGTTGCCCCAACTGTCAGCGTCAGCTGACGATCTCCCCACCATCAGTGTTAGCTCACCTGTCACAGTGTGGAGATTAACTGCTGTTCTTTCCAGCTCAAATCCAGCAGGTGCCACTTCTGGTTGGCCCACTGTGACCGATGACCCTGTGTTCATCAGAGCAGTGCATGGAACTCTTTCAGTGTCGATGGAAATGTGGCAGAAGTCTGATATGGATGTTCACCCCACCACAGCCACTGTTTGTTCACTGCCTGTGCTGTACTTTTTGGCTAGGGCAGCATTCTTACTCGCTCACTTCACCCCCAGTAGAGGTGAAGCCCTAACCATATGTCCCTGCCGGCTGCACATCCAGCAGCAGTGGCCCCACTGGCTGTATGGCTGTAGGTGTGGCTAACAGACAAGCCCTAGCCAGATATCCCAGCTGGCTGCACATCCAGCAGCAGCGGCCACGTGCCACTGGCTGTATGGCTGCGGTTATGGCCAACCCTCAGATCTGTTCTGTCATCTACTCTGTCCACACTGACTTTGGTGACTCACTTGACACCTCCACAGCTCTGACTGCAGGACTGGTAACATCTATGCACTGTGCAGCTACTGACAACAACATTTCTCTGTCTAGTGCCTTCTCCAGTCTGAGAGAGAGTCTGAATCTCTCCCATTGGCAAAATCTTTTGCTTCTGACATCAAAAGTAGCATTCTGCTATTAAAGGAGACGCAGCTTTTGCACGAGTAGTTGTGCTTTATTATAAAGCTATGATAAACACAAGCAGAATTTTCTCTAACAGTTTGCTTTAGCCTCACTGTGTCGTCTCCCCTAGGTGTCACCGCTAGACTGATCACAGTTGTTCCTCGTCGCAGGTGCATGGCCAACGGACTAGCCCCACCTTTACAATAAGAGTCCTTGTAGAATAACGCAGCAAATAAATGCTAAAGAACTAATAACCTAGAATTAATATGCACTCATTTCATGAACATGCTGCAGTATAACTGTTTGGGGGGGGATTGTGTGTACTTACTGTGAAATTAAGTCATATTTGTTCACAGGTTTGGCATGGACAGAATAATAAACCATAAACCAATGCACAGTTAGAGAAAATACAGTGGAAAAGCAGACAATATTATTTTATAACACAAAAATAAAAATGTTGTTGGGATAAGATGCCCCTTCCTGAAGTAATAAACCCCACTGAGGGGAATCTACTGTCATCAGATTTTTATCATCTCATGTAATTTTTTTGTATTAATTATGATATTTGCATTCTTCAAAGAATGTGCTATTTCTCTTAAATACAACACTGAATATCCTGTGTTAAATTGAAAGGTCAATTTATGTCTTAATGATTACACTTTTTTATAATAAGCTATGACATAATTATAATAAGCTTCTGTTCACAGTAAACAGAAATAAATTATAATAATAAAACATAAAAATTAAATATAAGTATAATAAAATAAATTCCCTATAATCATATATTTAAAAACTTGTACAAGTAAATGTAAATGCATATATTGCTATTATTTGATGACAAAGTTAGATCAGCTGAACTAAAACTCTTATTTAGAGCATAGTCATTCAGTAAATGTGCTTGAACAAATGTCATGTTGTGTTGATTTTCTAAGTGAACGTTTGTACACATGCTCTACAGAGAACAAACTTAAATTTGGCTTTTTTCTGCCCAGTTCTACACTGAGTTTTAACATATTTTTCTGCTTAATCGTGTATAGCACTGTTGATTGTTGTATATTTTGTTTTCATCCATTTTATGTGTTTGTGTGTTTTTGGGACACTATGTATATTTATATTTTAAAAAGAGAGGCCAAAGACAGTCTAACCTAATCCAATCTATGTTACCAGCCTGTTTTATAGCTAACTAACCTAAGCCTTTCTGTTTTACCCTTTTCATTCCATGCAGTGGATACAACTATGAGATTATAGTCATTGATGATGGCAGCCCTGATGGGACACTGCAGATTGCTGAGCAGCTACAGAAGATTTATGGAGATGATAAGATTGTGAGTTGTAGTTGATGTCTTGGTTGTGTTGTATGCTGATGTAATAACTAATTAAGATATGGTTGAAACTGTTTCTGCTTTAATATTAATTATTCACTTTGTGTTTCAGGTGCTGAGACCACGTGCAGAAAAATTAGGTTTAGGTGAGTCAGCATTATCTACGGTTTACCTTGTTTGACTGGTGTGGCGTGCATTTAGGCTATTTTCTTTCATTCTTTTGAACATCAACCTGAGGTCTTCAGCTCCAGGCCTTTAAAAAATCCAGAATATCCAGGACTTGAAACTGGATTTAAGGTCTGGAGTTGAAGACCACTGGTGTAGACTAATTACTAACAGATATGTGTAACAGAACAATAACAGGGTTCCTCAATTGCTACTCAGGGACAGCATACATCCATGGCATTAAGCATGCCACTGGGAACTTCATTATCATTATGGATGCTGATCTCTCTCATCACGTAAGTATTAAAACTGGAGATCACTTTGTGCTACATGGATCTCTCTTTGGTTTTGACATTTTGACATTAAAAGCTAAATCTGTTTTTAAAAATCATTGTAGGTTTCTATTTATAACAGATGTTTGCGTTTGATCGCATAATTATTTTTTTCTTTATATACAGCCGAAGTTTATCCCAGAATTTATCAAGTAAGTTCTACATCTCTAAATCTATTTCTGTTACTGAAATAACATATTGCTTAGAAAGGCAGCTGCTTTTAAGATCATGCTATGATGCTTCTGACTGTACACTGTGAAGAGTAACAAGGTAGAACTTCATTTATAATGTTTTTGATGTTAGTTTTGGGAAAAAAAATTAGCTTTCGACCATTTAAGCTGTTTATTTTGCTTTGCATTGTTTGAGCTCCTTTTTGCCACATTAAGCCTTTTTTTTTTACAGTGCACTTGTGTACCAATCAGTGCTGAGTTTTGTTTACTGTTCAGGAAACAGAAAGAGGGTGGATATGACCTTGTGTCCGGAACACGTTACAGAGGAGATGGAGGAGTGTATGGATGGGACCTGCGCCGAAAGCTCATTAGGTAATCTGTCTGGTTTCAAACTGTCCTGCTGTATTTTGGAGCAGCTTAAAAGATGTGAAAAGATGAATATGATACAAAAGCACTGATTGTCACTTTTAATATTTCTGGTCATGCATGAGTTGTTTGGCAATAGTATCTGTTTTTTCTAACTTTTCAGGTAGTCACAAATATTAGGACAGTTCGCTGACCAGAGCGTATTTACATGTTTAGAAGTTTCCTGCTTCACTGACTGTGCACATGATGTGACTGTGATGGTTTTAGTTTTTAGCTCTTTCCTTGGAAGTCAGCAGACATAAACTAACATGGAATTATTGAGCTCAGGCTACTTGCTTACACAGTACATTCTAAAACTGTGTACTGCAGTGCAACAGTTTGCATATGGAGGTGGGATTCATCAGGTGTGTCCTGTTGTGCCATGTAATGCAGCTGCATTGTTAGAACACCAAAGGTCACAGTCAACTTAACCAACTTCAGTATAGAGCTTTAGACCGGCCTGAAATTGTGGTCTGAATTTAAGTAAAGCCTGAGAATTTTATGTCCAAGTCCAACCCGGCATCACATTTGGAGTCCAAATCCAGATCAGGCCTGACAAAATTCTGTTCAAACTTGACCTGAAAGTGACGAGTCCAACAGAATTTCAGTTCAAAATTGACCTGAATTGGCTCCAAGTGCAGAATAAAACTTAATATTGTAGTGATTAAATTATTGTGTATCAGCAATAATAGCCACCATTAGATGACAAATATAAATACAAAATAAAGTCCCACTTCAGCTAATTTATTCATCAAGTAATGCTTTCGAACATTGTGAACATTCTGGGTCTGGATAAACCTGCCATAGTGCGCTGTTCTCACCCTGTGCCGCAGCAAGATATAAGCCATCACCTGTTTAATAATAAAACCCTTATTCCTTTATATAGAACATGTTACATATAATATGTTAAACATACAACAAGAACTTTTTTGGCCAAACAAAACATCATTTTAGCTGCACTAAACTGTACTTTTCTGAATAGAGTCACTGTTTTAATTTCCACACATCCACTTTCTACTGAGCGTAGACCTCGTGGATCTCGATGCTAAATTGTGTCGACAACACAAGTGGGTGACTCCAGCATGCAAAATTAAAAACTGTTTTAAGGTGGGAGAACGATTTAAAAATCGGAAAACCAAGAACATGAACCTAAACATCAAAAAACCTGACCTGAGCCCATCATGTATTTGGAAAATGACGGACGAAATGACGGTTTTACAAAAGCAAATCTTGGGTTTGTGCATTATCACAAGTGACACCATGGCTGTGAGGAACCTATGACCAAATCACAGCCTGATGCTATTTGTAATAACATACTCTCCCTCTCGTTTTTCATTACTTAATAATACTCATGGAGGACTGTGTAGCTGTGGATACATTTTTGAGGATTGGTTGATATTTTGTCTTCTGCTACTGAGCTGTGTGCTTATAATCTGGGTGCCGTATAATCAACAACATATAATCAATAATCTGTCTAGTAAGTCTTCAGTGTCTTAACAAAAGTATTTCTGAAAGGATAACTTCACTTCAGAATGGTCTCTAATTTGTACATCTTAATGTAACAAGATTTAAAATGCAAATAATTTCTGTTCAATCAAATGTTTACACAGCTGTCTTTTTCATGACAGCCATGAATTACTGATCCTTGTTTTATATATAAACTCTCCTGTCTTTCTTTCTAGCCGTGGGGCTAATTTCGTCACACAGGTGCTGTTGAGACCCGGAGCGTCGGATCTGACAGGAAGTTTTCGGTATGTGCTGTAACACTGTCATCATAATTCTTGATTGCTGTATAAACAGTCATAGTCTGTTGCTCACATTGGTTCTCTTGTTTTACCAGGCTGTATAAGAAGGATGTGCTGGAGTGCCTTGTAGAGCGCTGCGTGTCTAAGGGCTATGTCTTCCAGATGGAGATGATCGTCCGTGCTAGACAGCTAGGCTACACCATTGGAGAGGTCAGTCCCTCTGTTCTATGTTTAAAGGCCAGAGCACATCCAATCAAACAAACACAAATAAACATAAATGTTTGGTTGGCGTTTTGTTGTTGGAGCTTTTCGAATGTACTGGCATCGTTCACTCTGGTTCATTTGTCTCATCAGGGACCAGATTTACGAAAGCTTTTCTAAGAAAAAACTTTACAATGCATTTTAAGACAGACACTAAGAAGGTCATAAGAATGGTCCTAAATGCAGTTCTCAGAAATAAACTTTGGTTCTATATAGAACGATCTACAGCATATTCTCCATCAGTCTGAAGAACCCTTTCACGATGCTAAGATTTTCTTTCTTAAGACACTCTTGTGAATCTGGCCCCAGTTTTTCGGAACTTTCTAAAGATAACTATAGGCATTAAGGTCGAATTTTACTTCTGCATATGTGTATCTGCAATCATGTGCAAGTGTTTTGTGCAGATAGTCGCATATGAGCAGGTATCTGCCAGCATATTTACATGTAATATAAATATGTACACTAGGGCACAGTGTGCAAACCACAATTTACAAAAAATTAAGAGCAAAGTTTCACATTTTTCCTCTTATTAAGAATTATTACTTGCTTGTTTTTATAATATTTTGAAGAACTGCACCATTTGATGTTGCTCAAGTTCTAATTCAGGTCAAGTATTGTTTAGGCCTTATCCCGCCTCCCAGTGCTCCTGGAGAGTCAATCAGCATTTGCTTAACACAAAGCTTCACAGATTCGTATAATGTGTAGTTGAGATTTTGGAGGTTTGCACATTATGGCCTCTGTAAACTGCACTTTCTCACAAACCCCTTCTTTGCATTGAGACACAGATACGTTTATGTGCCTCTTCACAGAAGAATAAATCAGTTTGTATAATGTTGGTGTTCATTGAAGAATGTTTGGTGCTGTAGCCTGTTGTGGATCTTTCATTCCTTGTTTTCGCATCGAACAACACCACTAGCCACGTTTACGTGCAGCCTAATAATCCGTTAATAATCCGACTAATAGCTCAGTCGGAATAGAATACGTCCATGTATACACCTCAGTCAGAATAGACTAGTCTGATTGAGGCCATTCGGAATACAATATCTATCCAATTGAATGAGGTGGATAATCCTGTAAATAATTTTTTAAATAGAAGAATAATAGCCATGTAAACGTCTGTATCTGATTACATTCCCAATCAGAATGTGTAAATTCATTCTGCGTCATAGCGAAAGTTTAGAACGTTCAGTGGTCTGCAGAGGAGACGAAGTTTACACTTTAATCTTTAAAAGACGGCGGTGGGACAGGTGTCCAGCTTATGTGTCTCAGAACATGACGTCTTCCACTCGGCCTTCTTTAGTAAAGACATGTGAAGTGCATTTTCTGAGTCAGCCATAATTTTTAAAGCGATTAAAACACAAGCGTGTCAACTGAAAACTGATCTCACTCTGACTAGACCTCACGTGATGCTTGTCGTCATGGTAACGTTTACACTAAGTGGTTCTCTACGTGTGCACGTCATTTTGGATCTGATTACTTGTAGTGCGCATGTAAGTGGAGATTTTCATCAGATTGTTGAGTAGAGTGAGATATAAACACCTCAGTTTTAACCTGTAATCAGTATGTATTCAGTCAGATCTTTGCATGTAAACACAGCCACAGCCAAGGTTTTTGACTGGAATTGTTCTATTACTATGTTGTTAGAGGTTCTTCAGATGTTAGTATACTTCAAAAACATCCATTCATTTATACCAATTACATATAATTAAGTCAAATTTAAACTTTCCTGAACTTGTTTTCTGCATTCTACCTGTCTGCTTACAGTGCTCATATTCCATGTACACACAATTCATGCTTTGTCATTTTGCCCTGCAGGTTCCGATCTCGTTTGTGGACCGTGTTTATGGGGAGTCCAAATTGGGAGGAAATGAAATCGTCTCTTTCCTGAAAGGATTGCTCACTCTTTTTGCCACAACATGATCCGATTACCGGCTCTGTGTTCTGTTACGTGATGTGGCATGTATGCAAATAGTCTTAGCATCGCCATGCTGCACTCACCTGATGCACTCTGACTGCTAGTTCTTGTCTAATTAAAGAGAAAGATGTCAAGTTTACAGATTGTAGCTTTTGTGACACCTTTTGGTCCTGTAACATAAGACACTATGGAGTACTGACGTGGAGTAGTGTTGCTGTTCTGCTTTGATTGAGGAATACTTTTTTCTGGAGGTCTGGAGATACTTTACAGGTATATTTGTGCAAAAAAAAAATATCAATTTAAATGAACCTTAAAAGGACATGCACTAAAATCTATGAAATGTTCTGGACCAAACCTAAGGAGTGAAAGAAAATACTGGCATCAACATTCAAATTCTAAGTCGTTAAGTATAAATGATATCTTTTTGGAGGGATGACATGCATAACTTCACTTTGTTAAAGCATAAAATTAGTTAAAAGCTAAGTAAGATGTTACAACACATGCTATATTTTCAATCAGCATTAGTATGCAGACTGTTGGAGTTGGTTTTACACCTTTTGATGATTAGTCACTGCAATGACATGAATGTTGAGACATTGCGTTGTTGATAAATAAATATTTTACATGATTTCTACCTCCCTGTATGTGTGAAATTTGTCCATACAAACAGACACATCTTTCTAAAGTTCACAGAGTATATAATTACACCAAATAAGCAGTTCTGTAAATGGCTGGCTACATAACTTGTTTTACTCTCGTTAAACTATTAAACTATAATTATTTACTAGAATGTCACTGCAGCCCATTAAATGCGTAACTTGCATCTAATACCCCAGTACGTTGCACGTTGACATCTCATAGTATATTCACAATATGATATTGGCACAGACATCAGCAGACCAAGACTGCTCACGGTAACAAAGTTCATCTTATTCCAGTGTACTAATGTGTCATAAGGCCTTTATTACACCTTTATAAGGCAAACTGTCACTTGGTACGTAATGACAGAGGAGAAGAACTCCTTGTTTCCTTATATGGCCTAATGCTACCAGACCATTTCTACAAGGCAAAGCATTTTAGCCCCTGGTGTTTGGGATGGGCGCAGTGTCCTGTTTCACATAGAAACTTGTATGGGTGGTAGTAACATGTTGTATTATCATTCATTGACTGTTTAGGGGAGGTCTACCTGCAGGCACTGGTCAGATTAAGGTTTAATTTGGTGAAGGTGCGAGCTGGGGTGGGGAGGGGAAAGGGGGGGGTCCTTCCAGGATCCATGTGCCTGAGATACCCCAGCGCTTCATGCACAGAAGTAGTCCCGGTGAGTTGTGCACAAAAGCGGTACAGCGCCACCACCTGAACTGATAGTACTCCACGCTGGGTAAGTACTCAGGCACTGTATACATCCGACTCTCTGCGGGGGTAGATACCAGATGCAGGACTGACGCATACGACTCTGTCCAATCACCTTTAAGAGGATGGCGCCCCCTATGGATATTTTGCGCGTTACTGCATCTGGGGGTTGTTTACACCAATTCCCGGAACGTTGAAGAAAAAAAAAACCTCTGCGCGAAGACAACCGGCTTTTTTGGAGTCCCTGTTTATTCCAGGTAAGCTAAAGAGGGCACTCTCGAACAGGTAGATGTGTGAGTGAACGACTCCTCTCACCACCAACGTCCCGACTCAACGACTCTCTCTGTCGGCACAATGATTTTTTTTATTATAATCAAACACACATGTCACTTCCGCCCTTTTTCACACGCCATTTTGGACAGAACATGTTATGGATAGGGATGCATTGTTAGAGCTAATAGAGCGGTTCAGTTAAGTTAATTGCACTCAATTATATCGCAATTGAGATTTTGCTAAGCTATCGTGAGGAACCAAGCCCGCTCTCTTCCTCTCCCTCTCTCTCGCTCTGGCTAATTCCCCCCTCGCCCTTTAAGCAAGCCTAAGCTAGATGAGGTGCAGCACATCCCCCGGCAGCCAAGCGAGCGGAGGCAGACAGCTCCGGGGTCGGACAGTGACAGAAGTGGAGCTCCCTCTTTCGGCGTGGTGTGTCCGCCGCTGGGATCGTCGCTTAGTCCAGACCGCCCCGTGCGAACCAGAGGAGGAGGGAAAGTGATCCCACCGCTGGCTCCGCTTTGTCTCTCGGCAGTTGTGCGGTGCGAAGCGACATCATTGCTACCTCAACGGGAACCCGGTTCAGAGCCAGGTGAAGTGTCTCTGTCTGTCCGCCGGCCGCCTCCAGCGGTGCTGAGCTCGTGTTCAGGGCAGTTAGCCAGCAAGACAACAACTGCTCCAGGTAGCCCGCTAACGCGCTAACATTGCAGATCTCGCTAAATAAACGGAATTTGGTCAGTAAAACGCTGGTCAGCGTTGCTAGCTAGCTAGCTAGTCAGTCAGTTAAATTGTTTCTGGCACCGCTGGTTAACCAGCCAGCAGTTAACAGCAAGCTGGCTAACAACAAGCAATGGCTCTGCTTAGCTAAAGCGCTAATGAAGTAACGTTACTGCGGGAGATACTGAAGTAAATAAAAAACCGTTACGCTTCAGAGTGGCGTATACAAGTAGTCGTAGCAGTCCAGTCAGAACTGAACAGAGACCGGCTACAAAACCAGACTCATTTAGCGGGCTAGCTAGGAAGCTAATGATAGCCGGTTGGAGAGGTTGGAGATGGCCATCCATCCAAACCCGTTTGCGCCCTGTAACAAGCGCAAGGAGCAAAGCTGATCGTGACTTAGCGAACTAGTTGATGTGATGCATGGACAGCTTTCGTCTCACTTTTCTAGAAGCTACAGAAGAATGTAGGTCTGTCCGTTATCTCTAGCTACCTGGACGATGCAGGCAAGGTCCCTACTGAAGAGACAATTGATAAAAGCCAGTTACCAACTGGGTATTCAGTGCAGTGCTGTCCTCTCCGCATGTCCACTCCATTGTATGAGCCAGGTTGAGCTACTGTACTGTGTTAATAACTTCCCTAAATCAAAAATCCAGCGAAGCTGCGCTTTAGCAAGCTGCCTCCTCGATTGATGTCATCAAACAACTCGGACGAATGGCAAGGTGTTGATCATTTTGTGACACTCCCTCTGTCAGACCTGTTTCGATGGTTCGAGTTTGATGGCTTTAATATATAATTTTAGAAACAAACTTTAATATATCATGAAAAATATACTGAAAACCTTTTATTAAATCATATATCTAGTTATGATGCATACTGACCCACAAGCACTCTCAGATCGGTATAAGTCTTTCCTCTATATTTTGATATGTGACTTGTTTCCATAGTTATCAAAAGTGCATCATGGTCATGGTTTATGATTTCAACATATAGTTCATTTTAATGACTGGTGTATTTTAAGGACATAGTAGACCTAATTATGATATATAACATGTTTACAAGCTCAGTTTGATTTTGCCTCATTTTCAAGGTTTGCCTAAAACACAGTCGAAATATAGGTACATGTTTCCTGTATATATTTTATGTTTTCGTTATTTGTCTGCTTATTTATTCACTTTTTACATATTGCATACTCCTTTATCTTTTTCAAAAAGCGAGTGTCAAGGCCCTTTGCATCAGTTATGTCTTTGTTTTCCAATGAGTGACCAGAATCATTCAATTTAGGCTAAATTTGTGGGTTATTCTAGTGTCTGTATGTGAGATTAAGCCTATTCTGTAATAGTCATTTCGTCTTCTCTTTAATGTTTTTACCGTGCCTAAATCATGATTGTATGAATATTCATGGCTGCCTACAGTAAGCTGGAGAAGCTGAAAATAACCCCCACCCAGAAGAGTCCACTGCAGACATTTGCACAGTGCCACTGCTGCTGCTTCAATAGGAGGCGCCATTCCATGATTGCAGTTCAGGAGGCTGCACAAAAAAAGAGAGTGGAAAAGGGGCAGGCGGAGTAGGGAGAAGCTTATATAAGAGGTAGAGCTGTTCTCTAGCGCCATCTACTTTGGATGGGAGAAAGGTGGTGTGGCGAGGGAGGCTTCACTGCCAGATACAGAGCTGAGCTACCAGGCAGAGCAGTGATTCAGTTGCTTGTGTTTGTTGAAGAGCACAGAGGTGTTTGTCAATGGAGAGGCCAGGACCTGTCACTGCTTCTCAGTTAAAGGGTCAGTTCAGCGCATGAACTCTGGCCCGTCTTGATCTCGGTCGTATTTTATTTGGAAAGAATAGATTACATTATGTCTTTTGATGAAAGACTACCTGATCGGACAGACATAAAGAGAATGATTTACTTTGTTCTAATTAAATTTGGCCTGATCTCCATACTATTTATCTTGATTTGGACTTTATCCTTGTACTGTTTATGTACTGATGTACTGCAGTACTTCCATATAGTTTAAGTGGCTCTATTTGCACTCCAGGGGGTTTAGGATAAATTGACTGTTCCTCATTCTTTTCAGAAATAGATTGAGGCTTTCAAAAAGATGTGATAATGGAAAAATTGCAGATGATGCTACATTAGGAAATAGCAGCAGGGCTGGGTGATATATTGTCTATATGGATATTGGTGTCACACAGCAATTTTTGCACTTTTGCACTTTTGGGTGCTTCAGATTGTTTTGGAAACAGAAACAAAATAAATAGTAAGTTTCCTTTCTACCTAGTTATCCTTTATAATACGGTATAAAGTTTCCTTTGGCGTAATTTTGGGAGAAGCAGAAGAGAACAAAAGCTATGTCAGGTTAGTATAACATTGTTTTGCCGTTGAGTAGCAGCATTCAGGAAGCAAACTGTCCTCCTCAGTGGTTGTTCTTTAACATGTTTCTGAAGCGAATTAGAGCTTTTCACAACTGTGATCTTTCTTTTGGTCTGTTATGGTATGGATGCAAAGGTAGACCTGTTAGTTTTGTCCCAGCTTACTACAAGTGCATAGCAAGTACCAATAGTAGCACCAGCATTTCCATTTTAGTTAGTGCGTGATTGCATTCAATGCCTGTTCGTGGATGTTGTGTTTCTATCTTTATGTTCTTCTAAAATGTCTATGCTCAACTTATTTATTGATGAAGCGTACCATCATTTTCTGAAGTCAGGATGGCCCAGTAATGGTGTCCTCAGTGCATCCTTTGATATTAAGATTTTAGAAGATGTCAACTCAGACAGCTTTCATCATTGATCACTGCGTTCATCATACATCAAAAGTTGTATAGATACTGTGCAAGCAGTGTTTCACATAACTTGAATGGGCTGTGAGTTTAGTCCTACAACATTCCCTATTCTCTAGGCACCTAAAGCTGTTACCTTTCTGCCTTATGTATGAACATCTTCAGGCTCTGCCATCAAGACTAAAGACTGCACTGTGATGGTCTTATTGTATCACATATATCACATGTCCTCTGGTGTGTTGATGTCATCTGACATGAATAGTGTCAGTAATTCACATTGTTTGTGATATTGTGTAGAATAAAGTAGCATTTTATAATAACTCTCAAAATGAAGTAAGGTAGCAGTAAACTAATAATTACCTTACGAATTTAATTCTTTAAGCAACTCTGAATAATTTAGAGCAAACTCAATTTCCAGTGTGAGCTGTGGATCTTGGGAAAAAAAAACTGACAAAAGAAAACTATCTTTGGAGGTGTGATGTGTTTAGCCAAAGATGGTTTCTGTGGAGGCTGATGTTCAAAAAAATTGCAGGTTTTAACAAATAGGGTAAAGTAGGCTTTCCATAAACCCCTTACAAGATTTCACAAACCTGGTAGTTTACTTTGCAAATATACCCCTCAGTTTTCACATGTTGAGTATTTAAAGAGCTCATCTTTAAATACAGGCACACTCTTCAGGATTTAACATTAATTAGCACAGTTATGATTGTCTGGTATGCCTTATCGCACAGTGATGAACGTGGGTTTCTAATGGACCACAAGCCTGTACAGCTGTAGTTGCACAGACATAATGCTTAAGTCTACAGAAACTCAGAACTTTAAACACTTATTTGATTTGCTTTCTTCTCTGTTGTGTTTTTTGCTCCTTTAGGTGGGCAGTATGTTCCAACTCCCGGTCAACAACCTTGGCAGTTTAAGGAAAGCTAGGAAAAATGTGAAGAAAGTGCTGGGGGATATTGGCTTGGAGTTTTGCAAGGAACACATTGATGTGAGTATTGTTGTTGCTGTCAAAGCCAGAGTTAAATGATACTGATTAAATGATACAGCTAAATCATAGTCACAGCTAAAGTTACACTGCCAGTAATTCTGCTTTGTTGATGCAATATAGGTCAGCCGATGCTATTTTATTAAAACAGAATAGGGATGACAGTGACAGTATGGTGTATTTTACAGAACTAAGCAGGGCGATCAAACCCAATGGCATCTTGGGTAAAGTGTGGGGTTTTTTGTTTGTTTGGGGGTTTTTTGTTGTTGTTTTTTTTCTTTGGTTGTTTGAATGACAGCATTCTGCCTATGTTTATTCACAGAGTCTTTTTTTTAATGCAGTAAAAACTTTGAAAAACTCACAAAACAGCTGATCTATGCCCCCATCCAGTATTTAGAAACAAATAAAATGAAAAACTGTAGATAACACATTTGAATCATTATTTTAAAAACAGAAAGGATATAATTTTTTTTTACCTTTTTTTGTTTCGTTACTAGTTGTCAAATTTGGCAGGAGCTAATTTTTTACTATTAGCATGTCTAATGCACTGCTGTTCCACCTGATATTGTTTGTAAAGAAAATGTCTGTGCTTCATGTTTACAAAAACCCATTGTTTTGTTTCAAGAATAAACCAGAAATTGAATGAATTTATGATTGTACTCTGATTTCTTAAATCCTGTCATAATAAACATGTCAGTTTTAGTGTTCAGTAAATACAGTGTTTTCTTCAGTTATTCTATAGTTGGAAATACGAGTCATTTAAACAGTTTGACCAGTAACCAACCAAAAAAGCTAAACTTTTCAATTTGACTCCTGTTCTACTTCAGTATATTGTAACCATGTTAATATCATGATGCAATGCTGTGACCTTGTAAAAAGCAAATGAGAACATACTTGCAATCATATAGCTAAATGGAGAGAAAAAAGAAGTACGATGTAACTGACTGACTACCTTAAGACTTGTTGCACGTAGAAGATGTTAGCAATCAATTGCACAATGTATTCAGTAAATATGTCTTTCTTATAGTCTCTATGTTTAATGTAATGGCATATATGTATTATTTGGCTTTTTCCCCCCTTGCAGGACTATAAAGACTTTGTGCCCAATGAGTTCTACATCAAGAACACCACATGGGATGACGTGTGCATGTGGGATCCCTCACTTACCAAAACACAAGTGAGTATAGCTACTCTGTTATGTACACAGGTGGAACAGTTGCAGTCAAGATGCTATTCTTTATATTGTGTCATTTTTTACTGATCATTTTTTATTTTTGTGTTTCTAGGAGTACCGGTCAAAGCCATTCTGTTGTTCAGGCTGTCCATTCTCCTCCAAGTTCTTTTCTGCTTACAAGAGCCACTTTCGTAATGTCCACAGTGAGGACTTTGAGAATCGAATCCTCCTTAACTGCCCGTATTGCACTTACAATGGGAACAAGAAGACCCTGGAGACACACATCAGGCTTTTTCACATGCCCAACAATGTGACACGCCAGAGTACTGGTGGCCTCCAGGGGACAGGAGCCGGCTTGAAGGATGGTGTTCGCCTGGATAAGGCCCGAGACAGTGTAGAGCAGGCCGTGTACTACTGCAAGAAATGCACTTATAGGGACCCACTATACAATGTGGTGCGAAAGCACATCTACCGAGAACACTTCCAACATGTTGCTGCTCCGTATATGGTCAAGCCTGGTGAGAAGGCAGCTACACCTAATGGATCAGCAGCTGGTTCTGACACAGGCACAGGGAACACTACAGATAGTAATAGCACTGCGGGTGCTGGGAACAGTAACAGCACAGCCATTCACTGTAAGCGCTGTCTCTTTGTGCCACGTACCTATGAGGCACTAGTGCAGCATGTCATTGAAGACCATGAACGCATCGGTTACCAAGTTACGGCTATGATCGGACATACTAATGTGGTAGTGCCTCGTCCCAAGCCTGGTATTATGGTGTCCCCTAAAGTCCAGGGAGAAAAGAATGTCATCGGTGTTACTCCAAAGGGCACCCTGGTAACTGCAGGAGTGCGGCCATTGTCTGCTCAGCAGTTGAGTCGCATTGTCATTCCTAAGGGAAGTTTGAATTCCTCTGGGGTCCTGTCAGGTGTTCACTTGAAGCCAGGTACAATTAGTCTGAAGCCAGGCACCACCCAAGCCGTGTCCATTGGGGGGCAACAAGTACGTATTACCTTACCAGGCAATGCACAGCTTTCAGTGCCCCAGCAGTCTCAAACAGCCCGACCTCACCTTTCTGCTAGCCATTTACGCAGCCCGGTTTCTGCGTCAACATCCACTTCTGTTCTGAAGATTCCTTCATTGACCTCACGAGTCCAGGCAGCTGCTGCTAATGTATCATCTGCCCCTCCCAAGAAGGGGGCCTCTGCCCTGGGTACATCCTATACCCAGAAATGGAAGATCTGCACAATATGCAATGAGCTATTTCCAGAAAATGTGTATAGTTCACATTTTGAGAAAGAACATAAAGCAGAAAAGGTGCCCGCTGTGGCCAACTACATCATGAAGATCCACAACTTCACTAGTAAATGCTTATACTGCAACCGCTACCTGCCAAGCGACACACTGCTGAACCATATGCTAATCCACGGTCTGTCATGCCCACACTGCAGGGCTACTTTCAATGATGTTGAGAAGATGGTGGCACACATGCGAGCGTCACATCCCAATGAGTCTGTTGGAGTACGCACTGACTCTCCACTGACTTTTGATCTGACTCTTCAGCAGGGCAACCCCAAGAATGTCCAGCTAATAGTCACCACTTACAATATGCGGGATGCTCCTGAAGAGTCTGTGGCGTTTCATGCCCAAAACAATGTCTCACCTATACCACAAGCAAACAAGCCTGCAACATCACACATCCCAAAGATCCACAACGAAGCCCCAGATGGGACACATGTTAGAAGTGCACCGCAGGCAGCTGTTCCTTATAAGAGGGATGTGGGTAAGACCTTATGCCCACTTTGCTTTTCCATTCTGAAGGGCCCAATCTCCGACGCCCTTGCGCACCACTTGAGAGAGCGACACCAGGTAATCCAAACAGTGCATCCAGTGGAGAAAAAGCTAACATACAAGTGTATCCATTGCCTTGGTGTTTATACCAGCAACATGACGGCCTCCACTATAACTTTGCATCTTGTACACTGCCGTGGTGTGAGCAAGACTCAGAACGGCCAGGACAGCAGGCCTGCTCCGACTACCAGAGTAGTTAAGGCTCAGGGAGCTTCCTTGAAAAGAGCCGGGTTTCAACACGATGAAGAAGCTGACCCGAAGAAACGGAAAATTGGGCCAGGGAACCAGGCTCAGCCAAGCCTCCCTGCCTCAGTTGAGCCGAAAGAAGAACCTGTTGTGTTGGCTATGGACCCAAAGGGCCATGAGAATGAGTCATATGAGGCTCGCAAGGCATTCCTTACAAAGTATTTCAACCGGCAGCCATACCCCACACGCAGGGAAGTGGAGAAGCTGGCTTCCTGTCTTTGGCTGTGGAAATCAGACATTTCAAGCCATTTCGCAAACCGAAGAAGAAAGTGTGTTCGCGACTGCGAAACACAAAAAGTTAATGTTTTGCTTGGGTTCAACATGCACAGTCTTGCACGGTTGCAGCATCCAATGGACTTTGATACGAAGTGGTATTTTGAAGGCCACAATCAGGACCAGGAAAGTCGGACATCTAGGGATTTCATCGGTAGATCTGCCAGTGCAATCAGACGGTTTCACGAAAACGCTACTACTAATGGTGATATGCAAGAGACGGAGGAGGCTGGGTCTACTGCCCAAGCTTCACCTCACTCAAATGGTGAAAAGGCCGCCCTGGGGAACAACTGCAATGATTCAGTCAAAATAATCGTAAAACCTCGGGGGGTTCTAAATTCAGAGCCCATCTCTGTGGACTCAGACAGTGAGGATGAGAATGTCAAGGCTGCAGAAGAAAATACGGACTCTAAGGTGAACAACCAGCTAGCTAGTGGGGTGGAAATAGAAATGGAAAGTAAAGGAGGTGCGAGTGACTCTGAGCCAGAGGACGCCCTCAATGGTGAAAATGGTTACGGGTCAGAGGACAAGCTGCATACAAGTGGAAGGCCCAGTGAAGAGGGCCAGACAGGCATTGTGGCCAAGCTTGGACAATCAGGAACAGGAACCTGCCTTGGCGGGCAACAAGTCTGATTTTTTTAAATACAGTTATTAAAAATGCACATGCATACACGTCATTTGTTACATTTGCCAGACACCAACAATGCTGCCTCACCTGAACTTAGGGACTGTGGTCACAGGCGGCAGTGGGATATGCTTTCCTAAACTTCCTGAAGCCATTTTCAAGGGCAAAAAAGTCAGCTTTTTGACATGTAAAGATGAATGCTAGATTGCTGAACTGAGGGTGAGAAGCGACTTCTCCTCAGGGTAGAGAAAGAAAACACTGAAAATGCACCAAACAGTAGAATATGTTTTGCCTTCTGTTTGTTTCTTTGAGAGGTTCACATTAGTACTTAATGTTTGTTTAGCCACTGCTGTGTGGCAGAACGAGTGTTTATTAGGATTACAGGTATTCTTGAACTTCATGTAATCATATTAGAATAGTTAGTGTATATTTGTACAGTCTTTTAGATATGTCTAAGGAGATGTTGGTGTAGGTGTACTCAGAGATTTGCTATTCATTTCGTGCTCACGTTAGATGGTCATACGTTCTACATTGGTTCACTTAATGGATGTGACTTTTGGTGGCTATTCTTCATGGTTATTTTTTAACAAAATATAGCATTTTGCTAATTAATATATCTATATATCAAATGCAGTTTAAAATTAACATAATCTCTTGCTTTTTATTTTTACTGTTTATAACTGAAGTATTCCTTTTTTACATTTGCCATGACACCTTTTGTTCTACTGAAGGGCAGATTCCCCTGACACCATACGCCTCTCCCGAGGTCACAATGAGGAGCCGTTTGACTGATGGCTAAGGCGCTGTGCTGTGTAGTCTAATTGTATTTAGTTCAGACTTTGCTGAACAGGACTTGCTTTCTGGCTTCACTTTCAGCAGTTGAACTTGTTTGTTTTCTTCTGTGAATGGACTCTTGCTACTGCCCACGGTGCACTGAGAGCATTCGCCATCAACCTGACTTCGTTGTGTCTGTATGTTTTAGTTTGTGACCTAAAATTTATGTTCGTATGTTTTCGTTCTGGTTTGTTTATTTGTCACTTAAAGACTCTGAATAATAAAGTGCTGTATTGTGCTTCTCATAGTGGTTCCAACCCTGCACTTCTGCTCTGGACTGTCTCACTAATCCAGATGTCTGCTTCCAAGTCATATTTCATATTTCATGTTTGTTTTAAATCATCAGAAAAAAGAGCTAATATTATCTATAAAGCAATAATTTAAATTTTGCATTGTGACATCAGATTAATAATAGTTACACACATTTTCGTTTTCATCAGAATTTTCATTAATTCTTTCTAATGCAACCAGACTTTAATTGCATTTTCCTAAAAGTAGTTCACATATTGGGAAAAACAAGGGATATCATTTCTTTTCTCCTGCATAAAAGAAATACTATGGATATTACTTTTTTTAAAAAATGTGTCTATATTGGTCCTCATTCACCAATCGTTCTTAAGAAGATATTTCTTCTCAAAACCCACTTACGTAGTTTTCACAAAGATTCTGACCTTCATGTTTTCTTATTTGGGAATCTACATACATTCAATTGCACAAAGGTGTGAACAGTTCTGCGGTTTAAGCACACATCATAAATCTTCTTCTTCTGACCTTTTTCTAAACACATTTAAGAAAAAGCGTCAGAAGATATTGGTGAATGAGGCCTAATGTTTCCTGTTATAAAAAAAGTTTCATGTGTATAAACACTACTAATTGAAATGAAACCCATAATGCATCATTTGAGGCAGGATGGACGCAACCTGTTCTCTCTTCCCTCATGTTATCAATTGCTGTCAATTTGTTTTGCAATCAATTTTTATTATTGTTATATTATACCTGCTAGCATTCATTGTTAAGTAACTTAGCTAAGTGAGCTTCATTACCGGCAACCTCCATAGTCGTGTCTTAGTTCTGTAGTCAGCATCATTTTCTCTGTGGGGAAAGATTAATGCCATTTTCAGAAATTGCTACTGTCGTGCCCTTTGTTACCAACTACCACATTTGACAAAGCTGGCTGGTTAGTGTGGGGGGTTTTCATGAGATTGCCGGTCTAATGATGTCAGTTCAGTGCACAGTAGTGTTGGCTTGCATGTAGCAATATTTGTATTTCAATTGCTGAATGACTTCGTAATTCAGAGGATCCATTGACATTCAAGGAAAAGTACACACAGGACAATGTTATTTACCACAGGGCACAAAAGTGGCAGTTTTTGAAAACACTATTTTTCCCATAGAGGACTTTGATGGGGTCTATTGCACATGTATCTCATTACCACTTACTCTTCTATCAGTAAAAGCATCATAGTATGTTTATCTCACACATGTAAACATTTTAACCACACTGGGTTTATTACTTTATAAAAAATGTGAGAAAACAGCAGTTTTTCATAGATTCTATGCTGCTAAAGTAAGACACAAATATGAGCTCTAATAGACTAACATGGAGCACAGAACTGCATCCAGTGTCTCCAACAAAAAGATCTTGTACAGATGCAAGTATGCAAAAGTGCAATTACAGTACAGACATTACATTGGTTATTGTGCGAATTACAAAGAATGTGCTGTAGATGGTTCTATATAGAACCTTTTTGGAAAGGTTTGGTTCTGTATAGCACCCAAAAAGGGTTCTTCTATTGTTCCAGTGTTCTATAGCACATTCATGCACATTTTCCATCAATTTGAAGAACGCTTTCATGATGCAAAGAACCCTTTAATCATGCAAAGGGTTCGTTGAGTGTACTTATTTGTCTGAATGCCTGCATTCTGAGTTTGTGGAAAGTGATGACTGATGAGGTATAGAAACACATCACTACTCACAACGTTTAAAAGAGCACAGAGCAGTAAAATAAGCCCAGGTGAATTGTATAATTACATGCATTCTGTACTTCATCAGGGTTTTCTATAATATACCGTAATGCTGATTTGTGGTAAATTAATAGTTTCTAAAAAGACATTTTGCTGTCTAGTTCGGTGACAGTAGATATCAAAGAAATTATCAAGTAAATTCAAGAATTCAAAAATACTTTTCATTTGGGCTCCACTATCATTTCTTATCAAACGTTCTTCTCGTCTCTGAGTTTACACTATTATCAATGTAAACATTTTGGTGTAAACCAACTAACTGAATTTTGTTGGGATAAGCAAATCAGTTCCTTAGAAAATTGAACTATAGATGAATTAACCAGTTCCTCGTGCATTTACACTTTTAGTGAAACAAATCAGTTCATAAATTTTATTTTTAAATATTTAAACACTACTGTTAATGCACACATAATATATTTCATGTTTGTCTAAACAGTAAAACTTATTTTGCATTTCTTTATAGAATATGCTGGTAGTGAATACGATGTTGGTATCACTTTAAATTTTTAATTTTTAAAAGTTTGCTTTTATATTTTATCAAGTCACACAACAAACTTTCCTTTTTACTTTATTTGGATATGATGTGAGGTTCACTCTCATCCACACTCGTTTAAAAATCCATTGTTGGTATTTTAAGCAAGAAATATCTAATAATGGAATGTACTGATGAACCTGATTCACACTGTGTTTAAGGTAAAAGGTCTGCTTGGTGAGAAGCAGAACCACACCTGTTCTCAGACTGATGCTACACGCTACACACAAAGATGGTTCTTCAAGGGTTGTTTAGTAAAAAAAAAATGGTTCTATATGGAACCATGAACACACAAAAACCCTTTACATCATGAAGTGGTTCTTCAGATTGATGGAGAATGTGCTGTAGATGCTTCTATGAAGAGTGTTTTTAAAAAGGGTTCTGTATAGCACCCAAAAGGGTTCTTCTATTGTAACAAGCTTGACATCATAACAATAGCAGAACCCTTTTCAAAAAAAAGGTTCTGTATAGAGCCATCTATAGCACATCAATCTGAAGAACACTTTCATGATGCAAAGAACTCTTTAATGTGTGTTCCTGGTTCTGTATAGAACCATTTTCTTTACTAAAGAACCCTTGAAGAACTGTCTTCTGGTAGAGGAGTCACATGTACCATACAGCCATGTCCATCAGTCTCAAAAACCCAGCTCTTGCTGCTCAGTCCCCTCTGGCTTTGTAGGGTCAGTTATTTAGTGGACTGGCAAATGGAGATCACGTTAATCTGGTCACTGGCATTCAAATGATTGGCAACCTTCCAACTGGTCGCTGCTTTTGCATACCAGTTTTCTGTAAATAGACCAGTGGTCCAGGGCCACTTTAACATTTGATACCACTTTGGTGAACATTTCAGCTGAAATGAAAAGTTGAACCATTTCTCACATCCTACAGCCGTGTGAGATTTGCCACTGTAAAGACTAGAAAACCTGCTTTTGGTGATGTATCTTGAAAGTAAGTTCTTGGGGGTGGGCTGTTTGAAATGTTTTGTCTTCTTTAACTTCTTTAGCTGGTGAATTCAGAAGGAAGGCAGAGATCTAACATTACTACTAAGAAGCCAAATATCCTATAGCAACCATATAACTGTAATAACTTATCTTCAAAATATAATTAAAATGGGGAGAATGGATCACTGAAATGATGGAAATGACTCATCAGATGAGGAGGACAAGAAGTTACAATCTAACATTAGCAAGCTAGTTAGCTATGCTAACTAGATGCCTTAGTTTGGCATCTTTTCTTTGATGTCCATCTTGTGGTGAATAAAGATAGAATCACTGTTTTCTTTCTGGTTTTGTTTGGTGGCTGGTATAACTGAAACTAATGCTAGCTTGGTTGTATTTATTACCCATAGTAGCTGGGCTAGCAGTCAGGATTGGTTGACACCACTGGGATTCCCAATGGTTGTAAGATGTGTTTGTGCAATGCATGCTGGGTAATGCAGTGATAGAACATTGATGAATGAAAGTATAAAAATGATATAAAACTGTGAATTCTGGCAAACTGATGAGGCGGAGGGATACGATGCTGTGCTACAGTAACACTGCAACTATATATTAAACTCCTGTCTTAGGCTAGAATGCACTTTTACATGATACACAACTGTCAGATCCCATTTTTATTTAGTCATTGATTATTTTGGAGGGGAGATATATTTAATCAAGAGGGCTTCATTTGAGTCCACCATGGCCAGGCCTAATGGCTGTGTCACAGTCCCAAAAGACAGACACCACTGCGACTGATAGCTAAAGCATTCTTGTGGAGACTATTTTGTTGCAGTTACCCAAAGGCCCATGAGGCCCAAAATCTTCTGTGGACATCATTGTCCAGCTGATTGGAAGTGGAGGATCTCAAACTCTTAAGCCCTATATTAAAATACCGTATACAGTCCTGCTGCTGTACTAATAATAACAATGTCTCATGAATGGTCTCTGTATTACCCTTTGATGTGTGGCCAGTGTAAGACATTGAGGTCAGGTTCAGTCTGAGCTGTACTTGGCTCTGTGGACTCATGGTTGCTCTTCTCGCAGTGAGAGAGGCCTCAAAATGGAGGGAAAGTCTGAGAATGTCCCCCCTCCCCCTCCCTCTCACTCCAATCTGCTGTGCTAGACTGAGAGAAAGAGAGTGCAGTCTGAGAAAAAGAGAGCGCTGGTGTGCGCGTGTGCGCGCGCGTGTGTGTGTGTGTGGAAGGAAAGGAGGCTCCGAAGAGGCCTGGCTGGCTGATGGAGGCCCTTGCAGCCTTGTCCGCAGAGCAGCACTGACGTGGGGGAGGGGAGACAGTGGTGAGCCCTCAGTAAATGCTCTGTACTGCCTCCTGTTGTTGAAGAGGAAAACTTACTGCAGTGGTGGGTGCAGGTACTATAGTACAGTACAAACACTTGAGGTCACACAGTGTCTCTCACTGAATTAAGCTTAGACAGTATTGCCCAAGGTATCCTAAAATGGGTCAGGGTGACAATTGACACAAGACCAATGAGTGTGATTATGTTCCAAGAGTAAAATCACAGACGATCGCCCTGTGGAATTAAGTAATATGACTACACACACACACACACACACACACACACACACACACACATATATATATATATATATATATATATATGAAATTGAGGCAAATTGCGTTCACAGCTCCTAAATGTATGCCTTTCACACACTCTGGGAATCATTTGGAGTGATGACCGACACTGCAGCTGTAG